GGGAGAGAAACAGAAAGAGGGAAGGAGGGACGAGACTGGTTGAAAAAAATTCAATGCTACATTTTTAAAGATTAAATCTGTCCCCCCCCCCCCCAAAAAAAAATACGCGGAGCCCCATAATCTCTCGAGAGTAAGGAGGGGAGAGAGGTTTCTTTTGGCGGGAGGGAGGGGGCAGAGGGGAAAAATTATAAGTGTGTGTGAGTGAGTGTGTCAGGAGGGAGGGAGGAGAGGGTTAAGGTGAACCCTGAGGCTAACTAACTGAGCAGCAGGAGCCAAGAGAGAGATCCCAGTGCGGCTCACACACTGCGCATGTGTCTGTCCACCAATAACGCAATAACCAATTGACGTTATATACAGCATTTATTCCTCATCGATTTATACCTCATCGGAAAGGTCTTTCTTGGGGGTGTGTCATGGGGCATTTTGTGGGGGGGGAGGTGCGGGGAGAGATCTATTGTTTATGAGCTATGACCTAAACAAGCTCATCACACATGTATGGCAATTTGTTAAATAGTTTGTGACTGGTATCACTGAAATCTACATTCTATATTGAATCCTTTGGTTGCAAGCGTAGCTGCAACGGGTATGAAAGCAAAGTGAAGAACAGTGCAATCACAGGAATTTACTTAACAGGGTTTGGGATTTAAATGAACTGGATATTGTGTGCTATGTTCATTGTTCATTACAACAAATCTGGAGATTTTGTTTAAGAAGTAATAATCCCTAGCAAACAAGTACAAGCATAATGCATTATTCTCTTGTAACACAGCTGTCTTTCCTTTTGAAAGTCCTCTTTGCATAGAGGAAGTATTAAACTTGCAAACATTTTAGACACAAACACCATTGCTTTAAATGTGCTCTGGACATCATTCTTCCAACTACTACAGTACAGTAGTTAGAAAAAATTCACAGAATTTACTGTCAGTCGCTTGCAGAAAGAAATGCTGCTCTTGCCCATTCCTTTCGAAAGGTTGTAAATATGGAGCCATAAATGTCTGAATGTTGTGAGGTTGGCTGAAGGGAAAGTGATTCCAGTTTTGATATTGCAGAATAATAAATGTTTTTCTAAGAATATTGATCAAAGTACTTATTTTAAAAGAGAAATTCTTCTGAAGCTGTAACAAAGTGGACCTGTAGTTATTGGCCAAGTGCATGCAGAAGTGTATGCTTTTACATTGTAATATACTATTCAATCTTAGAAGTCAAAAGAACATAAGAAATTTTAGGAATTGAAAAAGGCAATTACGGACAACCAGTTCACTCCTTTTTGATTAAGGATGTCATTCCCTGATTTCCTGCTTTCTCACCAAATGCCTCCATCCTGTCTCCAGAAATATATGTATTATATATATATACTTTGTTACATTATTACCTAGTTACTTGTTTGTACTATTCAGTACCATTTCATAGATTGTATTGTATGGAAACAGACCATTTGTCCAAACTCGTCTGTACCAGCGTTTTACTCCATTTGAGTATCATTTTCCTGATAACCAAGCCAATATTAAGACATTACTTTCATATACAAATTATATCAATTGTCTGACTACTTTTTACTCTTAACTTATTTTTTACACTTGGGTCTCCTATATTTGAACCCAAATCTTGAACATTTTAAATTAGATCCTCATAACATCATTTTTCTCAAGATCTTCCTTAATCCTTCCTCATGATGTGAATTCCTGATACTGTATGCAGGGTCATCTTTTTACAGCTCCTGTTATAGTGTGCAGTTCACTGTCATTTGAAAAAGGGCAAACTAATTATACCTCTGTACCCTCTTACAAACAATATCCATCCAATGATTGTATAACAGTAACTACACATGGCACTTTGGATGGGATCTGACCAGCGGCCCCTTGTGCATCAATTTAATATTGATTTCTACTCTATCTGTGCAAATTTAAACCAGTACTTTGTTTTTTTTATCAAGCACTAGGCCAACTGTTCGTAACTCCTAGATTGATAGTAATTTATTCAAGTTGAATCAGATTTGGAAGTGAATTCTGAACTTAATGAAGTTTTGTAGTATTGCTCCTTGTTGTCGCTTACTCATTAAAGGTACACTTGTTATTCATTAAATGTGCTCATTGTTACTCATTGAATATACACTTGCTACACACACACACAATTCCAGGCGTGTCTTCATTCCTATGTAAACACCTCAAATGCTGAATTGTGGGGAAAGTGGGAGCTTTCGTGGTTGAATAATCAAATAATTTTTTTTACGATAAGCAGATCTTCTGCCATGGTTGGTCGGCATTTCAGTATAGAACATATAAATAAATAATAAATTGTTTTAAAACATCCCTGTATAGCTGTCCAGGGTTAGCCAATGTCCAGCAAATATACTTCCACTGTATTATTTGAATTGCAGATAACCATTGCATGTCATGTAACTTAGTGGTCAGAGCACTCGCAAGCGAGAGGATCTGAGTTTGATTCCTGGGCAGGGCGAAAAGTTGGGCAAGTTTCCATGCTCCACCTGCCTCTGTTTATTGGTTGTTAGACGATTGATGGATTGCTTTTCTGGGGGGAATATCTCTTCAATAAATAATAATTTGGTCACTCAATCCATGACTGCTTGTGGGACATTGCTGTGCACAATTGGCTTCTGCGTTTTGCCCACAAAATATAGTCACTATAATAATAATAATAATCCTTGCATTTGATATAGCGCTTTTCACGTCTTCTAGACGTCTCAAAGCGCTTCACCGAATATACTGTAAAGTGAATTGATTGTATATTTTTGGGCGAAATGCGGCAGCCAATTGCGTACAGCAGTGTCCCACAAACAGTCGTGGGTTGAAAATGACCAATTTATTATTGTTTTTTATTTTGGAGGGATTATTATTAGGCTCTGTGTGGAGTAAGGAAACTTGCCCAAGGTTTTGCCCTCTGCCTGGAATTGAATTTGCAGTATTGCACTTGGAGACATTTTGAAGGCATGATAAGGCATTATATCAAATGCAAGGATTATTATTAGAATAATGTAACCAGTGATTGCTTGTCTGTTACCATTTCTGAGGTAACGGCTTTGAATCCTAACAGTAAAGAGACTGGTTTCAAGATCTTATGTGACATTTGTTTGTTTGTAGATGGATGAAATAGTGGTAAACTTCCATTTCTATCAGTCCAAATTTAAAACACTGTACATCATAACTGTGAGACTTAATAAGAATTCAAGTTACTACAGGTATAATGTGGTCAATGTCAGTGCAAAACACGAAGGATAAGTCTTGCTCTGTTACATGAATCAGCATAGCCCTGGCTAATGCATTTGGAAAACAAACGTTGCAGGTTGCAAGTCAAAATGACGAATTAAGAGGACATTGATCTATTTAAGTAGATAGCAAGTTTATACTACAGATTTTATTTAGATCTGCTGAGATTTATTTTATATTTTGCATAAATTTAAGCAGTTCATTGATATTAGATTTCACATTTCTTTTCCCCCCCACCCACTTGCCACCCAAGTATCGTATGTAGGTATTCAGTGACATTGTTTCTGTGGATGTGCTGAGCTTATAAATAATCAATAAGCTTGAGCCACTATAGAATGTTGTAAGGTTAACATTTAAGCTATGTACTTGTTTACCATCTGCAGTTGTCTTGACTCTCCTTTGTACAATCGATAGTGTTTTTGATATTTCAACTACATTTTATTCTACTGAAATGATCTGTTTTTCTTTCTATGTTTGTTCGATCAAAGCAACTGTAAGTGGACACTTTTAAAATCGTTAGTCTTTGCAGGTGCAGGATTACATTTGCTTCTTGAATTACACCGTACACCAGATACTTAGAAGCAGAATATTGCCTGAAGTTCAAATTGCTATATGAATTTAAATATCATTTGAATTTGTATGTTTCCTCCTAAGATTTTGAGGAGGCAAAGCTTGTCCAATTTTTTAATTGGCTTTGTGTTTTTGAATTAAACTTGCACCATACAGAATTTCTATCTTTTGGTTTATTATTATTTTGATGTGTATGACGTAGCTGTTTTCCTATGGCTACTTCATTTGTATTTTTCCTGTGATAACATTTGTTCGTAATGCAGCTTACTCCGCTAGGAATAATTTTAAGGTTAGAGTTGCACTGCCTGATAGGGTGGTGAAAGCAGGAATTGGACATATACTTGAAAAAGAATAAATTGCAGGGCCATAAGGTAAGAGTGGGGGAGTGGGACTAGTTGGATAGCTCAAAGAGCTGGCACGATGAGCCGAATGGCCTCCTTCGGTGCTGTAAGATTCTATGACTCTTTGCCTGTACTCACAATTGCACTAAAACTGAACCTAGCATGCTAATACTTTTCCATTTGTATTCTCCCTGATGCACTAAACGTTTATTGCTCTGTTTACATATTGTAGGAATAACTAAAACTGGGCAGGTGTCACATTTAAGATTGTTGCATTCATTTTTAAATTCTTATTCAATTGCTCAGATTTTAAGCCTGAACGTTCTTCTGCCAGAAAAGGGAGGATTTCTTTCAATCATTATTTTGCGCAGACTTCCATCACCATCTCTTCACAACTACCTCTTTATGCAGCATCAATGCTATTTTGTATGCCTGTCCCCCTCATAACGTGGACCAAAACAAAAGTGCATCGGCAATTGGTCCTGGCTAGAATTTACCACGTAACTTGAGCCTTCTTGTTATGCTCTTGCCTCCACTTACAAACCTATACATCTAACTCCATTAACTTTACTGATTAGACAGTCTGACCAAATCAATTTAGGATCTTTTCAAAACGATTGCAATCCTTTACAGAGGTGAAGAGACCTCACATAAGCCCAATGATACTTGAAGAATTGTGGAGACCTACTGGATTTGGGTGTTTCCTTTTTAGTTAGGCCTCTGATTGGCATTTTAAACTAATTTGGGAGCTGGTCTAGGGCTGGGGTATGCTGAAAAAGCACAACATGTAGTGGTACCTACTATTAGATATTTAGTGATCTAATTTTTTTTAACTGAAATTAAAAATGTGTCTTTCTTTTAACAGATGAAATCAAATCCGAGACTGAAAAACAAAGGTAAGCTTTTAGACTTATTTTTCTTGAGTTCTGTTTAGCTAAATTCACATTTGATCCAAACACCATATTTTAGTGTATAACCATATCAGCGATTTACACCATTGTAATATTGATAAATAAATAAATAAATGCTAACTTTTGGTAAAGTGCCTTTCAGATTGAGAGGACATCCCAAAGCACATTCAAAGATGACCAAAAGCACGGTCAAAGAGGTGTGTTTTGAGACGTGCCTTGAAAGGGGAGGGAGGGACCGATCTACACTTAATGTCAGAAAGTGAATTGTTATTGAAGTTTTGCACACAGACAAGTCTAGTCATTGTTAAATGGTTTCCATTCCATTGTTTATCAACAGTTACTAATGTCATCGCTTCATGTTCTGTTGATTCATTTAGTCCTCCCCATGGAGAAGCAAAGGCTGTTTCTGGAACTTTACCACCTGTCAAATCAAAGGCAAATTTTATTGAAGCCGACAAGTACTTTCTGCCTTTTGAGTTGGCATGCCAGTCGAAATGTCCTCGAATCGTCAGTACATCCCTGGACTGTTTACAGGTTTGTGTTACTATGCTTGGATCTCAAATTCAAAACATGTTTTTTAGAAGTATTGATTGATTAATATGATATCTTAGGGTATAAATACAATGTATGAAATTCAGCTTTCTGTTTAATTATAGTGGATACAGGAAGAATCGCTGCTTCTAGCTTTTAGAGTTGGTTGTTGAAATACAGCAATCTTCAGTTTGCTCTCTTGATACATTGCTTCCATGTTGCCTCAGGAATCCAACTTGCTGTACTGGTACCTGCAAGAATTCTATCATAGACCTGATGGATGTTTTTGCAGGCATGTATTAGGTTTCCAACTTTTCTTCCAACGTGGTCCCCTGTGAACAAAATGCCTCGTAGAATTTGTACCAAACAGTAATTGTTCCTTCAAGGTCTGACAGGTTTTTGGAGTTTTTTTATTGCACCCCTAGGATCTGGAACTCTATCCCCCAGTGCCTTCGTCTTGAAAGGCGCTCTATAATTGGAATCTTGTTGTTGTTGTGTTGTTGTTGCTGTTGTGTTGCACCAGAAGAACATTTGTTTACACAGTTGCACTGCTTTGTTTCATTTTCATACAAAAAACGGATTTAATTACCCAAAGGAAAGCCACCCAATAAAGGAATCTACACCTTCACCGAAGAAGTTACACATACAAAAACTTGCATTTATGTAGCAGCTTTCACGTCAGAAGTATGTCCCAAGGCGCCGGACAGTCAAGGGTTTGCATCTGACTTGGTTGAAATCAAGGGCAAGGGTGTGGGAGGATGACCAAAGGCATGGTCAGAGAAGAAGGTCTTCAGGTGAGCCTTCAAGGAGGCAAGGAAGGGGGCAAGGTGAAGGAACTCTGGGATGGAGTTCCAGAGGGTGAGGGCACCTCCAGTGGTGAGGCAGCCAGGGTGAGGGATATGGAGCAGACCAAGCTGCATCAATAGTTTGCGAAGGAGACTGAATACAGGGGCAAGGTCCCAAGGCATTATTCTGAACAGACGTATCCTCCTATGGATTTATCTGTCTTTTGAGGAGTATGCTGGAGTGGCCTTAAGTAAGTATTCTTTTGGACTGTATAACAGTTTCAGAAATTACCAACAGGACAGATAGTAGAGGTATTGAAAGACTAAAGCTGAAACCTCAGCCTCTATGCCTTCCTTGTGCTAGCCAGCAATGAAGCCAAATCACTGTCAAACCACAAAACTATTGGAAACTGCTTTGGGAGACTTGGGTTGACAGGTTTTAAGAAGCGGAATCATGTTTGTCAGATGTATGGTTAAGGGAATTTATCAAACAGGCTTGCACTTCACTTCATATAATCTCCCCCAAGATTCAGGAACTCCCACTTATACTGAATATCAGAAGAGTACCATCAAAAACAGCAGAGTATGCAAATTAATTTTATAATTACATAAAGCACAAGAGGCTCTGGCCAGTACTTGTCCTTGGAGCGCAAAAAACATTTTGTTGAAAAGAAAGAAAAACAAGTTAGGAATTCCTGTTTCGATTATCCAGGTAGACCAGAAGACTTCCTTGCAGCCATTGTTGTAAAGAATACATTTATTCAGATCGTGATCAGAAAGTACCTGGAGTTCATGTCCATTGACGTTTTTACCCTTAGGTTGGCTCTCAGGGGAATTGAAAAATATCTGTGGTTCATAGCATCTCTGCAATTGCAGCAGCTGCTACGCCTACCTCTTTTTAGCTTGATGTACAAGCCTCCTCCCAGCTTTCAATTGACGCAGCAGTCCTCCAGCTTCTAAAACAAAAAGATTAAATTAAAGCAGGCTGTTATGGTGTTCTTTCTGACATTTTTCCCCTCTCTTTTGTATAGAAATTAATTGCCTATGGGCACCTTACTGGTAATGCTCCAGATAGTACAACACCTGGCAAGAAACTAATTGATCGAATCATCGAAACTATATGTGGCTGTTTTCAAGGCCCACAAACAGATGAAGGGGTTCAGCTACAGATTATTAAGGTAATGTCAGATTTTGACTCATTTTGAAAAGTGTTTTAACTACATTTATGTTTTCCGCATGTGATTAATGTAAAGCATTATACGTGCACAATATTTTGTATTATGCCTTTTAGAACTTTGTAAATCTTATTCAAAAACTATTTGAATAAAGATTTTTGTTTCAGAACATGAATAATTAAACCATAACTTGTTGAATGAAGTAAATGGATTTTTAGCATTTAGGCTCACGAAATAAATTCTTTAAGTGTTATATGTTTGAAAGAATACAAACAGCAGCTTCCAGCAATATAATATAACTGTTTCCTGAATTTAAGTATTATTAACCAATCTTGAAGTGTGATACCTGTTAGTAATAAGAGAAAACATCCTTTTTGATTACATATTTGATATCACAGCTGAAATATTAGTTCGAACTACCTCATGGATTAGATTTCATAAACTGAATTCTTCAGAATTCTCATGTTATATGGCTAACATTACCACGTATAAAGGGATGTGCTGCTTGTATGGAATTGAAGTTGTCAAAACTGTCAGATTTGTTATGATACAGGTAAACAAATGTTCTGCTTATACAGAATGAGAACATTTCCAATGTGCTATTCATTCTCAATACTCAGTAAATTAAAATTTTTGATGATCTTAAAATAAGATTGCCCTTGCAACAGGGCAGTTCTTGTCAGCAGTTTGTTCCACTCACATTCAGTAAATGTGAATATACTTTATTATAATATAATAATTATAATGTAATTTTTATTATATTTATAAATTTATAAATATCTTTTGATATTCAGAGTAAGTGGGAGCTTCTGAATCTTGGGGGAGATTATTATATTTTAATAAATATAATATTTATTTATAAAATTATGATCAATATAATATCTCTTGCCTCCTTCAAGACCCATCTCAAGACCCTCCTCTTCGACTGTGCTTTCGATCTCCCTGCCCCCCCCACCCCGCCCTCCACCCTCCCTGATCCCGACCTCCAGCTTGGGTCCGAAACTCTTTGCTGTTGTTGTGTACACCAGGATTTTACAGTTTCCTTTTTACATACTGCACTGACTATGGCTCACATCAAGTTACGAACCATGATGAGTCTAATTGAAAACTTGGTTGAATTAGCAAACAAAATAGAGAAAATTACATTAAAACAGAAAGAATGTTTAAAGTAGATGAAAGAAAAAGACTTGTCAGGTGTAGAGTTAATAATAATCATCCTTACACTTGATATAGCATCTTTCACGTTGAGAGGACATCTCATAGGGCAGCGTATCCTGTAAAGTGTGCTTTGTGTGTGAATTACCCCAGACGTACTATTTACGGTGCTCTCAAGAATAGAGAAATTGACTTGAGTTTGAAAATTGATGTTTTTCCCATTTTAACAGAAAGTGGACAGGGACCATTATGGGAATTGCAGAGCTATTGGTTAGCTTGGTGTAACCAAGGAACCCTTTGGAGAAAATTCAGACACCTCTAGAGAATGCTTCAGCAAACTGTGTTTGAGAAGAGAGTGTGGATGTGCTGATTAGTTCACGCTGAAACAAATGGTAGAAAGCACTGTTCGTATGGAAACGATGTGTAGCTGTGATTCATAGAATGTAAGCCACCTATGACTCATTGTGAAGAGATGGTGTCTGGCAGTTGCTAGAGCTCCATGGAGTAGCTGGAAAGAAAAAAAAATCCTTATTTGATGTTGTGCTTTTTATATCGGGAGAGCATCTCATGGCACTCCACAGGATTTCCTCTTGTAATTGTGCATTTTGCAGATGATTGTGGCAGCTAATTTGCACACAGCAATGTCCTACAAACAACCGCAATATGAATGAACAATATTTTGGGGTGATTGTTGGCGAGGACACCAAGATTCTTTTCTCTGTATATCATATATCATATATTTGGTATATAGAGAAGGTATATAAGGGTTGTGTGAGGACTAAAAAAAAAGTTCACACTGAAGGTCAGAACTTGTATATGTCATGGACTTGTCATGGACTGTATATCATAGTAAAATGAATAATCCGTACACTTGATATAGTGCCTTTCATATCTGGAGGACATCTCAAAGCTTTTCCCAGGGTTTTACTGTAAAGTGTCGTGACTGTATTTTGTAGGTGCGCTATGGAATGCAGGTGAAACTAGGAAGTTGGCAATTGTCAAAGATATGGTAAGGCTGGATTCTGAGTTTTTGGTTGCTGTCATAATAATTACTAATAGCTGGATTCTGAAAGAACGATCTAGGAGCTCAACCTCAGCCAAAGGCATCAAATTCTGTTTTTTTTTGTACGAGAAACATAGCAGGAAGAATAAAGACTGAAGAAAGTAGATGCCAGTGGTGAGATGGAAGAGTTGGAAAGGTGTATATACTTTGAATATCACACACCAGGAATCCCAAAAGAAGCTGTTTAAGTTGAAATATGTTTAATGGTCTGTGGAAAGCAGTCTGCTGAAGATAAAGATACTATGGAATATGAAAGTGTCCAAAGCACATTTTTTTAAAGTTTACTGAGAGCTAGCCTTCTTCCACCTCTGCCACATTGCCCGCCTCCGACCGTACCTTACCCCAAATGCAGCCGAAACCCTGCGTGGGTTTGTCACCTCCTGGATTACTCAAACGCACTCATCACCGGTCTCCCCAGCTCCACTGTTCTAAAGATCCAGCTCATTCAAAACTCTGCCGCCCACATACTAACCCGGCCCAAACTCCGTACTCACATCTCACCAGTACTGGCCAGGCTCCTCGGGCTCTCCAACCACAAATGGATCGAATTTCAAGATCCTCACACTCAAATCCCTTCACTCTCTTGCAGCTCCCTATCTCTCCAACCTCCTCATTCCCCATTCCTGTGCTCAACTGGCACCGACCGGCCTCTTGCTTATCTCTTATACTTATTTGGCCTGCTCCACGTCCCCCGACCCAACCACCCCACCATGGGTGGGAGAGCCTTCAGTCACACTGCCCCCAACCTCTGGAATTCCATCCCCCAGTCACTCCGCCTCGCCCCCTCCATAGCCTCCAAGTCCCGCCTCAAGACCCTTCTCTTTGACCATGCCATCAGCCACCTCCCTTCCCCTCCCTTCTCCTCCCCCTGATCCCAGCTCGGGTCTGAAATGCTGTACTCTGTCCTTGGGACGTCCTCCCAACGTGAAAGGCACTATACAAATGTAATCTTGTTGTTGTTGTTGCACACTCTGCCCGACCATCAGAGGTTATGCTTTCAGCTACTATGTCCCAAAACATTCTCCCTCAATCCCTCCGCCTTGCCCCCTCCCCTTTTTCAAAATCAACCCTGAAAATCTTCCTCTTCGACCAGGCTTATGGCTACCTCCGCCCCCCCTTCCCCTCACATCCCGCTCGGAGACGGGCTCCACCACTGTTAAGGGCTCTGAGACACTACCCTGCAAAGAGGGCAATATATAAGTGCAAGTTGACTGCATTAATCGTAGGGTTTTTGCTATTGGAACTATCTTTCCATAACTTTCTCTCAACTCAAAGGCGACAAAACCGAAACTATCCTGCTCGGCTCCCGTGAGCGCCTTCTGATCTCTGATACTGATCGCATTGACCTGCTCAATGCTTGTTCTCCTAACTCAGTCTGTAGGCAGCCTTTTGTTTGAACCACAAATCTGGGTTCCGATGTCCACTTTCTTCAATGCCTGCAACATCGCCCTTCTACAGCCCTCTGTTCCAGCTCTGATAAAGGTTCACATCCACATATTTTCTCTTTCAGGTAGCGTTTGACTGGCTATACATTTACAGGATTCTCTGTTTTGTTTCAAATGGTGTTGATGTGTTTGATTTTACATGTGAGAAGTGCTGTGTAATAAATCTGGGTTGCACTGCCCAACCATACTTTCTTAAATTGACTTTTGTTTGCCCAGCTGCAGATGTTGATGATTTAATGGTTTATTGTAAAATCGACCTGATAATAATAGTGATGTCTATATAGAATGAGAATGTTAATGGTGTAGAGTAACATAATATTTGAAATGTATTGTATGATGGTACCAAAATGACTTTTGTGGAATTCATTATTTTTCTCTCTTCTATTTAGGCTTTGTTAACTGCAGTAACATCTCAGCACATAGAAATTCATGAAGGAACCGTGTTGCAGGCTGTCAGAACATGCTACAATATTTATTTGGCCAGCAAAAACTTAATAAATCAAACAACAGCCAAGGCAACATTAACGCAGATGTTGAATGTCATATTTGCAAGAATGGAAAATCAAGCAGTGAGTACAAATTCTAAAAACATAATACAAAATCTGTGTAGTTTGTCAGGTACTGCTTCTTGAATGAATTCTTGACTAGTATTATTTATAATATACAATCAACACCCATTGTCAGCGCCTTGGGACAACAACTACTTGCATTTATATAGTGCCCTTCATGCCATCTTGGTGTGCTTTACAGTGACAGAGCCTGACAGGAAGCCGAGGGGAGGGAGGTGGTCACTGTAAGCACGGTCAAAAAGGAAGGTCTTCAGCTGTGATTTGAAAAAGGGGAAGGTGGGGGATTGAGGGAGAGAGGTCCAAAGCTTCAAGGTGTAGTGGCTGAAAGCACAGCCGCTGATGGTTGAGCGGAATGCCTATTCCTCAGTTTCTTCGTTTCTACAGAACACCATACTTGTGTCAAATCTACTGTTTTCCTTCAAAATAAATTTGAATACTCTCAAATTATTTTTTTTCCAGCTTTTAAATATTATAGATGTAGTAAAATAAGTGTAAAAATGGCCCAGCATGAAAATATAACCTGAAGCCCTCATCATCCATCGTTAAAAAGCTCACAAGGTGTCAAAAGTACCCACCAGTATCTCAGAGATTGACAACTCTATTTTTATTTCAGTTGCATTTGTCGGTGGGGAAGGGAATGTGCGCTGTTCCGTTTCAGAGGTTAGCCATTCATTTTGGTCATGTTTACAGCTTCAGGAAGTTAAACAGATGGAAAAAGAGAGACATCGGCAGCAGCAACTCCAACAGTCGCCTGTGAACCAGCACGAACCTCAATCTCCGCAGCTGAGTCGATTGGAAGAACAGCCTGCTCTCGAACTGGAACAGGAACCTGAAGTGGAATCAAATCATTCCAATGAGGTGGACAAACGCATCCGGGAAGATGTCGAACCAGAAAATGGGGCGGACATTTGTAATACAGAAAATGAACAAACGGAAGTTGACCAGGCCACAGCAGCTGAAAGTAAATATGTTTGTTATTTGCTCTTTAAAAATATTCTGTATCAATTTTTAGAAAAAAATGTACAATTATATAAAAGCACTGTTGTATTTTGCAATTATCTTGGACGTGCTGCTGGCAGGTAAACTGCATATAACTTTACAGATAACTTTAAATGATTCTTTTAAGAGTTTTGTAGCTTGAGCAATTGTTTGATCTAGGATCCATGCGTGGCATTTCCTGCAGTCCAAGTATTATCGTTTTGTAAAAAATAACTATCCAATGCAGCCCCTTCAGCTACACCTAAGACATTTTTTCCCTTCCTGCTTTTGTTTTGTAAAATCAGAATAAGCTGGAAGGGTGTTTACTTGTTAGTCAGGATTTCAATGTGCTGGCAAGACTAGTTCTAATATACTCTACTAAAGGACAGATTACTCTCTTGTGATTTTGTTGGTCACCTCATAGATCTAGGACTACAATCCTATTTAGTGCCTTTTGGTGAATCATTAGGCTGCTGTTAGAGCTGATGTACATGTTTCTCACAGTTGGACACCACTTCGAACAAGACAGCGCAGGTGTGAACCAACAGTTTAATTGACATCCATTATATAAATAAGCACAATGGAATGACCCTTTCTGTGAATGTCAAGCAAATATAGCAGAAGAAATTTTGTGGGTCTTTTGTTGTACCACATAGTCGATGGAAAGGGATATGTGCCTGAGCTCCGGGCAGGACGATGGTGGCAACAACAAATTACATTTGTACAGCGCCTTTCACGTCAGGAGGACGTCCCAAAAATCCTCTCGCAATTTTTTGCTGAGCTGTACTGATCATCAGAAAACTCGCAGGGAGGTCTTTGTACCGGCATCCACCTCGGGATAGTTTGGATGGAATAGCATGAGCTAACACTTTACCGCACTTGACATACACATTATGTCAGTATTTGTCTTTCTTTAGATTTTTTTCAGAATTTCACTCAGGAAGAAATTACAGTAAAGAAGTTACATCTGGCACCTAACTTTTCTTTCACTGACAGGAAGTATACTTATTGGTGCACCCGGAGCACTGGCCTTTTGCGGAAATGTCAATCTAAGAAACTTTCATTTCCTTTGGAAATAAATCTTAGATAAGCTACTGCTAAATAGAAGACAGCAAATTATACCGTGGATTGCTGCCAGCAGATTTGATAAGAAATACCAGTTCATTCTTCAGAAAAAGGGTTTCCTTTCTCCATCCAAAATGAGAGCTATTTTATGTAGCAGTGCCTTTGGAGAAATTTGTATTTGCTCCCAGCCTTTATTTTGTTTCATCATGAATCCATCATTAACATTCATCGTAGGTCGCGGAAGATTTTTATTTACCAACATTAATGCATATTGGTATGGCATTTTTTTTTATTCCCCAAGAAATCAAGGATTACTGTTGAGATTATGGTACCAAGTACCCATAATACTCTCTCCACAATGCAGTAGTATAATGATCTAACCAGCACTCAAAACTTCAGAATAGAAACATTGGAAGCAGTTGCTGATGCCACTGTGTGTTTTGCTGTTCCTTCATACGATTTGCTCTAAATTACAATATTCTATTAATTATAGATCCAAATATACATAACTTTAAATTGGAGGAGTTGACACAAAAAAAATCATCCTTAAATCTCCATTTTTGTTGGACAAAATCATAGCTTATTCATGTTTGCTTTTGTTGTAATTTAGTCTTGGCTTGTTGGTTTGTACTGAGTACTTTGTGTTCTGTCCTTAAACAAGGTTTTCCAAAAGGGAATGCAGGTGGCAGTGATGGGGAGGGTCTTGAATATGAGGAAAATACACATGCAATTGTACAGAGCATTCTACAAGAATTGGTGACCACTGTTGTTGGAGGTAGTGTATTCATTTTCATCTGATTTCTTTTTCATGTTTTTGTTTGGTGCATGGGTGCTTTGTAAGTTTTCATAATATTGTTTTGTTTATCCCCAAATTTCTTTGCTTTTTTTCTATCACCAGAGCATTTTTTTCCTTCCGTTAAATTAAACTGCTTTTCAAAGGGAGAAATTTAGTTGGCTCTGGCAATTCTAAGAGCGTGCAGAATTTTGTGGGTTTTTTTTACCATTTAGTCTCTACTTATATATCTGTATCCAAGGCTAGGAATTGACCCCTATTGTCAGAAGGATTTGCTCCTGGCATTTATTCTGGCTTCAATTAACATTCAGGAAATATATCAGTCTGCTCATGTAAGTGGCTAGAGACTTGACAAATGAAAAGTATGGAGTCGATAATAAAATTGGGATGTGTTCAGTAGGATAGAAAGATGAAACAAAACTATGATTCTGTCCCGATTGATATTCTTAAGAAGAAAGTACACTGTTCGGAGAACAATTAGATTGGTGGAAGTTGAGGTGGGCAAGGATCTCTAGAAAAGATGAGATCAACTGATCGCTTGGGGTGGGGTGGAGATTGATTTGATGTTCGACTGTGGCAATATGAGGATCAAGGAGAAGAGAGATCTCGTCGCTGCAGTTTGCGCAGATATGTCCAGATAGGTTGTCACTTAACATAAGTATTAATCTCATTGGCAAATTTAATAACAAGTGAGAGTTCAAACTAAGAGAATGGGGAGTTAAAGGTTCAGAGGAAGAAAGATTATAGCAGGTGAGAGAAGAATAAAAAAATTAGACTGTAAATACTGTTACATCAGTTTTCAAAAGACAGATAGACGAATCTGAAAAGTGTGAAGGCTGAAATAGTTAAACGTAGTCTATTTACAATCAATGAAACTATGGAGACAATGTTTTTTTTAAAAAAACTAAACATCAAGCTTTATCTTCAATGCAGAAAGGGAATAAAGGTAACATTTTCAATGGGGACGTATTGTTCAGTGAATCTGAGGAATTATTTGACAATATCAGCTTTTGAGAAGTTGTTCGAATTTCATTCATTACACTTTTCATATTAGTTCAAAATTCTTCATTAAATTACATTTACTATGGAGGTTTCATATCATAGATGAGAGGTGTTTCTGCTTTTGAAAATTTCTATACACTAGTAATAGTTATTTTAAACAAAACATTATATGGATATTTAACTATAGTTAACTTCTAATCCAACAACTACCATAAGCATTTGTTTTATTTCATACTTTTTGAGTTGATTTGAAAAAATTAGAAACTCCTTTTTATCAATGTTGTATGTTTGCTGCAACTTTGTTGCTCTGTGAGCAATACATTAGTTTTTTTCCATTTTCTGCAGTGAACACTTGCCTCTTGAAAATTAATTGAAGGTAATAACAGGAAGTGCTATTTCGGTCCAATGATGTGAAAAGAAAAATGCATTGTAATTGTGTGTCGACTATATAATTTGTGTAATTATAACTTTCAGTGCAGACGGTTGAAAGCACATCTGTTAATGGTTGCATTTACAATGTTTAACTTTCTTACCTTTGTTTAGAAGACGGCAAGAGTTAGTAGGAGATTTCTTCATGTGGTGCTGTCAGGTCTTGCTGGGAAGCAAGAAACTCCTGTTTAACAGCATTCACTTCTTGTTGTGAATGTTATGGAATAAATATATTGACTTGTAGCCAAGTAGATTGGATAGATCATTTACTTTACTGTTGCATTAGTTTTAATAATGTGTTTTCAATGCGAGTTTAGATCTAACTGCTCTATATTTACCACTAAAGAGGATTCTATAGCAAAAGATAGCACCTTGCATTGTTCACGTTAATCTGCCGAAACTTTTTGCTTCTTGCAAACATTGGGTGCCACAATATCTTCAAAACAAGTTCTTTATTTTCCATTAATATTCTGTAGAGCCTTACAAATTGTGGTTTGATGGAAATATGTTGTCACTTGCAAGCTTCAATATAATTTCAGACAATAAAAGTTAGGCCTGGAATATCAGGATATTAGCTTTTATTATGAACTGTTTTTTCACTAAACTCTAGAAATATGTTATTTTGTGTAACAGAAAACCTTCTATCTCTCTTAGGTAATGAATTTCAATCATCTTACCCTGCCAAATGATTTCTGTTTATTTTGATTTCTGCGTTTTCCCCCTTTTTTATTCTACCTTTTAAAGGACCTCTTCCCACCACACATCTAGGCGGGTGGGACGATGCGGGCTGTGGACTCCTCCACAACCATCCTCAATGCTGCGGTGATTGGCCAATAATAAGTGCAATTGAAGGTGCGTGAGTTAGTGTCAGTCTTTCCTCCCCTTCCCTTCCAGAAAAACATTTATTTTGGCGAAGAACTTGACTAAACCCATTCACTAGCAGCCAGATTTCAGTGACTCGTGCCAGCTCTCTGCTTTAAACCGATAAGGTTTTGATTCTACTGGTTATTCACTAGATTTTAGTTCCTGAACATTTCTCAATTTGTAGTTACTTGTGAAATTTGGAGTTATTATAAATTACTTACAGCTAATCACTACTTTGTCTATTGGATGTTTCCAAACTGCATTATTGCGTTTTTTTCCTTTCAGTTTTTCACCACCAGTTGCTGAATTGATGTTGACGTTTTGTCTTGTAACACTTCCTCCTAAGTGACGAGCCCAGTATGGTGGTTGTTGAAGAGTATTTGGTGAAATAGTTAATCAATAGATATGGTGTCTTTTTCTAAATTCAGGAGAGAAACCTGATGGGAATGGATGTGCTGAAAGCACAACGAGCACTGTGGAGGATGAAACTGTGGGTGTCAGTGATACAGAAAATGTTCATTCAAATGGAATACCAGGGACACCAATATCTGTGTCATACACCCCATCGTTACCTGATGACAGATTGTCGGTTTCTTCCAGTGATACTCAGGTAATACCAAATAAAATGCAAGCTAGCTTCATTTCGTCATGTGTGACATTTATTTTGGATAGATATTTATTTCATTCCTAAATAAAATTGCAAACCATGAACAAATCGGATTAGAGTTAAATAATAAAATAAGTTTGCTGCACAGGCCTGCTCACAACTAAGAGATTTGCACAACTAAATGATATTAATGCATATGAAATAATTATTAGTTATATTCTTACCACAAAGCCTTGGAGTTCAAAGTCTAGGCTGACACTCCAGTGTAGTCTTGTGGAAGAGCTGTCCTTTGGATAAGACATTAACCAATGTCTCATCTGTCTGTTTAAGTGAACATTAAAGACACTATTCAAAAAGAGAAAGGTGTTTCTCCCCCCGGGAGGATAGGAGTCTGACCAACAATGCTCCAGTTAATTTGATTATCCAACTTCTGACTGTTTGTGGGACATTGTTATGTGTAGCTGCAGAGTCTTTTCTTGTTATAAATGGGATAAATTATATGAAGAAAAACTTTTTTACAATTTTGTTTAAAAGTGAAAGATGCTTTCTTACCATATCCTGTTCCCACCTTCCAAATATTGCTCTTTAATTATTTTCCGTCATTAGCTAAAGTGCTTTTCCTTAGACAATACAAAATTACATTTGTTATAGCACCTTTCAAGTTGGGAGGAAGTCCCAAGGTACTGGAATGATACCTTAATACATTTCAAAATCAATAGTAGCGAGAGAAAAAGAAAACTTACAGAACAAAAAGCATTCTTACTTCTAGCACTGAACTGTGGTATCAGATTATGGATACTGAAATAATGAAACTAGCTGTACACTTTAAGCGATACTATTTAAACCAATACAATTCCTCCTGTTTGCTTCAACTTCATAGATTTTTTTAGTTTTTAAAGAAATGGTGAATAAATTTTGATCTGCATTATATAATGTATATATGGATATTGTTTCCATTATGTAAGAGCAATTTGTTTTTTTTAAGGAATCTGGAGTCACTTCAGGAGGTCCTACTAGTGCTAAATTCTCCCACATTCTACAGAAGGATGCTTTTCTGGTCTTTAGATCACTGTGTAAACTTTCCATGAAACCACTCTCTGACGGCCCTCCAGATCCAAAGTGAGTATGTGAGATGAAAAGATTAAGTGATTTACCAATAAAGAGTGAATGTTCAAAGATGTGTTAAATATTTTTATATTTATGCTAAACGATCCATTCTTAACAGCTTTACTCATCCTAAATTTTCTTCACATAAATGCATTGGTTTTTGTCCCAGTGGAGTATTTCAGATCACACAAAAATAGTTACTGCAGGTATGGAGAATGAATGTAGTATAATCTCCCAACTGTTCAACAACAACAATTTACATTTATATAGCTCCTTTCACGTCGAGAGGATGTCTTGAACTGCTTCACACAACTGACTGGTAGCCAAGCTGGGAGGAGAGGGGAAAGGTGGCCCAAAGCACAGTCAGAGATGGGACTCAAGGTAAATTTTGAAAGCAGGGAGGGAAGGGGCAATGAGAAGTTCCTGAGAGTGGCTTATGGCTCATCCATTAAAGGTGGTGTGGGCAGGGTTATGAAGCAAGCCAGTACCTATTTGTGATTATGGGGATGGGAGGAGAAGCCATTGGAGAAGAAGTGAACATGCTGAGATAGGTAAGAGTGAAATCAGGAAAGGACAGTGTGATGGAGGTGGAGCAGGGAGGAGAGACTGGGGAAGGATGGTGTGGCCAACAGCTTCAAACACAGTATCAGGAGGACACACAAAAGGAGACCTGGTTACAGATAGAGAGAAAGTCATTTGTGACTTTAAGCAGGGCAATTTTGGTCCTAAGGGTTGGGTGGAAACTGGACTGAAAGACTTGTAGAGAGCTGGGGAAAAGGAAGATTGAAGCTGAAAGGGATGACACCTTGGGAGGGAAAGGCAAGTTGGAAATGAGTTGGAGAGCATGGAGGGGTTGAGGGATGTTTTCTTGAGGAATGGGGTGATGATGGTGGTTTTGAAGGGTGAAGGTTCTGTGCCAGTGGAGAAGGAGCGGCAAGGAGGGGAAGATTAGTGACAGGAGAAGTATTTGCATAAAATTAACATTACAGATACTTCTTTGTAATCTAAATTTGTCAAGGAACTCTTGTTTTTAACTAAAATTGTTTGAATAATGTGTACCTATTATCATTAATAAACTACATCATGTATCTTCACCGCTGGTGTTATTCAAAGTTTACTTTGAACATAGTTTCAGCCTAGCTCAGTGACAGCATTCTTGCCTCTGAGTCAGGAAGTTGTGAGTTTGAGCCCTAAGTTGAAACTTAGAACTCAGGCAAGGCAGAACACTCCTGTACAGTGCTAAGGATGTACTGCATTGTTGAATGTGCCATCCTCCGGTCAAGGCATTAATCTAATGTCCCGTCTGCCTATATAAGTTGAAGATGATTGTGAAGCAGGAGAATTAACAGTATTGCTAACTGGCATGCAACGTATAAAGTAAATACCGATGGTGGAGTTATACATTCAATACATTTGAAGGTTTCATAACCATGTAGGTGAAGCTTAAACTTAGTTACTAAGACACCCCACTTGAGGGATATAAAAATTACCCCAATTCCTCATATTTTCTATTTTAGCTGCAGCTTTTGAAGTGTTAATGCAGGATTCTAAAGTTTGTATTCATCCAAGGTCTCTGAGGGACCAGCAGATTGTGTTCATTAGGAGGCTGATGTCTCTGAATGTAAATTCGTAATTGTAGCTGAATAATGTGTATCTCATCTGGACATATTTTGAAATTTATTCATGACCAAACTTGTAATTAAAAAATGGGAGGAAAAAAGTTAATAATTAGGATCGTAATCAACATAGCCAGAAGGAAAGAATGAATTATTATTATTATGCCATATCATATACCACATGGGTGCACAATGGTTATAAACCAATTTTTTTTTGCTATCTAGTTTATGTAAAAACACTCTAATTCTGCTTTTTTCAAAAGTGGTATTAAAACAAAAACTTATGTTAATATATAAATTTGACAAATTTCAAAAGGTTCCCTTTTCACTTTGTACCTTTATATAAAAAAAATTGTATTCAAACTTTTTTTTAGATCTCACGAACTACGGTCAAAGATCCTTTCATTGCAACTACTTCTATCAATTCTGCAGAATGCTGGACCCATCTTTCGAACAAATGAGATGTTCATTAATGCAATAAAACAGTATCTTTGTGTAGCATTATCAAAAAATGGTGTCTCCTCAGTACCAGAAGTGTTTGAGCTTTCACTTTCCATCTTCCTCACTCTACTCTCCAACTTTAAGACTCATCTTAAGATGCAGATTGAGGTAAAGTATTACCTGACTCTAACCATTGTAATTTTAGAGATTATTAACTCGTTCATTAATGTGGAATAATATTAACCTCATTAGGCTCTGTTATGCTTAGTAATTGTACATTTTGCAGTACATTATACAGATGAATATTTTTTATTATATGCAATCTAATCCAATAGTTTATTATTTCAAGGCAGGTCTTTTCATTGCTTTTACTTTATTGCTCAAATATTGTAAGGGTATTTGCAAAAAATCATTTTTTTTATGGATGATCCATCTTTATTTTCCACTTCCCCTCTTTCCTGAATTTCCTTCCCCTATATACTGTAATATGTAACCAAGAGAGCTCTACGAGGTTGCTGTGACGTTGGTTATCAAGGCATGGAAGAGCATGGTTTAATGTGACTCGGAGTTTCCTTTCCCCCCTCTGTCTAATTTAAACAGACCAGGTTTATAATAATAATAATAATCCTTGCATTTGATATAGCGCTTTTCACATCGGGAGGACGTCCCAAAGCGCTTCACTGAACACACTGTAAAATGAATTGACTGTATATTTGTGGGCAAACGCGGCAGCCAATTGCGCACAGCAATGTCCCACAAACAGTCGTAGATTGAAAATGACCAATTTATTTTTGGTTTTGGAGGGATTATTATTAGGCGTGTGGAGTAAGGAAACTTGCCCAAGGTTTCGCCCTCTGCCTGGAATTGAACTCAGGTCTCTCACTTGCAAAGCGAGTGCTCTAACCACTGAGCTACAGGACTCCACAAAATACAGCCCAGGTTTCTGTATTCCTGATATGCACTTGATGCCTTCCCATGGCAACAAAGCATTTGTACCTCATCACGGAGTATCTGAGCTGTGAACGTAACTTGTGCCACCTGAATAACGTCTGAATTTTGTGCTGGTTTGAAATTTCAGAATTAAAACCTTCAAAGCATTATTTCACAATGAGTGTATGTACAGTAATAATATATATTAAGGGCTGTAGCTCAGATATAGTTTTCACTTAATTCTGCCCTAAAATTGATGCTAAATAGTTCTTACTAAAGCAAATACTTTAATATTCCCCAATTAAGATTTTGCATCCTGATCCTATCGCATTTTCTTTGCAATAGCCTTGTTCTGGGAAGGCAAGAGGCATACCATCTTGGACACTGAATTAAAATATATAACAATAAATAAAGGTTGCATTTTATTGTAGTCATTGTCCTAGATAAGATGTTTCACTAAAATTGTTCTCTGTTTTCTTGGTATGGGAAGTTATGCTTTGTGTCTCCACTTTTCCATGATATGATTGATTTTTGGCTTCCAGGTGTTCTTCAAGGAAATTTTTCTTTATATTTTGGAGACGTCTACAAGTTCATTCGATCATAAATGGATGGTAATTCAGACTCTGACCAGAATATGTGCAGGTATGGGTTTCTGAGTTCATTTTTCAAAACGTTAGTTTTTGAAGCAATTGGGACCATTTCACAATTTAAATTCATTGTGGTTGAATTTACAGATGCTCAAAGTGTGGTGGACATTTATGTAAATTACGATTGTGACTTAAATGCTGCCAACATCTTTGAGAGACTGGTTAACGATCTGTCCAAGATCGCGCAAGGACGGGGCAGCCATGAGCTGGGGATGACGTCTGTGCAGGTAACTTTAATTGGTAATGCATAAAAATCATCTGCAAGTTAGTTAAGGTTCCAGTTAAAGAATTTTCTTCTTCATTCTCCACACACCTAGAATAAACTGTATGTGAGAGAAAAACATTTCATGAAATAGTCGCATGATTTCATTACCACGCCTGTTTATGCGATGCACATTATTCTGGGCTTTCAGTTGTCTTTTGAAACTAGTTTAGAGCCATTGTTTTGAAAGTTGCTCTCCATCTCCAAAGTGGAGGATTGAGACAAAGTACGTAGAACATTTGAAACTTCATTTTAAGTTTAGATTAGTCAAAAAATTTAAATGGTATCTAAGAATACGATGAGAGAAAAATGATGACGGTTGAACAAAATGTGTTTAATATTTTATGTGTAAACATATTATCACAGTAGTTTAATGTTACATAAAGCAATTTGTGAGCTTTGCATAGCATTATTGCTGTTTATTTCTGTATTCCTGTGAGTGAACTGAAAACCTTAAACTTAATGACCTAGTGACAATGGAATTTTATTATACCTGCCAACATACTCTTGGCTACAAAAATGACCTGATTAAAATATAGTATTATGTATGAGCCACTTGTGAAAATCACTTTGCATGTAACTTGGTACTATATAATTCACATTGTCAAAATTCAGAGCCCCGTGTAACCAGGGCTATAATTTTTCGTGAATCTTGTCCTAGTCTGATGCACTGTCAAATTGCCTTTTTAGGAACTTAGTCTGAGGAAAAAGGGTTTGGAATGCTTGGTATCAATTTTGAAGTGTATGGTGGAGTGGAGTAGAGACCTGTACGTGAATCCAAACTCTCAGACCAGTCTTGGTAAGATTGATATTTGTCATTTTGTGAGTCTTTTTAATAAAAAAGGAAAAAAATGCCCCTAGACACAGGAAGCAAAGTAATTATCAAATGTGTTTGTGAACTAAAAGTTAAATGTTTAAATTGCTGAATTTAAAATCATCTTGCAACATAACTTGGGTGTTAAGCATTGTTGCTTCCTTTATTTTCAGCATCAAATAAGTTTTTAAGCTAATAAATTGTACTTTAATAAACGTATCTACAGAGAAAGCAAACAGATTTTTATCTGAATTTTTTAAATTTTAAAGATGAAATGGTTTCACACATTGCTACAATTAAGCAGCAAAGATGGTTTTAATAACCTGGTACTGCAAAACGTAATATGGTGATGTAGAGCGTGAAGCCCTACTTATACTTTCTGCTCTTCTCTGATTTCAATTGTAGATGAAGAAAACAAATACTGACATCAGATTTATTTTAAATGTTACAACAGGCAGGCCCCTTAATTGGAATGAGCCCAATGCAATTTTATAGAATAGAGGTGTGAACTATTGCTTCTGAAACCATCTCTTGGATTAACCTCCTCCAATTGACTGCAATTTTGACTGTCTTGAGTTTCCATTTATACTGCACGTATGGCAGCAGATCCCAAACTGACAATTTGTGAGCACATCGTAACAATATAAATGCAATATACTTTTAGATTCAGATTTAAGGATTTTTTGGTGCTTAAAATAAAATGAAAAATTCTTCGGGTAAATATGGAAAGCCGTTTTTGAATAAGATTTTAGCTTTCCCCACTTAGTTCAGGTTTTTCACACATGAGCAAAATGGGTTTCATAATGACATGTATCCAGAGAAATATATTTTTGCTTTGTGAGTTCAGTATGTGAATTGCTGACTCCTTTAAATACGACATATCTTCTGTCTCCTTTGACATTAGTTTTTCCACCTTGTTTTATGAGCGTAGATTTGTTTTTATTTTTAGGTACTTTCGTAATTTTTTATGACGTACATTCTATGCCATTCCTTTTATGCCCAACTTCAAGGATAATGAAAAAAAAATAAACCGTAAAATATGGCTTGTGCATTGTGTGCCTTAACTACAGTAAATAGTTAGCCATTTTAAATATAAATTCATACCTGATTAGTTAGGCGAAATTGTTTTTAATGTGAAATCCATATTTTACTATTTTATGGCTATCTTAATCAGGAAGGGCAGGTATGTAAAGTGTACCTTTTNGTGTTGCTTTCGACAACTTCAATAAGATTAGTGTGTATGGGAGTGTCGCATAGTTTTGACTTAGTGGGTTTTCTAGTTTTGTGCACTGTTATTAATTTTATTAGCTGATGTAGTGGAATAGAAAGGACATAGTTGCTTAGATTGACAGTAGTTTATACATACATTTTTTGCTGATTTAGTTTAAAAGGCTTACCCTAGTCTAACTTTAAAAAGCTTCAAATATTTTGAAGATTAACAAAGTTACTTTTTTTTGCTATGTTAATTGAGGCCATATATCTTGTCATTATTTTACTTTTCCGTCCGTTGCTCATGACAGAGGATTACACTATTGTTCCATTATAATTCCAACCTAGTAAAAAATTGTCTTGCTCTGTTAGAAATAAATGCTTGAAAATTAGATTATCAACAATGTAGTTTAATGTTTTTTGTATTTGATTCAACAGACAAAGACTAATTTAATGAGGATGGTTTCATTCATAAATTAAAGAATTTTACGATTGTATATTTTAATTATTCTTGGGATGCTTTGACCTCTGCTATTTACAAATCTTTTTATAAAATGATTTCTAATTCCTAATAATTTGAGTGTTTTGAGCCTAAATAATATCCAATAATTTTGGTCTGGTGGTGCACCATTATGGGGAAAATGTGGTGGTAACAGTGTTTGTAATTCACATTTCTGAACTCTTTACTTACAACTAGAAATTCAAGATAAAAGTCCCATAACTACTGTCACTCAAATTCTTAGTTAAGTCCAGTTTGTCAGATCACAATTAGACCCATTGCACCATCCTAAAGAAAGTGATGAATTATTCAGTCATACTTTCTGATGTTATCTTATGGATTGAAATTGGCATCATGGAGATGTTAATGGTTTGTTTTCCATTGGATTGAATATTTAATAAAATCATTGAACATTAACAATAAGCTACCCAACACCCCTGTAAGAATCTAAACAATGCAAGTAGAACAGTACTGGGCTTATTCCTTTCTTGTGGTTGAAAACTTGACATTCTAGTTGGAAGTAATAAACTATCTAATTTTGAATAGATTTTTTTTACATATGGTGAATAGACGACCAGATTTCTGAGTTCATTTTTATTCTTATATGGATGCAGGACAAGAAAAAACTTCAGAGCAAGACAACAATGAAAACAAGCATCCCGAAACAATAAACCGATATGGGAGTATAAATTCCTTGGATTCTACAGCATCGTCAGGGATTGGCAGCTATAGTACTCAGACATCCGGTGCAGACAACCCCGAACAATACGAGGTTTTGAAGCAGCAAAAAGAAATCATCGAACAAGGAATTGAGTTGTAAGTCTGATAACAGGAACTGAATAGATATGTAAATTAGAATTTTGGAGGCTCCCTTTATTTCATGTAATTATTTACTGGCAAGTATAAAAATATAAGAAACTAGGAAACATGTCTCCCTGCCTCAGTTGGTAATATTCTTACCACTGAGACAAAAGGTTCTGATGTAAACCCCATGTCATATTCTAGTGCTGCATTGTCAGGTGCCATCCTTCAGATGAGATATTAACCCAAAATCCTGTTTGCCTGTTCAGTTGGATGCTGAAGATCCGATGGTACTATTTGAACAGAAACGGGAGTTTCTCCTAGTGTTCTGGCCAACAGTTCCCCCAGATAAAATTGATCATTCATCTCATGGCTGTTTTTGGAACATTGCTGTGTGTAAAATGGCTCCTGAGTTTGCCTTCAAAAACACTTTACAGTTGTACAATTTACAGTGAATCTCTGATTCACTTTGAGATGTTTAAGTGATAAGGGGGCATATCAAACACAAGGATTATTATGAAAAGATGAAGGTATTAAGATAGATACTCTTATCTTTGCACGTGTATCCTGCTTGTCAAAGTCCTAACAGGTAGCGGAAATATTAAGAGAAACAAAATATATATTTTCCTTTGAAGATGTGAAGTTTGATGTTAATCATTTCAAACCACTAATTTGTAAATGACAATATATTTAGTAAACCAGTTACAGAAGGATCTGTGTGCCATATGTGTGTTCCAAGTTTGAAATTTATATTCGCATTTATACAGATTTAATAAGAAACCAAAGAAGGGTATACAGTACCTACAGGAGCAAGGGATGCTTGGCACGACACCTGAGGATATTGCCCAATTTCTACATCAGGAAGAAAGATTAGACACGGTAAGATATTAAATTACAATGGGGAGAATTAAAATAAACGTTCTCAGTTTCTTTACAATATACCTAAACTTGCCAATCTCTGTTCAAATGAGTTTTACTTCAGCCTCTGTGTTTTAAGGTCTAGATGTTTTCTCTTTTTGAGAGACCGGAAAAAGAAAAAAAATTCTTACAAGGGCTTAAAAATGGTTCGATTAAAAATGGATATGGTGATATTCATGTAATATTTACTGTGGTTTATTTACTGACTGGAGTTTCAGCAGTCTGATGTTTGCTTTCTGATTGGAGACCAGGAAAAGATGTGGGCTCTTTCACTTTGCAGATCTCTTGTGGATTGAACAGACAGTGCTAGTGGAGTTCATCAAGCAGATGGGAAGGAAGAAAAAAGGAAACTGGGTCAGATTGTAGGAGAGTTAGTGCTCAAATGTAAATAAACACATTTACAAGTCTTGCGGAGTTTCTATGAATGTTTCTACTTTTTCATGTTTTGAGAAATATTCTAAAGGATAGAGGGATTACAGAATATAGGGATAGGACAGGTAAATGGAATTAGGTTGGAAGATCAGCCATGATCTTATTAAATGGTGGGGTAGGCTCAAGGGGCTGAATGGCCTACTCCTGCTCCTATATCTTATGGACTATTCTTTAGAAAAAAAAAGGCATTTTAACATGCCATTAGCAGTAGATTCAGTACCAATGATGATATAATACAGATCATGGTGGCTTATTTATAATGTTATGAATTTGTTATGCTTGTTCCATACAGAGTTGGATTAAAATATAAATTCATAGTTGGCAGACATTGGAAAATTGAAAATACTTATTTTTCCATTTGGACAATTTTCGATGAGGCAGTTTAGTATCCTCTAGAATCTGAAAGAAGCCCTGTGTGATACTGGTTTCTGTAAGTTAATTTTGAAAAAAAAACCTGCTTTTCCAAAATATCACTGTCCAGTGTAGAACTGACGTGCCCAAATCAGGAAGGTTCCAGGTTTTATCCCAGTATGTACTAAGATCACCTGATTATCAGTGCGGGTCTATAATTGCCCCCAACACCCATGGACCAAAGAGGAAAATTGGTCATGGTTTTCTCTTCATCATTATCTTTAGATTTTTGCTGAAACACTTGTGCCTGAAGAATGCTTTGAGTTTGGCTGTGAAGGGTGTCAGCCTGTCTCAGTTTGTAGCAGTCTTGCTTCTGAGCCGGAAGGTTCAAGCCCCACGTTGGGTCTTTAAGATCATAATCCAGGCTGACACTCCACATCAGGATTGGCTGTTTGTGACAGTGTTGTTAACAAATTGACTGCCTTATTTGCCTACAAAGTACACAGATACTACACTTTACAATAAAAAAAATTCCTGTGAAGCACTTTGAGATGTCGTGACAATGTGATAAGGTGCTATATCCAATTGCAAGGATTATTATGCCTCATGATTGATTAGCCTATCTTGGTTGCTTTGCAGGCTCACTTGACTTAAGATACTGAAGCAATTAGTGCCTTAGGAAGTTCCCAGCATGATTCACTGCCTGCAATTACAAATGGGAAATGTGCCATCAAATTGGGAGCAGGGGCAAATAACGAAAATCAATATGTACAAGTTGAAAAAATCATTGGTCACAGGGAATATCATATTCGGCATCAAAAAATTATGCAATCCTTTGATTTGGATAGCAAGCGTATGTAATACGCCTGAAATTTTGTGTGGATTACATATAAATCAAAACATGACCACACAGCCTCCAGCTGCTTCATGGCATGATCAATAAACTGTTCCATTAATGAGGTTTCATTTAGTGAGTTCACTAACTCTTCACTTTATTGAAGTTGATAAGATGATAATCATAAAGAAAACCTCTTTGGGTGAGAGTGGCTAATAAGGCAGGTTTATAATAGTCCAAGTTATTCATTGTTCGTTCAATAACCCAATGTCTTAATAGGTAGGTCAGCCTTTAATAATAATCCTTGCATTTGATATAGCGCTTTTCACGTCAGGAGGACGTCCCAAAGCGCTTCACAGAACACACTGTAAAGTGAATTAACTGTATATTTGTGGGCGAACGCGGCAGCCAATTGCGCACAGCAATGTCCCACAAACAGTCGTAGATTAAAAATGACCAATTTATTATTGTTTTTGGTTTTGGAGGGATTATTATTAGGCGTGTGGCATAAGGAAACTTGCCTAAGGTTTCGCCCTGCCTGGAATTGAACTCGGGTCTCTCGCTTGCAAAGCGAGTGCTCTAACCACTGAGCTACAGGACTCCACTAATTTAAATAATTCCCTTGCATATTTTATATATTTTTTATAATTTTCATCTAATATGTACAAGCTTTCAGTGGAACTATAATTCCTTCTGTTTTGTAGACACAAGTAGGGGAGTTTGTTGGAGATAATGACAAGTTTAATAAAGAAGTCATGTATGCCTATGTGGACCAGTTGGACTTTTCATCAAAAGATTTTGTCTCGGCTCTCCGTATGTTCCTGGAGGGCTTCCGCCTACCAGGAGAAGCTCAAAAAATTGATCGATTGATGGAGAAATTTGCTGCTAGATACCTCGAGTGTAACCAAGGGTGAGTTGTAATTTTTAAGTATTTAGCCTGATATAGAATGTTACAGCACAGAAAAGGGCCATTTGGCCCATCAAATCTGTGCTTGTGTTATTCTCCAATAAGCTAAGACCGCTAATTAGCTCAATCTGGAGACGCTTCAATAAGTCTCTTCAACAATCTATCTAATTTTCATTTCAATGGATTTATATGGTTTGAGTTGGAGAATTCCAAGTTCTCACCACCTTCTGCATAAATAATTTAACTTCCCCTTTCACTTTTTTTTATAATTACCGTAACTTTGCGTCCTCTAATTACTAACTTGTTGACCAATGGTAATCTATTACTATTTCGACTAATGCCATCTCGCTTGTGGGACCAGCCAGCTCAACCTTCCTGGTTGTTCATTTTAAATCACTAATTCAATGCACAATCTTGGTATTTTGATTGACCCTCAGCTTTCCTTTAAACCTTTTATTTCTGGGTTTTCATAAGTCTACTTTCTTACACTTCTGCAACATCACCCACCTCTATCACCACCTCACCCCTCGTGCAGCCGAAACCATCATCCACCAGACTAGATTCTCCAACCATTTATGGCATGAATCGAGAAATATTCAATCAAGAAAATATATTGCCATAAGTGTTTTATGTGGTAATTTATGCAATGATTCTTATAAAACCATATTAACTGCAGATTCATTTAACAAAGATCTTGCAATAATGAAAGTTTGTGTAAAATTTATTTTATATTTTCCTGTTTCAGACAAACACTTTTTGCCAGTGCAGACACAGCTTATGTACTGGCATATTCAATAATCATGCTAACCACCGATCTTCACAGTTCACAGGTAAGGCATACAAAAAAGAGAAATATTGTACTTTTCACACTTGACACTTTTAGGTTCTATTAATCAGCTTCACTGCTACCTAATTGTACAAAGAGAAATTGTGAATTAAACAGGTTAACATAGCGTAACTTAGCATGACTTTCGCTGCAACCTCTAATTCACTTTATTTGAAGTGTTGGCAGAGAGTTTTTGTATTGTAGCCTTCAGTAACCATTAGCTTACCACATCAGTAACTGAAAAGGAAATTTTGTTTTCAATACCTTCACTGTGAAACAATCCTTCACCTACAAATACACGTAAAAAAGCAGTTATTGCACTCAGTGGGCATATCACAATTGAGTGCAATTCTAAACTCAGGTAATAAACACCAGAGAGGTCAGTGGATAGTGATGAGGAGCAAGAATCGACATCTTCACTGAGCGCCCATGTTACACTGCAGTCCCAACAGAGGTGGCTAACTCAGCTCAGTGCAGCGATTGAATCTGGTGTTTTGCTGATCTGTGTGGATTAGTACAACCATTACTGAGTCGCCATTCGAGCTACTCACTCAGAATTTTAAGGCATGTTTTGACAATAGTCACATTTTTATTGCACAAACAGCAAAACCCCAGATTGTGAAGCAGCTTTACCAACAGGGTTTCAATGAGATTCTCAAATGTTGCTTTCTTTTGATTTGATCCAAAATAGGTTAAGAACAAAATGACAAAAGAACAGTATATTAAGATGAACAGAGGAATCAATGATAGTAAAGATCTGCCTGAAGAGTATCTATCGGCTATCTACGATGAAATAGCAGGAAAGAAAATTTCAATGAAGGAGACAAAAGAGTTAGCAATTAAATCTTCTAAGCACAGTAAGTTGAAGTTTGGTATCAGTAACCTTTAATCCTTTGTCACATGACTATTCTTATTACATTACCTTGAAAGCAGTTTTACAAGGACGTGTTTCACCTAATATCTATCTGGAAAGCTTTCTTCTTTCTTACAACCAAGGTAATGCTTTTAGTTTAAATCTATGAGGAAATGTAGCTAGGAAAGTAACAGAGGTGGAAGTAGCATTAAACTCCAAACCTGGTGGAAGAAGACAATATGAGGCATTTTTGAAAGCAGTTCGTAAATAAAATTTTGTAGATTATAAGCATAAATTCTAAAACTTGTTACAGAGAATCTTTGATTTTAAAAAAAGCTATTTAAACTTGTTCGGTTATTCTAAAGTTGCTGAGCATGAGAAGCATTTTAAATAATCCTTTGTGGCATTGCACTTTGCAAATCTGTTATGATTATAACTGTTTATTCTGATAGTTGGGGTCAGAGCTGATAAAAAGCCTAAGGCTGTGCAGAGTGCTTTGATCAGCTTGAAGTCTCAATTTTCAACATAAATTATGCTGAGCATTATAGCCATTTGTGAATCACAACATTATCATTGAGGTAGCATGGTGAAAGCTTCTCGTGAAATTGCTTTTATCACTTATTACTCTCTGTTCTGTCAAGCCAAGTGAGGCTTACATCACTGGAAGAGTTTCTTATTGTTTAAAGTTTTAAACAGCCTGCTGAACAAGGCCTAATATCCTCCACAAGGGTGGAATATTTTAAAATAGCTGGAATGTCTTACATTCCACATGTCTTACATTTCTTCGTTTCACCCTACCACACACAACACACACACCACACACACGTTTAATATATTATTGAGGTTGACATTTGTAAATCAGATGCTGCAGTTTGTGATTGAAGTTATGGGATTCCCTATGAAAAAAATGTTTTAAATGGTAAAATACTGATCCTGAAAGCCTGCAAAGACCTCATTACGGTCAGGAATTTTATCTTTTGTTGACATTTTGAGGCTTCTTTTTCTTAGTCGAGAAACTGCTTGAAAGCCAAAATGCTGGCTTCAGATGTAAACCAGGGGAAGTGAATAAAACTGGCCTTTTGAGTTCAATCTTCTTCTTGGACAAGAAAGGCCTTATTGAGCTTCATTCATATGAATATGGTGCCAGTTATTTAAGTCTGTCCACATTTTATAATTTAGTCTGCCATACCAGTGCAGGACTGGGAAACACTGTATTGCCAGAGATGCCATCATTTGAATGAACTGTTTAACTGACATCTGGTCCACCTAGGCAGGTGAACATCAAATATCTCATGACACTATTTAAAAAGAAATGGATGTTTGTCCTTTTGTCCTGAACATCAATCCTCCAGATGAATTGCTAATTCACTTTATAGCTGTGTGTGGATTGTTGGGTAATTTGTGATTGGAATGCTGGATTTTCTTACAAATATCATCTCTACCCTTGATAGCAATTACCTAGAGAGCAATTTGAGACCTTTTGTTATTTTATAGGCACTATATCAAATAGAAAAATTATTACTTTGTCAGTATAGCCTCTTATGCTTGATTCGTCTTGACATTTTTCTTTCTCCATGTAAAGACAATTTCTAATCCTCGGTATTATCCTTGTGGGTCTCTATTGCACCCTTCTCCATGGGTCTTTCTTTTATAAAATGGGACGACCAAAATTCTCGGCAATATTCCAACTTTGGGTTAACCGATATCTAGGATAAATTTAACATTACCTCCTGCTCTTCTGTTATGATGAAAGAGTTAATGTAATAGAGGATGAGTTTCAGTGGGCTGAATAGCGTTTTCTCATCCCTTACTTTGCTTATGTTCTGAATAATTCACGTGTTATTTCCTTGCATGCGTTTTGTGTTCTCACCACATTTGCACTGCTTCATAGATACTTTGCAAAACCTTGAAGACCATGATTTTATGAGTGTTGCATTCTTCTAGGTTTAAAATATTGTACCTATTTCTTCCCATTAATGAATTGTTAAGCTCAGTGGTACAGTAATACACGCTTTGCAAGTGAGAGACCTGAGTTCAAAGTGAAAAGCGCTATATCAAATGCAAGGATTATTTTTAATCAAAAATAGTATTTACCAGTTTTGTTGATTCTTCAGTGTGGGTGTTGTCTTCCATCATTTAGACGGAATATCTGCAGGCTGTCTGCATTCAACTTGACATTCACAGCCATTGATAAAAGCCACTGAAATGGAATAAAGCAAGTTTGAGCTTTGTGGAAGGGGGAGCGGGGGGTGGAGAGGAGAAAAAAATCCTGAAGTAGCTTCAAATCTGTGGTCTGACTTTAGGGTCCAGATGATATTTAACGACCAATTCAAGCTTTGCTTCTGCAGTTTGAAATCATCGGATCCATCTGAGTTTACGGCCTTGTAATCGCTTCCAGGAATCCATTACTCTCCAACAAATGAATCCTAGTAAAATATATGTTGGTAATTTTGCAAAGATGTATACCTTGTATTACATGGAATTGTGCTCCTCTCGATGCTTGCAGATGTAGCCAGTGAGAAACAGCGCAGACTTTTATATAACCTGGAGATGGAGCAAATGGCGAAAACCGCTAAAGCCCTCATGGAGGCTGTAAGCCATGTACAGGCACCTTTTACCAGTGCTACACACTTGGATCATGTTAGGCCAATGTTTAAAGTAAGTCATTCATTCCTGCTGGAATCATATATTGCTAAGTGTCTTTGTTGATGTTCAAATAAACCCTATCACTTTCTAATCTTCCTTCTGTGAGCAAATTTTAAATTCATTCTACCCTTCCCCCTTGGCGACATCATCCGCAGACATGGAGTTAACTTCCACATGTATGCGGATGACACCCAACTCTACCTTTCCTCCTCTACTCTCAACTCCACGACCACCGATGTCCTGACAGCCTGCCTGTCCGACATCGAGTCCTGGACGAGAGACAACTTTCTTCAGCTCAACGTGCGAAAAACCGAGGCCCTCCTGATTGGTTCGCGTCAGCGCCTCCGCACCTCAGGCGCCAACACCATCAGCATCCAAGGCTGCACTCTCCACCTCTCAAAGCCAGTCAGGAACCTCGGCGTTTTGTTCGACCCTGAGCTGTCCTTTCTCCCTCACATCCGCACCACAACTGGCACCGCCTTCCATCACCTCCGGAACATCGCCAGACTACGCCATTACCTCACCCCTCACGCTGCTGAAACCCTGGTTCACGCCTTTGTCACCTCAAGGCTGGACTATGGGAACTCTCTCCTCGCCGGCCTTCCTGCCACCTCCCTCCACAAGCTGCAGGTCATTCAGAACTCTGCAGCTCGTGTACTGTCTCGCACCAGGCTTCGGGACCACATCACTCCCACCCTCGCTCGCCTCCACTGGCTCCCCATCCCCCAGAGGATTGATTTCAAGATCCTCATCCTCACCTACAAGGCCATTCACGGCCTTGCTCCCTCCTACCTCTCCAACCTACTATCCCACTACCTACCTGCCCGTACCCTCCGTTCCTCCGACTCCGGTCTGCTCCACGTCCCCCGCCCCAATCGCCCTACCATTGGTGGTCGGGCCTTCAGCCTCTCAGCCCCGAGGCTCTGGAACTCTATCCCCCAGTGCCTTCGCCTTGCTTCCTCCCTCTCCTCCTTCAAGGCCGGTCTCAAAACCTTTCTCTTTGACCGAGCCTTCAGCTCCCCTCTCGACTCTCTTCCCCCTTCTCGCTCCCTCCCATCCCTCCCCTCACCCTGACCATTTCCCCCTCCTCGCTCCCTCCCTCCCCTCACCCTGACCATTTCCCCCCTGCTCGGGTCATGACCCAACTGTGCAGCGCCTTGGGACGTCCTCCTGACGTGAAAGGCGCTTTATAAATGGAATCTTGTTGTTGTTGTTGTACCCATTTCACCTCTTCTCCCACTCAAATGCGGTAACCGTATCATTATGTACCCTCCAAAATGGAAAAAAAACAGACTGACCCACAATCCCAGGCCATTCTCTTCCACCATCAACTTGCAAGAAGTGCATTTCTTGTAGGACAAGCCAGTCCATTTTGCCATTCCCCTCACACGGTTTCCCCTAAAAAAACAATGAAGCAAACCAACACCTTTCCAAATGGATGGTTGGAAATTGGATTAAAATGACAGCCAATGCTACAGTTTGGCCTTGCAGCTTTTTNGTTTACATGCCAAGCTCTGGCACTTGAACTGATGTCCCCTGTTCAGTAAACCAGGAATCAGGAACCTCGGTGTTCTGTTCGACCCTGAGCTGTCCTTTCTTCCCCACATCCGCGCCACAACTGGCACCACCTTCCACCACCTCCGGAACATCGCCAGACTATGGCACTACCTCACCCCTCACGCTGCTGAAACACTGGTCCACGCCTTTATCACCTCAAGGCTGGACTACGGGAACTCTCCTCCGACCTACTATCCCCCTACTTACCTGCCCGTACCCTCTGTTCCTCTGGCTCCGGGCTGCTCCACATCCCCCGCCCCAACCGCCCTACCATCAGTGGCCGGGCCTTCAGCCTCTCAGCCCCTAGGCTCTGGAACTCTATCCCCCAGTGCCTTCGCCGCCTCCTCCCTTTCCTCCTTCAAGGCCGGTCTCTAGACCTTTCTCTTCGACCGTGCCTTCAGCTCCCCTCTCGACTCTCTACCCCCTCCTCGCTCCCTCCCTTCCCTCCCCCTGACCAATTCCCTCCTGCTCGGGTCCCGACCCAACTGTCCAGCACCTTGGGACGTCCTCCCGACGTGAAAGACTCTCTATAAATGCAATGTTGTTGTTGTAAACCACTTTCAATAAATCTTTTATCTGCATAAGACCTCTATAAATATGTTGCTGCTTTTATAACACCATGCATATTTAACACAATGTCCGTGTGTCTATGCCAAAGATTTTGCAGAAATGCCATGGATTTTCATGAGCTAATTAAGTTCTGTCAGACATTTGCAGATAAAATTAGGAAGATTGAACAGTAAGGAATAAGAAAAATACATTTGGCCCATCATGCCCAATAAATCTACTTTTATCATGAACTCTACCAAAGCTCTTTAGCTTTTTTTAATTCCCTCTGCTCCCCAAAGTAAATAGAGTTAGCCTTCAGAATATATATTTAATATTTTATAAAATGTTATGTTGGAACAACATTGATGTGACATTTTGATGGTCCCAAGCTGTTCAGAAACCATTGCGTTCCATAATATTATGGTCAACTGTGATTATCCTTATAATAATCCTTAGAAACCTTAATCCCTTTCCTAACCAGATGTCTGATTCTCTTTTTCTAAAATAGTTCATGAAAGCAGCATTAATTATTTCTTCAAAATATATTCTCCATATAGTTAATACTCTTTGACAAAATATGTTGTATCTATGCTTAAAAATGAAATTATGCTTGAGACTTAATACTGTTCCGTTCATGTTCTAAAATTCCATTACAAATAGCCTGTTTAGATCTATATTTTCCATAACTCTTATCATTTTACAAACCTAAATACCTTCCTTTTCTCTCTCAATCCTTTCCCTTCCCTTTAATGGTCCTAACTGTTTTTCTTTTGCTGATGTGCTCTAGCTTCAATAAGTTCCATACATTTTTAATATGTATGGAAAGGTCTGATCTTAATGTAAAAAATTACATTTACATTTATATTTTTTATTGGCCACATCTTAAAGGTGCTAGAAATAGTTTGGGTTCAGATATTTAGCTTACAGAATAGTGTGTCTACCTTTTCTTGCACATCTACATTGGAGAAAATGTTTCTGTTTATAGTTGGCTTGGACACCCTTTTTGGCAGCTTTCAGTGTGGGATTGCAAGACTGTGATGACACAGACGTGGCCTTTCTCTGTCTGGAGGGCATACGCTGTGCTATCCGGACAGCCTGTATCTTCAATATTCAGGTAATAACAATAAAAGTATTTCATGTAAATTAGAAGTTTTTATTTTGTCTGTTTTTATAAAAACAAAGATTTCTATTTGCGATTTTTGTAAAGAACAGTTTGATATTCATAGAATTTTATACAGCACAGAAGGAGGCCATTCAGCCCATCGTGTCTGTGCCTGCTGTTTTAAAAGAGCTATCCAAATCATTGTAGAATCTGATCCACTGGAATTTGATTTTGAGATGGAACAAACTTTACATTTAACGCCTGATATTAATTTACTTGTATTTGATTTCAGTTGTACTATGAATGTAACAGATTTCATTTTTTTCTTCCAAGTTCTTTTACTAAGAACATTAATATGCCCTGAATAAAAAAAATTTTCACATGAATTGACCAGGATGTTTGGGAGCCTATAGGGGCTTTTAGGCTCCTACCTCTTCCTGGCTTCCTTCTCTAATCAATTTATCAGATTTTGTTGTCCTTTGTGTAAAACTAAATGATTTGATTGTTGAATATTATTATCCTTAAAAAGATAGCTGCCCCTTAACTTAGGGTATTATCTCTAGCATACTTGTAATGTACTCGTAATATGCTTGGAATCTCTCAAAACATCACTGCCTCCCATTACTCCATGTTTGAGTTTTTTCAATCTGTCTACCCCACCCACAGTATAGAGACAGCCCTGTCAAAATCACCAACATCTGTCTGATTTATTTTTTGGTCAGCTGGGTATCTGACATATATGGAAACCCATCCCCATGCTGAAGAGTATCCAAACCAGACCAAGAAATCTATATTGACTAAGATCCATATGTGACCAAGGCTTCCTGTGCGTCCTTCTCCTCAAGTTTGCTGCCACCTTTGACACTGTTGACCACTACTTTACCTGTCCAGATATCAAGCGCTGGATGAGCTTTAACTCTCCAAATCAGTGTCAAAAGAACTGAGGCTATCCTGCTCGACTACCTCTAGCACCTCCCCTGGTATACATGGTTTAAAGTTAACTGATCATCAAAGTAAAGTGTCCCCCACGGACACTGTATGATCATTAAACAATGTTATTGCTTCAACAGCTTGAAAGAGATGCCTATGTCCAGGCTCTAGCCCGATTTACTTTACTGACAGCCAGTTCGGGCATCACTGAAATGAAACAAAAGAACATTGATACCATCAAAACCCTCATCACCGTGGCTCACACAGATGGCAACTACCTGGGAAATTCATGGCATGAGGTACAAGAATTCTGTTTTTTTTCTCTCAGTGAAACGTGTCGCACTGCCCCATCTTAACCCCATACTCCAGGAAGATGGTTTTATTGATAATGATCTCAGAAGTTAGACTTCTCTCTCCTCCCATCTGCCCCAACCTCTTTGGTCAGGGAATGAGTTGCCTTCTCTTTGAATATTGTATTTGTAGGTGAAGCACTGAACATAATGTGTTTTATGAAATACTTAAAAATCCTTTTCCAAAATTTGCATAATAGCCAGTCACACAATGAAGTTACCAAGGTGCTGGTAGTGGGGTCTGATACATGTGGAAACTCATCACAATGATGGAGTATCCAGACCATATTGAGAGTTTCATGTATGTATGCTTCCTAAATGTGGAAATGTAATTTTGTCTGGAATGGAATCATTTTCTTCTGTGGAGGAATACACTTTGCTTACCTATTTCCGGAAAGTGCCATGCAAAAAGGTTGGTGAAGCCATGGTTTGGGAGCCCCTGAGTTTGAGTACGACTGGAGATTAATCAGCAAAAACCACAAAGCTTGCATTAAGATTGAGATATTTTTCTGTCCAGTTGCTTGGCCAGCGAGGACCACCCAACCCATTTGGTTTTTGATGTCCGCGGTTACCAGGAGCTGAGTGGGAAGAGCCGAATCACTGCCCCAGTGACCAGTCTTGACCTCTAAATCCTTCTGATGAGCCAGGCTGGCTGAGCTATCATCAGATGGGCCTTAGAGTACTGTGGACCCACTTGTCCCAGGAACTGGATTACCAAGACTGCAAAGGGTTGACCCAATTACAAGATTCCATTGCTAAGTACATCACCTTCAAGCCAAAGACCCCACTTACCTTCTCCCCACCACCAGGAAGATAGTCACTCGTTGGTCACTTGACATCTGACAAGCGCCAGTTTGACCCTCTCACCAGCAACTCCCTGCGAGCTTCTTAGTAAGCAGCACAACTCGGAGTGAAATGTGTGAGAGCATTGCCACCATCCTCCTGCCCAAAGCACGGACATACATCCCTACCCATTGAGTGTTGGTTTGAAGTTCTGAGCTTGAGCAGCATCTGCTTACCTCTGTACAAGCCAATCAAGGTGGATTCAAAGCCCTAAGTATATGACTATATGTTCACAAATCCAATCTCCAGTTAAGTTTGTTTGACACAAAGCATGAAGATATGTGAACATGCTTTACTAGCCGCAGCCCAAACAAATTGTGTGCAACATTATGTTTTGTAAAGATTTTCTATATTTCAGTACCCTTGTGACTGAACTGTGTAATATTTCATTTAACAAAGCTTTCCTATGTTTATGCTGTCAAAAGAAAACCAAATAGATTCCATGAAATGTGCCCCAAAAGTAGCAAGTATGACGTACTTCAGTAAAATGTGGTACCTAGCACAGTCTATTGCTATGGAGGCAGACTGAGACATGAATAGTGAATGTCTAAATGGTTGGATTCTACTAAATCCCCACTTTGTGCTCTGACAGCTCAGCTGCATGTCCTCGGCCAAATTGGTTTTATTGGTCTGTTTTAGCCACTGTAAAAAGGAACTGTGGCAATCCTTTCTCTTGGCTATTTTTTTATCAACTACATAATGCGTTGATTGTTTCTTTTGGAAGTGATAGTTCTCGACCATCCATTTTTGAATTAGAGAGTCCTGGATTTTTTTTCCTGGGAAAAAATTATACCATTAGCAAACCAACTAGTATGTTGCCTTCATTCCCATAAGATAGTATTTATTTTTACTTATTCTTTACAGTCTTTACATGTTCAAGACTGAGGTTGATAGATTTCTAAAGGATAGAGGGATTAAGGGATAGGCGGATAAATGGAGTTAGGTTCGAAGATATGCCATGATCTTATTAAATGGCGGGGCAGGCTCGAGGGGCAGAATGGCCTACTCCTGCTCCTACGTCTTATGGTCTTATGGTTTTCCCGATTAAACAGGGTGACCAAAAAGTGGTGATAACTACCCTATTATTTAAAATAACAAATCAAAATATCATCATTTCTTTAAGACTTCTTAGACATTGTAATGGTATCACAACTTTTTGATCAAACCGGACTTTCACTACTGTGTTTTGGTTTAGTTTAGTAAGTTCAATTAGGCAGGTTAGATGCTCTCCATTTATGGTCCTCACTATACAATACTATCCATGTGCCTATGTATTATTGTTATCCATTTGGGGTATTTATTTTAGTGGACAAATCTTTTTTCATGATTACTTGATAAAGATTGTTATTCCGTGCTGTCCTAATTGGGGTATGTATCAGATAATGCTCTATTTTGTGACAGATTCCGACTTCGTAGAGAGCTACTTAAATCTGCCCGAGATCTGAAACTGATTTAAAAAGTTGGCGTTACTTAACACCAGGTTTGTTTGTTTTTATACTTTTATTTTGAGCAACTGAAAACTTATTCTGAATTTATTCTTTCTTACGTTCGTAAATATTTATAGATTCTAAAATGCATCAGTCAGCTGGAACTAGCGCAGTTAATAGGGACTGGAGTAAAGGCACGGTACATCTCAGGCACGGTACGAGGCAGAGAAGGATCTATTGGTGGTTCCAGAGATCAGGGAGCTGACGAGTTTTTGGGTCTGGGACTTGGTGAGTTAATTTATGTTATTTTTATCAAATAAGCATATTGACTTAAATATTGCCAAAGGCACTTCCAGATTTATTTGGCTTGAAGTTAATACTTGTATAAGTTGACAATGTGATACTAGTTGGCTGCTGTAATGTTTTTTTTAAAAGAACGTCATCGTGATGTGTTGTTAAATTGAAGTTGTGGATTCTGGGCTTGCTGAAACTGTCTTGTCAGACCTTGAAAGCTAAAATATTGAACAATCCTGGCATCTTTCCTGGAAAACATTGCACCAAAAACATAGCGAATTCATTGAGGATTATGCTAACTGGGAAGTTGAATTCCAAAATACAAAAGTAAATTGATTTACCCAGCTTTCAATGAATCTACTTTACTTTTAACATAAGTGTGGTTGGATTGCAACCATTTATCATTGCATGTAAATTATGAGATTGTCAATTAATTTATATATTACACAATCTAAAACGCATTCGATAGTTCCCTTGCTGAATTTTGGCCACTTTAATTCTCTGTAGATTTGTTTGCTGAGAACTCAGTTGAAGTTGGCCTCATCCACCTAGCTTGTGGTCGCTGCATGTTAGCCTGTTTTATAGAATAGTTTTCAGATACAGATTTGAAAACGTCTTCAAGCTGACAATTTACAAGTCTCACACTAAAAAGCATCTATTATATTGTTTCCCTTTGGTTACTCAGGCACACTGGTTGGTGGGACTGTTGACCGAAAGCAAATAGCCAGTATCCAGGAATCCATTGGTGAGACCAGCTCTCAGAGTGTTGTTGTTGCTGTTGACAGGTATGGAGAATTGTTTGTCTTTTTTAGAATGGGATTAAAAGGATCTGCAAGGTTTTTCAGTTAATTTGATGCATTGTGTACAGCTCAAATCTGTATACAATACAAAGTTACATTTGTATAGTGCCTTTACAGTGGGGGGGAGGTGGGGTAGTAGAGGATAGGAGGGTGGTCGATGACACAGTCGAAGAGGAGAGTCTTGATACGTGCCTTGAAGGAGGCGAGGGAGGGAGGCGAAGGGAATGTGGGATGGAGTTCCAAAGGGTGGGGGTGGAGAGGCTGAAGGCCCAACCACTGATGGTGGAGCGGGCCTGGCGGGGGACGTGGAGCAGGCCGGAGCCTGCTGAACGGAAGGAGTGGACAGGTTAATAACGGGTTAGCAGGTCACAGAGATAGGAAGGGGCAAAGCCATGGAGTGCCTTGAAGGCAAGGACAAACGTTTTGATTCTGAGGGATGGGGAGCCAGTGGAGCTGGGTGGGGGTCATAGGGTCACAGAGCCTGGTGTGGGAGAGGACACAAGCTGCAGAGTTCTGCATGATCTACAGCTTGTGGAGGGAAGAATTGCAAAGGCTGACAAGCAGGGAGTTGGCATAGTCGAGCTGAGATATGACGAACTCATGAATGAGGTTTCGCCCTGACGGGTGAGGCAGTAAAGGTGGGGGAGGTGCAGTTTATTTTATGTCACTTAAAAATTAAAATTTTGATCTTTCAATTTTGCTTAAGTTGAAAGCTGGAAGATCATTTAACATTTTATTTTTATGCTTCAGCTAGCAATGTTATTTGTGTAGATTCACAGAATAATATTCCTTCTCTCCAACTGTCCAGCGCCTTAGGACGTCCTTCTGACGTGAAAGGCACTCTATAAATGCAATCTTGTTGTTGGTGTTGTTCTGGTTTAATCAGTAAAGTGATGCAATATAAAATGCAACCAAGGTGTAATTTTTCCCAAGTTTGTCGTTTCATAAACATTCACACAAATTTAATATTAGAGATATTAAATAAAATTATGGAGTTGGATATGAATATCTTTTAAAGTATCTCTCATGTTAAGATTAGGTTTGTTTTGCTTGAGGCTTATCATGTGTTGGTAATTTTCCATGATCATCATGTTTTGGCCAGCGATTTGGGATGTCCTCCCGACGTGAAAGATGCTTTACAAATTTAACTTGTTGTTTTTGATAAGCACCAGCCAGGATCCTTCAACTTCACATTTCCTGAGGTTCACGCATGCATCTTCCTTTGAACCTGGCTACAAATGCAGAGCCAGATTGAAGATACCATTTTCATATTTTCTTTTAAAAAAATCTGTTTGTCTTCCGTTCAGTCAGTTTCCCCTCCCTTGTGTGGAAGCCAATTGTAACATGCCAGCTGAGAGCAACTAACTCAACTTAGACCAGGAGTTGAACCTAAAATCTTCTGGTTGATACATATCAGTTGATGAACTGTGTATATATTGACTCACTAAGCCATCAGGTAAAACTATAGTGCTTTGTAAATGTCAGCAATATGGGTTATTCACTTCTGACTGAGTGAAGGTCATCACTTGTCTGAAAGCAGGACTGCATCCACATAAATTTCTATTCTTCCACTTTGAATCACTAGGCAGCATTTCTTGTTCTTGACCACTTATTTGGGACGTCCTCCCGACGTGAAAGGCGCTCTATAAATGTAATTTTATTGTTGTTATTTGGCAGATGTACAATCATTTTTGTACATCCTTGTAAACTGAATGATAATGTTGTCTTATTGGATGTTGTTGCTGGTTTACTTTGTGTGATGAATCAATCTTGCGTTACTTTGAGTTGTACTGTTTTGAATTTTAAACTTTTCTCGTTTTATTTTTGATTTTATGATTATCTTTTGCTTTTCAGAATCTTTACCGGATCAACACGGTTGGATGGAAATGCTATTGGTATACCTTAACATTTAATACTTACAATATAGCTAGGCCTTCTGATTTTCTGTTTAATACTGTTTAATTGATAAACATCAATAAAGCAACCAGAAGTAACAAAAAATTAAATTAGTGTTCATCCAATAAACATCGTGTCAACCTGGTTCAGTAGTAGGACTCTCGCCTCTGACTCAGAAGTTTGTGGGTTCAGCGTGGGACTTGGAATCACGTAGATGACACTCCAATGCAATGCTGGATTGTGTTGCATTGTCAGAGGTGCCGTCCTTCGGATGAGACATTAAACTTGGGTCCCTTCAGGTGTATATTAAAGTTCCCCATGGCACTATTCGAAAAGAGAAAGAAGTTTCTCCTAGTGTTCTGGTCAACAAATCCCCCAAATAAAATTGATCACTCACTCCATGGCTGTTTATTGGACATTGCCGTGTGCAATTGACTGCCATGTTTCGCCCGTAAAATTCAAAGTCAATCTAAAGTTGAATGGAGTCATGTAGCTCAGTGGTTGGTGTCCTGGAGCATAGTGGTTAAAGCACTCGCTTCGCAAGCGAGAGGACCTGGATTTGATTCCTGGGTGGGGTGAAATATTAGGCAAGTTTCCTTACTTGACAATAGAGATTCACTGAGCAGCAAGGAGAACTCCGGTTGTTAGTCGATTGGCGGATTGCTTTTCCAGCGATAGTAATTCCTTGAAATAATAAATTAATTAATAAATAATAATAATTTGGTCACTCAATCCACAGCTGTTTGTGGGATACTGCTGTACCCAATTGGCTGTCACATTTCATCCACAAAATATACAGTCAAATCACTTCACAGTATATTCTGTGAAGCGCTTTGAGACGTCTAGAAGACGTGAAAAGCGCTATATCAAATGCAAGGATTATTATTACTCAACTCCGTGGTGAGGTTTTTTCTCTCTCTCTCTCTCTCTTTCTCTCTCTCACTCATTCTTGGCAGAGTCCTTGTGTGCCAACTGCATGCGCGTGCAACACTCTCCGCCTCTCCCTCCCTCTCCTCCACCAGGATGTGTTTGGTGAAACTTTTGAGAGGAGGGAGGCACCAGCGAGATAATAATAATAATAATCCTTGCATTTGATATTGTGCCTTATGTCTTCGGAACGTCTCAAAGCACTTCACAGAATATACTGTAAAATGGAACGACTGTTTATTTTGTGGGTGAAACACGTCAGCCAATTGTGCACAGGAGCATCCCACAAACAGTCGTGGATTGAGTGACCAAATTTTTTTTTTTGAAGGAATTATTACCCCCAGGAAAGCGATCCGCCAATCAATTAACACCCAGGTTCCCACTTACTCCTTGGTAAACAGGCATGTGGAGTAAGGAAATTTACCCAACGCTTTGCCCTGCGCTAACCACTGAGCCACAGGACTCCAAGGAGGGATAGATGCCTCTCTCCCCTCCGTGTACGCAGGCGTGTCTTCTCGTTACATTAATGAAAGCCCCGAAAAATCTGATTTATGAACACTCCACAGTTGCTTTAAAAAGTTGCTAAAAATAACCTCACCGAAATCTAATTAATAGACCGAAAATCAGAAGCCCTAAATATAACTCATTCAGATGATTGTTTTTTTACTTTAGTACATTGAATAACAAGTTCTATTTTTTCTGCTTGCAGTGGATTTTGTGCGATGGCTTTGTGCTGTGTCCATGGATGAATTAGCCTCACAAACACATCCACGAATGTTCAGCCTTCAGAAAATAGTTGAGATATCATATTACAACATGGGTCGAATCCGGCTGCAGTGGTCTCGAATATGGGAAGTTATTGGTGACCATTTTAATAAGGTAATCTGTTGTCATACACTATTTATTTCTTATTTTAAATTCTTGTGATTGCAGATTTTTTTAGGCTGTATACAAAGTTCTTTGTATTATAATTTCCTGTTTCTTTTGCCAACAAGTATGCTTTATAGTAAATTCCTATTAAAGAGCTTTTAGACATTTTGACAACAAAGTACTGTATCAAATACAAGGATTGTAATTTTTTTCATGGCCATTGATTAGAAAAATATTGTCCACAACTCTTAACTAGTATTGCAGTACAATTACTTGTTAGGCAAGATAACGTCTATAATTCCCAACCTATATGATTGATAGTAAAATGTTTTATATTCAAACATAATGGATCCTTTTAATAAAAAAAGTAGGTAAAATTGCAGATATCCTCTATTATCAATAGCTGTTTTGTAGTGCTGATCATATGAAGTTAACTTTTCCTGTTTACCATCAGGTTGGCTGCAATCCCAATGAAGATGTTGCCATTTTTGCTGTGGACTCTCTGAGACAGTTGTCAATGAAGTTCTTAGAGAAGGGAGAACTTGCTAACTTCAGGTTCCAGAAGGATTTCTTACGACCATTTGAACACATCATCAAAAAGAATAGGTAATTTTTTACAGCTGATAGGCAAGAGCTGATAACTTTTTTTTCCGTTCTGTAGTGACATTACACCATCAGGATCTTAAATAACAAGTTACCAAGAAATTATTTAAGCTTCATGCCATGGATATAACCAACATGAAATTATCTGAAAATTGCAAATGAGCATTACACCTAAATTAGCCAAGGATTAGATGAGCTAGGATTTGAAGGTGGTATTTACCATTCTATGCATGATTAAAATAGTTTACCAAGGGGTGAAAAGCGATCCAGAGGTAAAGATTGTTACAATCATGTTTTCATATTGGCTTTTCATGCTGCTGCTCATTCCATTAAGGTTCATTATTTGCTTGGAAATCAAAAAGATTTCAGACAAATAGGCTTGATGTTAGTTTCCTACAATTTCTTTGTACATAATCTTCTCAAAACGTATTACTATAATTAATTTTCCAAAGATTGTGCAGGCATAATAAAGGCTGAGTTGTGTGTATTTAACTGCACTTTGGTACTTTCAGGTATATTTTCAGTTTTTTTTCCCTTTATATAAAGATCCCCAACAATTCGAGACATGGTGGTTCGTTGCATAGCACAAATGGTTAACTCGCAGGCTGGAAACATTCGTTCTGGCTGGAAGAATATTTTCTCAGTTTTCCATTTAGCTGCTTCAGACCAGGATGAGAGTATAGTGGAGCTGGCATTCCAAACTACAGGTCACATTGTCAGTGAGTATCCTTTCTGTTTAGTCAAGAACTTCTCTACAAACAAATAGACATTCACTTCATAGCTTTTTGTGAGACATTGCTGAACACAAATTGGCTGTCACATTTGCCTACAAATACATAGTCACTACACATTACAGTAAAATCCTGTGCTTTGAGATGTTTGGAAGACAAGGCGCTATATCAAATGCAAATATTATTGTAACCTCAATTTTATTTGGAACTTTGAAAATCTTACTTCAACTATTTCTATTTCAAGCATTGATTTGAAATTTTGCTTAAAACTGAGTGCAAATTTTAATAAATTCTGATAATCTGACATTTTGATTCTGTTAATGCAAAAATTTAAGAAGAGCATGAATATGTACCGTTCTATTTTTAATCCTCCCTTTTTTCTTCTCCCCAACCCCTCCCATTAGATATACCTAGACTTTTATTAAAAAAAAAGTAGATAGCAATTGCTGACTCACTGTTGAAAGCTAAATTCTGTAGATAGATTTATAGTTTTTACAATCCAATCTTATTGTTGGTTAATGGTAGTTTTAGGAGAAAATTTCCACATTCTAGTACTGAATTAATAGGCGTTCATGTACAAAATAAACAACCACTACATTTTGCAGTATATCCTGTGAAACGCTTGCAAGTGTCCTCCTGTCTGTATAAATGTAAGGATTAATATTAGTTTATTATAAACAAAATACATATGTCACTGTCCATTAGTGGAACAAACGTTTTTTTTGAAGCATGATTGTTTATGTTTACATGGCCTTGCTCTTGGATGATTATGATAGTGAAAAATTGCTGTCGTAATTAACTAATCTAAAATTTTCATATCTACTATCTACATTTTTTTTAACCATTAACTTCTTTCTTCATAGAAAACCATAGACATTTTGTTAGTTTTCTTGTCTATGCGGTGCCACATTTGTTCCCAGGATTCGGAATACATTCTGCACTTACTCCCCATCCACTATCTGGCACCTCCGCTCGATTGGCACCGGCTCCTGCTCGTCCCTCGCACACTCCACCTAACGTCGGAGATCGCGCCTTCAGCCTCTACACCCTGAAACTGGAACATTCCCTCAATCCCTCTGCCTTTGTCCCCTCTCTCTCCTTATCCAAGTCCTGCCTGAAAACCTTCCTCTTTGCCCATGCTTATGGTCACCTTTCCCCCCCCACCACAGCTCAGAGTCAGACTCCGCCACTGTTAAGCGCTCTGAGACGCTACCCTGAATGGAGGGCGCTATATAAGTGCATGTTATTATTGCATGCTGGGTGAAGTTTCTCCCTACTCTGCCCAATAAATACTGTTTATTCACTTACAGACCCAGAATCCATGTACTATTTGTAATCCCACATAAAACACCCTTGTAATCTCCGCAAATTAGATTACCTAATTAATACACAGTTCTGTGTGGTATTATCCTGTGGACACTGGGAATTGAAAATGGCATTTCATTCTGTCATTTGTACATGAATTCTCATTTTGAATTTGAGATAGCACTTTCAGTGCAGTAGCAATTTAAATAATATGGGTCAGAGGCATCAAATGGTGAATTGGAATTAAATTGATAATTTGTGCTGTTAGTTCTTTAAACTTTTAAAAAGCATTAACCTCTGATATTTCCTCTTGAATTTTCACAGTGAATGTATTTGCAAAGCACTTTCCAGCTACAATAGACTCCTTTCAGGATGCAGTGAAATGTTTATCGGAGTTTGCCTGCAATGCTGCTTTCCCTGACACAAGCATGGAAGCAATCCGGCTCATTCGCCATTGTGCAAAATATGTGTCTGAGAGACCACAGGTGAGGGATTAGTTCTGATCCAATTCCTTACAAGTGTCGTACGTTGGCTTAAAAAAAATTCTCAAATCCTGTTCAGAGTGCCAGCACAATATATATCAGTACAGGATCCAACATAATGAGTCATTTTTCTTCACAGTAACTGAGTGGAGATTGACTTGACCTGGACAATAAGCAATATTGACCAAGGTCTGTGATCAAGTCATCTATCTGTACTCTCTGCCTGAGAATGATTGCTCTCAGGAGAGATGAAGAGGAAGGGAAACAATACCAGGAGCAAAAAATAAATTGCACTCCATATTTGATTAAGGATGTGGTAGTGCGGTATTTAGGGGAGCACAATATAATTAGGCCAAGTCAACATGGCTTTACAAAAGGGAAGTCATGTTTGACAAATCTCATAGAGTTTTTTGAGGACATTTTCAGTAAACTAGATAAGGGTGAATCAGTGGATGTGGTCTATTTGGACTTCCAGAAGGCATTCGATAAGGTGCCACATAAAAGGTTAGTCCTAAAGATAAGGGCCCATGGAATTGGGGGGAGCATATTAACGTGGATTGGGGAATGGTTAACAGGTAGCAAACAAAGAGCAGGGATAAACGGGTTCTTTTCGGATTAGCGGGATGTAACTAGTGGAGTGCCACAAGGATCAGTCCTTGGACCTCAGCTATTTACCATCTACATCAATGATCTAGATGAGGACATCGAAGCTAATATATCTAAATTCGCGGATGACACAAAACTAGGAGGAAGTGTCAACACAGAGGATGACATTAAAAAAATACAGCGAGACATAGGTTAGGTGATTGGGCAGGTAGGTGGCAGATGAAGTATAATGTAGGGAAGTGTGAAATCATCCACCTAGGTAGCAAAAACAGTAGAGCGGGTTATTTTTTAGAAAAAAGAGAGATTAGAATGCGTTAGCGTCCAGAGGGACTTGGGTGTCCTTGGACACCAATCATGTTATGTTATATCAAATCGTAATTAATAATTTGATAGTTTGAAAAATGAGGTATGCTATATTTTAAAAGGTGTAAAGTGAGCAGGAAAACTGGATGATCATGGGAAGGTATTCTGGCATATATCATTGTTCAAATTATGTTTGGGGTGAGTTGTTTTTTCATGTTGACATGTTGTCATACAATACAACAACCTTGATGTGCACATATATTTTTACAGGCATTTAAAGAATATACCAGCGATGATATGAATGTAGCTGCTGAAGACAGAGTATGGGTGAGAGGGTGGTTCCCAATTCTGTTCGAGTTGTCGTGCATAATTAACAGATGCAAATTAGATGTAAGAACTAGGTAAGAATCCCTTATCTTTGACGAATTGAAGCCAATGTTATGCATGAATAGACTTGCCATATTGGATAAAGATATTCATTATAGATAAACAGCTTGGATTCTTTTATACCTATTGTTTTCATCGCAAATCTTTGTGGTGCTATTTTATCTTATAAGCGAGTTTAATATTTTTTATATCTTTTAATTGTAGGGTTAATTTACAATCATTTGATTTTCTGTTCAAATAAATGTCTTTTGATCTCAAGGGGATGTAAGCGTTAATGTGTTGAGATTGTTACAAGGTCTAAAGGAGCGTTCGGATTGACGGAGAACCACATTTAAAAAGACACAATAGATGGCCACACTGCCTCAGAATCTTTTGTTCCTTGTCAGAACTTCTGCTGTGAAGTCAGGATAATTGCAGACAATGGAAAATATATTGAAGAATAAATGCACAAGCTACCAATCTGCTAGCTGAAATGAATACATTTTAAAAGTGCGTTTGAGCACACCAAGGTTTATTTTAGTATTCAGCGTTGAAGCTCAACAAAAGATCTCCAGTGTGCTGAAAACCAAAAGAATTGCACAGCTTCTCATTCATTCGTGCCTGAGCAAACAATTCAAAATATTCAATAAGGGTAAAATGAATCTTTGTACTGATAGGTTCTGTAGGTCGTTACCTACCTACCCGCCCGTACCCTCCGTTCCTCTGGCTCCGGTCTGCTCCACGTCCCCCGCCCCAACCGCCCTACCATCAGTGGTCGGGCCTTCAGCCTCTCAGCCCCGAGGCTCTGGAACTCCATCCCCCAGTGCCTTCGCCTTGCTTCCTCCCTTTCCTCCTTCAAGGCCGGTCTCAAAACCTTTCTCTTTGACCGAGCCTTCAGCTCCCCTCTCGACTCTCTTCCCCCTCCTCGCTCCCTCCCTTCCCTCCCCTCACCCTGACCATTTCACCCCTCCTCGCTCCCTCCCTTCCCTCCCCTCACCCTGACCATTTCCCCCTCCTTGCTCCCTCCCTTCCCTCCCCTCACCCTGACCATTTCCCCAATGCTCGGGTCATGACCCAACTGTGCAGCGCCTTGGGACGTCCTCCTGACGTGAAAGGCGCTTTATAAATGGAATCTTGTTGTTGTTGTTGTTGTAGGTCGTTGAGTCACTGAAGCTCTGGTGAAATTCAAAGGTCAAAACTATGGGTTTTGAGGAGCCAAATCACAAAACTAATTTGGCATGTTTTTGCTATACTTAGACCATATACACTGATTCTCTGATTAGACTGATAATATTAATTCGAAAAAGTGATTTGGGACCAAGTTTGTTACTATTTGATTCAGTTGAAAGGTGTCAATAATTGTGGCAAGCTGTTTGTGAGATTGATTAATAATAAAATCAACCCAAGCTAGGTTTTTGAAGATTAAATGTATGTTTTTCATTTTTGAAAGGAGCTATTGCAACTGTGTACTCAGAGCTTCCTGTTTGTGGTCCTGTTTCTTGTATTTGCAGATGAAGTGATTGCATTTGAGTTCACTCTGCTGCTGATTTAACCCTTATTTTACTGAATAATCTATAAAATCTTGTGGTGAATTTAGCTTCACTAAAATTACTTGAAAAAATGTTGACCTGCCCGTTCTCTGATGGGTGCAGACATGTAAGAGTGTGCTGTAATGACATTTTAGACATGTGAATTATTTTGTTTGATATATGTAGTATCATGTCGTCTCATGTTAGTTTTTTGGTCTTTGACACAGGGGTTTAACAGTGATGTTTGAATTAATGAAAACTTATGGTCACACTTACGAAAAACATTGGTGGCAAGATCTGTTCAGGATTGTTTTTAGAATCTTTGACAATATGAAGCTGCCAGAGCAACAAACCGAGGTGAGTAGGAACTGTTTCATTTCATTTTTAAATGGAGAGGAAGTCATTTTCACTCGTAATATCTACAAACTGATCATGTGTCAGGTTGGCTCAGTTAGTAGGGGTCTCACCTCTGAGTCAGAAGGTTGTGATGTCAAATCCATCATCGGGACTTGGAACTCATATGGTCTAATCTGACACTTCAGTGCAGCTCTGAGAGAGCTTTCAGATAATATGTTAAACCGAGGCCCTGTCTGCCTCTTCAGGTGGAAGTTCAAAATCCTACATATTCAAAAAGAGAAGGGAGTTTCCCCTAATATCCTGGCCTAACAATCTCCTAAATAAAATTGGCTAGTTATTTGATGATTGTTTGTGAGACATTGTTGTGTACAAATTAGCTGCCATTTGCCCACACAACAGTCACAACAATTACAGTACAGTATATCCTATAAAGCACTTTGGAGTGTCCTCGTGACATGAAAGGCGCTAAGCCAAATGTAAGTATTATTCAATGTTTATATCATTTAACTCATTTGGTAATATTCTCACCTCTGGTGAGTTTGCGGATTTAAGTCCCAAGTCAGATCTTAAGCAAACAGTCTAGGCTGACACTCCAGTATAGTATTGGAGGAGGGCAGCATTCTTGAAGATGTCGTCTCTTGGAGGTGAAATTAAACTGGGGTTTTGCCTGCTTGTTAAGAGAGATTTTAATAATCCCATGACACTATTCAAAAAGTGAAGGAAGTTTCCCCCAAATATTCAGGCCAACAATATTCCATATTAATTTATCATTCATTTCATGGCTGTTTGTGTGATTGTTCTGGTGCCATTTGACATTTGTGAAGCACAACTCTTCCCTCCACAAGCTGCAGATCATCCAGAACTCTGCAGCTTGTGTCCTCTCCCACACCAGGCTCCGTGACTCCATCACACCCACCCTCGCTCGGCTCCACTGACTCCCCATCCCTCAGAGAATCAAGTTCAACATTCTCATCCTCACCTTCAAGGCCCTCCATGTCCTTGCCCCCTCCTACCTCTCTGAACTGCTACCCCTTATCAACCTGTCGGGTCCTAATCCCTGACTGTTCTGCTGGACATCCTCCTGACTTGAAAGGTGCTTTATAAATGTGATATTGTATTTGGAAAAAAAAATCCAAAATACCAATAGTGATTACTAAAATGAAAAAAAGCCAATTCAAAACTATTCAGAATGCAGTATTATTCAGGTGAATTTGGCCCCAAAAATATAGAATCAATTCACTTTACAGTGTATTCTGTGAAGCACTTTGAGACGACTTGAAGATGCGATAAGGCGCTATATGAAATGCAACGGTGATTATTATTATTATTACTCAGCATCGGAAAGTTTGCATATTTCTTTATAATCCTTTGCTGGTAGCTCAAATCCATGGAGATTATAGTGCTGATGGACGCTATTTCACCCAGTGAGTCTGCTATGCCAGCTTCTCCAATGGAGCTATGTATTCCCATCCCCTTTCCGTGCTCTTTCTCCACACCCTTTTATATTTTTTCCTTACAAATAACTTTTGTTCATTTTCATATAGAGAATTCTTTGTGTGTTCCAACAGGTTTTGTGGGCTGTTATTTTCTTTGGAATTACCTCAGCCTTGTCTTTATGGAGTTTGCTTAATATGGCACTCTGATTGTGGAATCAGTAATTGTGATACAATTGGAGTTGAACTCTTGCCAGGTGTACTGCTTTGAATGGGAGCAGGAGGAGAGTTTGGGCAGTCTGCACTTGTTCGACTTTGCCATGATATGGGCGGTTCGTCTGCTGCTGTTGTGCTTTGGTCACCCACCTACCTCTACCCTCCCCGCCCTCCACCCCTCCTGACCGACCACCATCTCGGGTGCAGATCCCTGATTGTCTTGGGACATGCTCCTGACGTGAAAGGTGCGATACAAATGTAATTTGTTGTTGTTGTATGCCCTTGGCTGCCTGAAATCTATATCCTCCCAATTCCTGAGCACTGGCATTACTCACTGACTAATACAGCCGTTGCTCCATCTGGCCTAGGGAGGATGTGGGAAAGACTGGGTTGAGGAATTCATTCCATAATGTTTAAAATATGATAAAATAGCACCCTCATGTGAGCATATGTTCAACTTGCATTTGTAAAAAAGAAAATATTTCATCAGATTGTGAAGCCCAACAAAAATGATATAAATGAAAGTGTTATTGAATTCCTTTTTATTTTTCAGAAAGCTGAATGGATGACAACTACCTGCAACCATGCACTTTACGCTATTTGCGATGTGTTTACTCAGTACTTCGAAGTGCTCAGTGATATCCTTTTAGATGATATATTTGCACAATTATACTGGTGTGTGCAGCAAGGTAGGGTACTGCCTTAATACATAAAACCATTCACTGTATCAAAACTCAATTACAGGCACAACAATTGATATAATGTCTTTAGATGTTTCTGTTACACAATCTGCATGCTAATAGAACTGTTAATTCTTCATTTTGTACCTGTGTATGTTTGCAAATGTATATTAAAATATTAAGGGGTATGATGAAAAGGAGGGCATTGGAAGTAAAAAGATCTGCCAAGACTTCATAAACTGGGGGAACAGGTTCAATGAGCTGAATAGATTCGTCCTGTATCCTATGTTCCTATAACTTCAGTACGAACTAAACGTAACCGAGTTTTTGGGCTGTCTGTCACTTAAAATGAGATGAGAAAAATAGATGTATTATTTGGGAAATGAGGTAGTAGCTGTCTCAAATTTTCGCTTCATTCCAACTAATTGACGATTGATATTGGTGCAGACTTCTTCACTTGCACTTTTACACCCTGTAAGCTACAACAACAAGATTACATTACAAGCATAAAGGGGACGTCCCAAGGCGCTGGACAAAGTACAGCATTTCAGACCCGAGCTGAGGTCGGGTGGGGGAGAAGGGAGGGGGGTGGCCCATGGCATGGTCGAAGAGGAGGGTCTTGAGGCAGGACTTGAAGGAGGCTAAGGAGGGGGAGAGGCGGAGTGACTGGGGGATGGAATTCCAGAGGTTGGGGGCAGAGTAGCTGAAGGCTCTCCCGCCAATGGTGGGGCAGGTGGGTTGGGGGACGTGGAGCAGGCCAGAGCCGGCTGAGTGGAGGGAACGGGCGGGTTGGTAGGGGGTTAGGAGGTCGCAGAAGTAGGCTGGCCATGGAGGGCTTTGTATGTGAGGACCAGGATCTTGAACTGGATCCTCTGAAGGATAGGGAGCCAGTGGAGTCAGGGGAGATGGGGTCACGGAGTTTGGTGCGGGAGAGGACATGGGCTGCAGAGTTCTGGATTATCTGCAGCCTGTGGAGGGAGGAGTTGGGAAGGCCGACAAGCAGGGTGTTTGCATAGTTGAGTCTGGAGGTGATGAAGGCATGAACAAGAGTTTCAGCGGCCTGAGTGGTGAGGTAGTGGCAGAGTCGGGTGATGTTACGGAGGTGAGGGAAGGCAGAGCAGGTCATGGCTTGAATGTGGGGGAGAAAAGACAGTTGAGGGTCGAACAAGACACCTAGGTTCCTGACTGGCTGGTGAGTTGTAGTATGCAACCATGGAGGTTGATGCTGCCAGAGCCTGAGGTGCTGAGGTGATGGCGTGAGCCAATTAGAAGGGCCTCAGTCTTGTTCACATTCAACTGTAGGAAATTTGCTCTCATCCAGGACTTGATGTCTGACAGGCAGTCTGTCAGGACAGCAGTGGTCCTGGAGTATGTTGTGATGCACATTCTCCAAAGTGAATTGTTATTACAAACAATAGTTATTGCAATTAGTTTCATATTTGTCTTCTTAATCATCATCATGCATTTGTTTCCAGATAATGAACAGCTAGCTCGATCCGGTACTAACTGTCTGGAGAATGTTGTCATTCTGAATGGGGAGAAGTTTTTGCCAGAAACATGGGACAAAACGTGTAACTGCATGTTAGACATTTTCAAGACCACTATTCCTCATGTGTAAGAAACAGCTTTTTTTTTTAAAATTTTTCCCAACAGTTTGTCCCGTGTATTGGGATTTAGATTAGCGACTGCTTAACTTAAATTTCATTTAAAACTGTTTGGAATTTCTGGTTAATAACGTACTACAAAAAGGTATTGAATGTTGAGTGAAATCGAGACATGAATGTAAAAGACTGGAAAATATTCTTCCAGAGTAAAAGGAAAATCTGAACGACTCTGTATACCTCTCAAATGATTTCCGCACCAAATAGCTATCTAGTTTCTTCTTAAATTTGGCTGACAATATCCATTTGTCTCCCTATTTCGTCCTTTCCATAAAGTTACCATCCTCTTGAGAAAAATAATTAAATGTCCTTTAGCAAAATGTTTAGCTTTGTAATGAGACCATGAATTACTAGCTTTGAGTCAAACTTGTGCTTCTTTAAAGTGACCATGTTTTGGAATAGAAGTGACTGTATTTGTTATATTTCACACAAACTATCTATAATAGGTTTATATAAACGAGCTAAATTCTAATTATTTCCAGTTAAGTATTTTCTACAATTTATAATATGTAATCTATGCATTGTTTTAAGCAAAATGTATCTGCCCTGAGATTCACCAAAAGTAACTTAATCTTATTAAATTGAAAGCCAATGAACATGAGTTTATCTAAATACTGAATTATAAACTTTGTAATCTGTTTGCAAAATTCCTGAAATCTAAGCTTGAATGACACATTTTGCAGTACTCATCATAGAATATTTAATTATGATTAGATTTGTTATAATAGTTTTTACAACAACAAAAAAATTACATTTCTAGAGCGCCTTTCACGTCGGGAGGACGTCCCAAAGCGCTGTTTTTTACGGTTATTAATTTATGATTAGACAATTAATCTCACTTATTTGCGTGTTTTAGATTGTTGTCATGGCGACCACAGAATTCTGAAGGTGAAGCAGCATTGCAGAATGATGCTGGACAAAAACAGCTGGTATGCATTGTATTAACATAGCTGTTTCAGCAACCAAAGAGGGCTTGTGAATTAACAATAGAACACTGGTTCTGCAAGCCAAAGTCCTAATGGATAGAATCGCTTGAGCTGGACAAGCATTAGGAAACTTGTGTTCAGTTTTCACAGTAGCAAGTTATACAGTTTTAGCTTGTTCAACTCCAGCAGTACTCCAATTGCACACTTTGGTTGGATCTCGCCAATCTGCACCTTATACTTTCTGGGATGAAGTAAGCAGTGAGAGTCCATCAGATGGAGGGAAAATTCCATACATATGTTGAACTTTTTCTGGTCTGGCTGCTCTTGAGCATGGCAATGAGCTTTCATGTGTCAAGGCACCCAGCTGAAAAAAGTCTGTGAAACTCGGACTTGTGTAGCAGGGAAAGTATCTTCGGTCCCTCACAGAAAGAGGGAGAGAGTGGGGTCCCAAACAGGAGACGGTGTGTGTGTGTGTGGGTGTGGTATCATGTCTCAGACATCTCAAAGCGCTTCACAGAATAACAACAACTTGCGTTTATATAGTGCCCTTCACTCCGGACGGAAAATATATTGTGAAGTGAATTGGCTGTATATTTTGTGGGTGAAAATATGGTATGGTGGATGTGAGGTGGTTGAATGAAGTGAAAGAATACGATTGAAAGCAGATATGTTTTTAGAAAGGTTTTAAAACCAGAGAGGGTGAAGGGAGAAATGAAGTCATTGGAGAAATTAAATTTTATTTGAGATTCATTTTATGGACCTTCTAGGATGCTATTTCTCAGAAGTCGGTGGATATCCTGAGTCGGACTGATGACCAGCAGTCTGTGACCAGTGCAGAGAAGAATGCTTCAGAGTGGCGGCAAAGTCAGTTCAGTTTGGGTTCTAATACCAGTGACGATGCTGCTAAAGCCAGGACACCAACCAGTAAGTTGTTGGCAACAGATGTAATGAATTTCTAGCGACAAATAATTTATATAGTTGATCTTTCAAGATACTGGAGGGAAATCCACTTAGAGTTTGTACGAGATTAGCTTTGGTTGGTTGCCACTTCCCATAAATTGCGTTCCCTTTTCCCCTGCCCAATGCTTTAACCGAAGTATGGAAGTTTCTTCTGTTCGACTACTATTTGAAGGCTCGAATTTTATCAGAAAATGAAATAGTTGAAATATCATTCAAAAATTAAAAGAATCTTTTAAAAGAATTTTAGTTTAACCTGAATTTGAAGCTTCTCTTTGTTATTACACGGTGTATTGCAAATCAGATGTTTCTGTTGCTCATGCAAGGTATTTATTGTTTTCAAGAATATGCCTCTGCTTATTGACTTTTCACAATAAAATGAGAGATTGTTTCTATACTTGGGGTCTGTGAAAAAATGTCTTCAGTGATTTTAATTTAATTTTACGGTTTGTTTATGGGTATGTAAAAGTAATTTTCAGACTCCAAATATATACAGATTGTATATATTGTAAAGCTTAAAAACTGCAACACAGCATCTTCCTCTCATCTCCCACTCGGCCTATCCCCTTACTCCTCCGGCTCCCAGGCTCCTCTTCCCCACCAACCGCCTCCTCCGTCCACCTTCCCGCATCTCGACCATCCTCTTCTCCAATTCCAACTGCGAGGAGACTTCCTCGAATCCAAAATCGAGGGGATTTGTTTGGCTACCTCTCCCCCATCCACCGCTACCCCCACGTCACCTCCCTCTCACGGCCCTGGCCGCCACCTATCCCTCCCTACACATCTTCGACTCTGTCTCCCCCTCTTCCCTCACTTCCATCATCCAGCTTCATCTCCTAGCCTCTCTTTTAACCAACATTATCAACCTCTCCTTATTCACTAGCAAAGATCCCACACCCCCTAAAAACAGCTCTTTCCCACCACTCCCTTCATGAACCTCTCCAGTCGGATTTCCGTGCTGCCCACAACACAGAAACAGCACTGGTCAAAGTCACTAACGACATTCTGTCCATCTGTGATCAGGGCTCCCTCTGCCTCCTTGCCCTCTTCGACCTCTCTGCTGCCTTCGACACTATCGACCATTCTATCCTCCTTCACCGCCTCTCCTCTCAGCTCAATCTTCATGGACCTGCCCTTGCCTGGTTCCAATCCTACCTCTCCCACCGTCTCCACTAACAGCTTGTCCTCCAGCCCTCGAACCGTCACGTGCAGTGTTCCTCACCCTCTTGGCCCTCTCCTTTTCAATATCTATATGCTCCCTCTTGGTGACATATTCTGCAGACATGGGGTCAACTTCTGCATGTGTGCGGATGACACCCAACTTTATCTCTCTGCTTCCACCCTTGATTCTGGACCACTGCTGTCCTCACAGACTACCCTGTCGGACATCAAGTCCTGGATGAGAGCTAAATTCCTGCAGTCGAATGTCAACCAGGTCGAGGCTCTCCTGCTTGGCTCCTGTCAACACCTCCTCACCTCAGGCGCTGACATCATCTCCCTTCATGGATGCTCGCTACATCACATGGAGCCAATACAGAACCTCAGCGTCCTGTTTGAACCTCAAGTGTCCACATTCGTACCTTGACCTGCTCCACCTTCCCCCACCTCCTCAACATCGCCCGGCACAGCCATTGGCTCACACCGCAGGCGCCGAAACCCTCATACAAGCATTCATAACATCCAGGCTTGGCTATGCAAACTCCCTGCTTGTCAGCCTCCCCAACTGCTCCCTCCATAGGCTGCAGATCATCCAGAACTCTGCAGCCCGTGTCCTCTCCGCGGCCCTGTTATCCCCATCCTTACCCTACTCCACTGGCTTTCCATCACACAGAGGATACAGTTCAAGTTCCTAGTCCTCACTTTCAAAGCCTTCATGGCCTTGCACCCCCCTACCAAACCTCCCACTCCCTTCACTCAGTCGGCCTGTTTCACATTGCCCGGCCCACCATTGTGGCCAGGCCTTCAGGCACCTCCCACCCTCTAGAACTCCATCCCGCAGTTCCTCCGCCTCACCCCCTCCCTTGGCTCCTTCAAGACCCGTCTCAAGACCCTCCTCTGTGACGATGCCTTCGGTCACCCTCCTTCCTCCCCTGCCCTCCACTATCCCCGATCCTGACCCCCACCTCGGGTCTAAAACACTGATTGTCCAACGCCTTGGGACATCCTCCTGATGTGAAAGGCGCTTTACAAATATAATTGTTTTTGTTCCATGAATAAAAGTCTATTAACAGTTAGCAATATATTTTAGTGCAGAGTACAAATGAATAGAATTAAACTTGAGTTAAACCTTACCTAGGGAACGTCACACTTTCAGATAATTCTGTATTGATTTGTGTTTTTGATGCGGTCTGTTAAAGTATTCTTACAGTTGTTTCACTGCTTAAAAAGCAAACAAATGGTAATTAAAATAACAATGCATTCTCTTCCTACAGGAGTACCAGCGCAGAAGTTGTTTGCTGCACTTCTTATTAAATGTGTGGTCCAACTAGAGTTAATTCAAACTATCGACAATATTGTGTTCTTCCCAGCAACCAGCAAAAGGGAGGATGCAGAGAATCTGGCTGCTGCTCAGGTAGAGTGCAACTGTCACCTTTTAGTAAGATTTACAGTTATTTAGCCAAAGCTAAATGAAGTTTACAGGCAATTGTTTAATGACTGAAAATCATATGGTAATTCGTCTGGGAACAGTGTAGGTCACTTAAAGGACTGCCTGTATTTGAGGCAATTATTTGCGTCACGTCCTCATTTTAAGGCATTGACCCGAGTCAGTTTCATTTTTCGTTCCTGTGGGGATTAGTAAAATGCATTTTGGTGATAATGACATTGTAACATTTTGCTAACATTTGTTCTTTCCTAATTCTGATGCTGATTAACTGTAAACTGGGTCAGTGGTGATAGTCAACCGGTTTGTCCTTTAGCCTCTTGTGTAAATTATTTGCATTCTGTTGCTAATTGCATGATCTTTATAGTGCTAAATTATTGTGACAACACAGTAACAGCTACTGTGGTGCATAAACAGTGTTATTGCAAATACAAGTCCCTCAGCTTTTATAACTGTATACTTGAATATAACTACGATTGCTATGGCTTCTGACTTATTTAATGTCAAAGCTGCCATCCTGCTGAAAAAAACTTCACTTTGTATGAGTGGGTAAGCGATTAAGAAGCTTTTCTCTAAATCCTGTTGTTTTTCACAACAGGTTTTTGCTGAATTATCTCTGTATAACCCATCCTTGGGTTCTGTCATTTACATGCCACATTCCATTTATCTAAATAATAAGCCTTGCATTTAACATTGCCTTTCACAACAGGAGGAAGTCTCAAAGCGCTTCCCAAGATTTTACTGTAAAGTGTAGTGACTGTATGCATCGGCGAACACAGCACCCAACTTGCACATAGCAACATCCCACAAAGACATGAAGTGAATGATCAACTTTATCTGGGGGCTTATTGCCCAGGACATGAGGAGAAACTTCTCTTTTTGAAAAGTGCCATGGGATATCTAACGTCTACCTGAACAGGCATACAGGTCCTTGGTTCAGTGTCTCATCCAAAGGATGGCACCTGCACCAATGTATTGTGGTGTCGGCCTACTCTGTGAGTTTGCAGTCTCAATGTAGGGCTTGAACCCACATCTCATTAAACAGTTCACAATTTATTGAAGTTTGTATTGTTAATTCTGAATAGAAAATCCAGAAATGATCAAGGATTCATGAAAAAGTGATACCAAGGTTGAGGAAACTATAACACTATATCAATAATAATAATAATAATCCTTGCATTTGATATAGCGCTTTTCACGTCTTCTGGACGTCTCAAAGCGCTTCACAGAATATGCTGTAAAGTGAATTGACCATATATTTGTGGGTGAAATGCAGCAGCCAATTGCGCACAGCAGTGTCCCACAAACAGTCGTGGATTGAAAATGACCAATTTATTATCGGTTTTTTTTTGGAGGGATTATTATTAGGAGTGTGGAGTAAGGAAACTTGCCCAAGGTTTCGCCCTGCCTGGAATTGAACCAGGTGTCTCGCTTGCAAGGCGAGTGCTCTAACCACTGAGCAGGACTACAGGACTCCACAATGTAATGAGTTATAATTGACATGTTTCACAGTTCCTGTCCAGCAGCAAATAAATGGTCTCCCCATTAAGATTATGACTCACAGAACTGAAGACCTACCTATGGTCCTAAGTCTCATTGATAGGCCAGCAATCAACAGTAGCTTTTCACATTGGTCAATAAAGCATCTCAGCATGTCTGACTTCAGCAGGAATGTCTTGATGTTGTGTGTGATTCCTCACTTGTGTCGATGTTAATCACTTTTGAAGTTTTTGATTAACAGAATTCAATTTGGCAAACTGGTTCCTCAACAAATTGGATCAGTTACTTTGCTTTATATGTGAGGGCAGCAAGCTAATAACATAGAATCTATTGACTGAATCCACAGATCTTGGTTCGGTTTCTCACAGACCAGTTACTTATCCTGACACATTTCCATGATGCATGCTGGCAGCCACATATTTTGTTCCAAATGCCAAAACAGAGTAATAAACATTTAGGAAATGGGACTCCTGTTGAGCAACTTTCATTAAAGCTACAGTGTCTGTTAACAGTAAACTGTTGTTCACCTCAATATGTTGTGCGAATATTTTCATTTTGGGAAGTGAGATTGCAAACCGTGCAGGTTTTACAAATGAGGCTTATTTACATTCTGAGGTGCTCCTAACTAACTGATCTATTCCCAGTGATGCAGTGATGAATATCTCTAAAAGGTTCCCATTTTGATGAGTTATTCAACTTAATGTAAAACATTAAAATATCAATGTATACTTATTTAAATATGATTCACTTCATATTGGTGGAGCATTGCTATGCACACATTGGTTGGTTCATTCACCTACAAAATACACAGTAACTATACTTTACAGTCAAATCCTATGAAGCGCATTGAGATGACCTGATGTGAGAGGGCACTACATCAAATGCAAGGATTATTATATATTTTCCAGGTACTGTGGTACCTTATATTCTAGTCTCAAAGTGCATTAAAACATCAGTGGGAAATGCAGTTTCCTTTTGCCCTGTACTGCTTGGTTCCAAATCTCAGCCTCACGACTAAAGCAAAGCACAAAGAGTAGAGTGAAGTGCTCTCACGGGTGGGAAGAGAATGACTCACCCCTGAGATTCCCCCATCCTCCTCCTGACTCCCTCGAATGACAAAGGCGGGGACAAAAAAGAACATCTGCTCTTTCAGGTAGAAATGGGATAAAATTCAAGGTATACTGTTGCAAAACAAATCCTCCCAAATTATTTTTCCTCAATTTTCCTTAGCTTTTCTCTGGTTTAGAGTGTGTTTTTTTGTGTGAGATTGTCCTGAGGTATTTTTTTCTGATGCATCTTTTCCCCTTGTATTTCTAAGATTATGAATAATTAATTTTTACATTTCAAATAGTGTTTTGTGTAGTAAGCCTTTGATGGTTTTTGCTTTTTTGCAGAAAGACGCAATAGAGGTCGATGTGCATGTTGAAAAGCAAGACCAGGGAATGTATCACTATCTGACTTCCCAACAGCTCTTCAAACTGCTGGACTGCCTGCTGGAGTCCCATCGATTTGCAAAGTCCTTTAATTCCAACAATGAACAGAGAACTGCACTGTGGAAGGCAGGTGTGTAAAGCTTTTGAAACACGAGTTAGAGAAAGACTAAGATTTACCACCACAAGAACAGGAAAATGTGATTTGAGAAGTTTGTGCAGCTGTGGTTTTGAAAATTCTTATTAGAGGTAGCATTTAGCACCCAGTACTAATGAGATTGGAACACTTTGATGGTTGAGCATAATAGCACAGTGATATGTTAACAGTGATGGGATGTGGATCTATCTCCAGAATTGCTCATAGCTAATTTTCATAATCTCAGCCAAGGTTACCTGCGAAGGTGCTGATTAAATTGCAGTTCTGACTAGTGGTGAGAAAGTACTGTATCAATGTGTGTGTGCAGAATATATTATTCCTCCAGAGCATTTAGATAAAACTGAGGTGCTGAATAATGTGATTGCCACTATGACATCTGCTAACAAATAATCCTTAACAATTGTAGAATAAAAGCATCCCAGAATTTCCTGCTGGGACATGTTGTGTAATATATGGAATGAATTCTGTGCTAAGGACATGGCACATGTGAGGGTTAAAATGATATTCCTTTTGAAGAATAAAGAGAAGACATAACTGTAACACAACTTTGCACCATACTTTATATTAAAAGGCATTGATTTGGTCTCAAGACTCGGGTGATGTTATAGACTGCTCGAGCTTTATTTCTGCAGTTTGTAATGCCATCTGAACCTTTAAAATGTGTTGTTGTGTCTCACATCCCTGTAATTATGCCGATGACTGGTTCTCATCAAATGGAAAGCTTGCAACCTGTTCATTTGTTTTCTGATCTTGTGCACCCTCTACTGGCTAAAGCATTAAGGTGTTTCTACTACTGTTATTTTACTGAAGAAACCGTCACTGCCACAAAAAAACAGAATAGCCTGTAGACATGGTCAAAGAGTGGCATTGATAAAATATACAACAGTTACAACTTATTTTTGGATGGTATCCTTTGCAGATTTTCTTCCGGAAACAAATTTACCTGGTTTTAGTTTCTTATTATTTTTAAGTTCCTTCTTTGTGTTTGAGCATGTACGTTGTTGTGAGGAATGTGATACCACCCGAGGTTATTGCCTGAATTTGAAGCAATTAACCATATCTTCTATTTGCATAATTCTCAACAAAATAACAAATAGCGGTTCAAATAATTCCAGCAAGTTTTATAGCAATATCCAAAAGTATATTTGTATTAAGTGTGCTTATTTTAAGAGTTTATTCCATTTATTTCTTAACTGGAATAATGAAGCCCAATAAAATTCCTGTCGACCTGAGGAACTCCATTCCTGAAGTAGATTATGTCAAAAGGGAAGCGAGTTCCTGCAGGTCAACATGACATACTCTCGCAGAAGTCCCCATTGTGTAACTCTGATTCCTTATTAAAGAATCCTATTGAGAAATATCACAGGTTAAACCCAGTTGTCTGACAACGTGAAAGAATGATATCTCAGAGCTACCAACATTGAGCAGGTCTTAAGAGTGAGATTTTCAGAGCCATGAGCCAAGCTGGTTGTTCTGCCTCATGTCAAACATGCAATGAAGTTGTGTCCTTCCCAGAACAACTCAAAGGACTTGTTCTGAGAGCATTCTGTATATTCATATTTTCATTTCACTTAGTGGTTTCAATAGCAAAAAAAATGAAAGCATAACTATTGAACATAAGTGGTTCAAGCCTTCTGAGTTGTAAAGGTAATGAAGTGGTTTTAGGACCTCTTACCTGTATGAAGCATCTCCAGCTATTGGGGGAAGGTGTCTTTGTAAGCACTGTGTTGTGCTCTGGGATGCTATCCAATGTGAAGGGCACTATATAAATGGAAGTTCTTCTTGTTGTTCGTGACAGAAAAAGCAGCAGCTTGCACTTGCTGGGCTCTTTTAATAATGATTGTAAACCTTTTCTTTGCTCTAAAAACTGCTTCCCCAATCGCTGGGGATCTTAAAAAGCAAAATCAAACCAAGGATATGATGTGTTAGGTTTGCATTTAGTTAAAAGCAGATCAAAGGAAAAAATGAGCTTTCAGCATTTGGTATTGGATCCCCAGTGCTCTGTGCTGCTGGGTGGGAGGTTGTGAATTTAGTTCCAAGAACACCAACTGCTCTCCAGTTTGTTGCCCAAGTGGCAATTTGTCATCTGGAAACCTGTACATACAGTGAGTGTCTGTGGGATATTTGGCCATGGAGTCCTGTAGGGTAGTGGTTAGAGCACTTGCTTCACAAGTGAGAGAACCTGGGTTTGATTACCTCCAGGGCGAAACGTTGAAAAGTTACCTTACTCCACACACCTGTTTACCTAGCACTAAGAAGGAAACCAGTTGTTAGTCGAATGGCGGATTGCTTTTCTGGGGATAATAATCCCTTCAAAAAATAAATAAATAAATACTGATTTGGTCACTCAATCCATGGCTGTTCATGGGACACTGCTATGCACAATTGACTATTGGGTTTCACCCATATAATATACAGGCAATTATTCACTTTACAGTATATTCTGTGAAGCAGTTTGAGATATCTCGAAGACGTGTTAAATGTATCAAATGCAAGGATTATTATTATGGAGTTACAGTTGAGCCTGATTCCTCTCTTCCACAAGATCCTCCACATATGTACTTTCCAGCCAGCATTCACTGGATAAAAATCAGAGATGGGAACCCTAACATTTTCTCTCCCCTTAAGCCCAAAGCACTGAGATCAGTTGTAATGCCCCCAAACATAACTCAGTACATAATTTCTAGTTTTCAAGAGGTGTTTAAGTAGATTTAATATTATAAAATATTTCTGAGAGAATGAAGCACTGTAAAAATGAAAAACAGATATTTTTTCCCACAAAGCCTCATGAACTGGACCGTTCAGCACCTTGGGACGTCCTCCCGACGTAAAAGGCGCTCTATAAATGCAATCTTGTTGTTGTTGTAGGATCTCATTTTCTCATCACATCTTTGATGTTACCAAACTAGTTATACCATGAAAGATCATGGCAATTATTTTTTATATAGCTACCAGGATGTCAAAATTGGTTCTCTAGCAGTAAACTCATTTAATCAGAATTGCACTGCTAATCGCGAGCTTTGCCTTTACTAGAAACTGCGTGAACTCATTCACAATAATGTAACATCAATGAATATTGCTATTTATTAACATTGGCGAAATGGGTAATAGCACAAAGAATAACAGTTCTTCAATGAGTGCCTAATGTAATTAATTTAACTTTCCATTCATTGCATAAATTAAGTTCGTTTTTTAGGCAGGAGATTCCTTAGAGAAATTTATACCCTGTCGAATAACCATAATTTTTTCATTTAATTGTTCCACGACCTGTGCTTACCCCCCTTTTCATTTAATTGTTCCATTCTCTCCGCCTTGCTATATAATGCAAATTGTTGTTCTGTCTGATTATTCCATATGCTTATCAACCTTTTACTAAAAGGAAATCATCTTCATTTCTTATTTCGTTCATTTTAATTGTTTATTTTGAAGTATGCTGTTCCCATATCAGTGCTTCTGATTTCAGCCATAGTGACTCGAAAAACAGCGATTGGCCTGGGTTAGTTAATAATGTGCATTAGGCATTCACACCAGTAGAAGGAAAAACAAAAGTCTAAAAGCCTTGGGCAAGGAAAGGGGAATAAACCCTTTGAACTTTTAAGACTGTAATCTCATCTCATGTAGAAGAAAATTCATCAGTTGATGAGATGTAAGAGTAAATTCGCTGGAATCAGTGTATGTGGGTTCTCTGTGCTGTTATCTGGTGTGATTTTTGCACTCTTGTCAAAATTGTATAATTGTTTGAAGAAACATCCAGAAATGTTGTTTTTAACAATTTGTTTTGCTGTAATCGCAGGGTTCAAAGGCAAATCAAAGCCCAATCTTCTGAAACAAGAGACTAGCAGCCTTGCTTGTGGCCTGCGCATTTTGTTCCGTATGTACATGGATAAAAACCGCAGTGACGCTTGGGTAGAAGTTCAGCAGCGATTACTTAAGTAAGTAACAAATCCTGTCACTGGTTAGAAAAGATAGTTCTAGTGGCAGAGGTTGTGAACGAAAACATCAAACTTCCTGGGTAGTTGTGTTATACCCAATATAGCTTGTGTATTGCTCCTCTCCAAAATGTTCTTGCTGTGCTCGTGCTCACGGTTCTTCTTTTCCTCCTTTTCCGGGATTCTGGCTTGGATCTTGGATTAGTTGTGGGTTTCCTCTAGTTCTTCATCTCAGTACCAAATTGGAAAAACGTCTGATGTCAATAGGTTTATCCAATTGCTTGAATTGACTACAATCTTTAGTGTAATTCAATTAATGTTCGATAGTGAATGTTAATGGAAAGATACTACAACATCAGAAAGTTTGTCACTTATTCCTGTGTTCTCATAAAACAAATTTCTCTTTCAGTCTTTTTCTGCACCAAGATATATTATTTTTGTGTGCTTGTTTACTCCTCATCAGGAATTTTATTACCATAATAGCATTTTCATTTTAGAATGCAACTTTTTCTTTTGATTTTCCTGGTTAACGATTTAAGCGGGAAGGCCAAGGTCAAATATTTTCAAAGTAAGCCAAAGGGAGTGAAGGCAGAGAGTTCTGTATCTGAAACGGCTTCCTTTGGGTTTTACAACTGAGATTTTTTAATACAGTACATTGTAACACTGATTTCCTTCCCAGTGTTTGCAGTGAAGCTCTCAGCTACTTCCTGACACTTACCTCAGAAAGTCACCGGGAGGCCTGGACGAACCTTCTACTTCTCTTCTTAACTAAAGTTCTTAAAATAAGTGACGAAAGGGTAAGAATCTGAATTCAAATATCCTGTTGATGCAAAGTTTACATTTTTTATTCAGTGTTCTTTAATGATCAATCACAAGGCCATTCTTCATATTTTCAAGATTCAATTTATGCTACAATTGTGTTTCTCCCCCTCTTAATAAAGCATGATTTTTAAAAAAAATTAACCTGGGTGTTTTAGTGAAACTAAAGTAAGTTCGGAATTGCTAAGTCTAGGATTGTTTGCAAAGGCATGAAAACCATTAACCTGAACAGGTAAGTTTAGATCCTGGATATGACATCTAATTTTCCCAGTTAATGTTTAATGTAAATTCCTCCGATAGCATGAATGCAATAACTGAAAAATCTTAGTTATTTAAAAATATTTATTGCACTTTTTTTGATATCTAATCATTGTTAAAATATCATACCTGCTTAAAATGAGCATTGCGTTTTGTCTAACTGGCGTGTTTTCTGCATTCAAATGGGGTCTAGTAATCGTTGTATTTTTTTTCCCCAGTTCAAGGCCCATGCATCAAGGTACTACCCGTTTCTGTGTGAAATTATGCAATTTGATCTGATTCCTGAATTGCGAGCTGTCCTACGCAAATTTTATCTCCGTATTGGCATAGTCTTTAAAATATCCCATCCCTTAGACCAAGAGCATGGATCAACCAAGCAGTAACCTTGACTGAGATCTTAGCTAGACCAGTCTGTCCATATGTTTGCTGAAAAGGACAAGGCCTCGTTTGACTATCTCTTCCTGCCTCAATCCCTCCTTGATTTTTCTGTAAAGGATGGTGCTTAACTCTGTTGGTTTCTAAATGCCTAAAAGATACAGATGAGTGAACTGTAATCAAAGCTTAAACTGCTCTATTCCATTGCATTAATTATCTGAAGGATGCAAGGTACAGACATGCGAAGCGTGGAGTCAGCTCTTCACAATTTTGATGTTCACACTTTGAGAATGCAGTGTGGAGAAGTGCACTGACTCAGACTTGAAACATGGACAGGAAGCAGTGCCTATTGTACAGGGGAGAAAATATTTAAATGAGTCCTGTGGTTTAAACTTCTGGCATCAGAAGTGTTTGACAGTGACTAATATATGTGCTCTAAGGGAACTATAATCTTGTAGTATCTTTATCATCTTACAGGCAGGATGAAAGGCATAATTGACATTTCATTTCTACAATTACTAGCAAAGATCAGTGAACATTGTCCAGTAACTTTTTTTTGCACAGCTCAATGACCATCTTTCTGTAAAATCTGTTGTACAGACACCAATCTGTAAAGTACACAACACTATATAGTTCTTCCAGATGTTTCTTTTATTTCATATTTTATGTTGTTGATTTGCTGATGTCGCATAAATGTTATTGTTCATTGTATGCACTGGGGATTATTTTTCTTTGGCTTTGTGAATTTTTTTAAAAAATTCTCTTGAATGTTGCTCAATGCAGTTGTATTGGAATCGAAGGAGGTGATGGTTAATAGAGCAAGGAGGCACTAAGGACATTATCATTGGTGCAATTAACAGAATGGTTACCCTGTCAGAGCTGTTTTTTTCTCTTACCTGCATATTACAGGCAAGGGCCTGTTTTAAAAAAAATATTGATCCTCTCAACTGGAACTCGAATCACTGCGGGCTGATCTGAAGTGCATCTGCACTGTCATAAAACTGTCTCCATGTTTGATGTAGGTTCTGCTGTCTATGTATAAAATTTGATGTTAAATTAAATATATTAAATAATGAATCAGTTGGGGCTTGGGATGATGAAATGTACTGAAACCTAATTATTAAGAAGCTGTGAATTGAGCTTTAATGATTAAAAGATGAACACGACAGTTTCAAGCATTCCTAGTCACTGTGGATGTAGAAAATAAATATTTGGAGGAGGTTGAAATGTATATGGTACAGACATGTAAAGTTTTCTATGTAAAAATATGTACAACTTTCTGTACAATATTGGTTATCATCTGGCATATTCTAATCAGGTCTTAGGTCAATAAAGTTTTTGAACTCTCTTTTACCAGTGCAGTCTCATTTTGATTAACAGTGTTCTTACCTTTGTTTACACACATTGAAACAGATTGTGTTCAATTACCAGCTGAAGGACTTGCGACTTGCTGATGGTTGTTTGTATGGAAAGTCAGTGCAACTTTCCAGTGAGGCAGGCTGTCAGTTTCACTTCATTATGAGAGGCAGAGCCTTCTGTCGCTATGCCTCTGTCCACTGGGATTCTCTTCCTCAACCACTTTATCTTGCTACCTTTCATCCTGTCACCAATGTACTTCTGAAAACATACTTTCTTTGCCTTTGGTCAACATTCTTGTGTTTCATTTCCTTAATCTATGTGTGCCCTAACTTGTGTTAGTGCTGTGAGACTTTATTTGAAAGGTACTATATAAATCCAAGTTGTGATGTAAGATCCTTTGCAGAATAGAGAAAGTAAATACATATTTTAGCTATAAAACAAGAATGTACAGTTGCAGGTTTATGAAAGGTAATTCTAGGATATAATCTCACATTATAATCAAAAGGTGGAGTGGATTACTATGGAGGGTTGATTGAAAAGAGGATAAGAGACAGTTAGATGATGTAATGGGCATTTGATAAGTTTGGAATTTTGAAAGGATGAGCTCAAATCTTCTGAATTGTTCTTGTCCTTTAAACAGAATACATGCTTTTAGTGTTTTACATTTGCCCATTGAGATGTTTAGAAAGCTACTCACTCCACCAGCAATGAGATAGTAGTTGAGCCTGGTTATTTTTGATTGAGGTGTTTAATGACGGGTACTAAATGGAACCTTTTGTTGCTCTGAATTCCAGTATGCAACAACGTGTATTACTGCAAGTTGTGTAAAATCCTGAGATGTGCTTATGATGTCAAATGCACTATATTAAATAGGATTTATCTTATTTTTTGAAGGGAGTGGGGAGCAAGCAGCAGACCAGGGCCAAAAGAACAAATGGTGGCTGAAAAAGATAGCATAGGATGGAATAGAGCAGTGACAAGATTGGAAACTCGAGCCAAGGTTCTTAAATTCAATCCACTGGGGTCAAGAAGTCAATGTTCCTTGGTATCCAAAGACTTGTAAGAGATAATTCAATTGATTTGACAATAGAACAACACTAACCCAGCTACAATCAGCAACTCAACAAAATGTGATATCTCATCAGTTTAGGCCCATTGTTAAATTAATCTCAAAGTACATGCAATATTCTTAAAAATAAAATTTATTTACATATTGCACACATCTAGGTTACAACAAATACAATCATTGATAATATAAGTTAAGAAACAATGCAGGTTTGGAAAATAAATTCAATTATTAGCACCAGTTAGTGCCAGATCCAGTTAACAAACTGAAAAATAGTTTTCTGTTCCAGTGTAATCCAGATGCTAATATTCCTGGAAATAATTTACTGTTAAGCACATATACTTTGTTGATTACCACTCTTAATCACAGATGAAAGATTTTTGCCCTTTTGTAATGTGTTTATTCAAGGCCACATGCTGGTGAAGAGAATATGGACCCCAAATTTAAATACATATATAAAGAAAGTGCATAGAGATGTATCCACTAACAAAAGTATTCCCTACTGAGTCGCTTCTTGTCTCTGGCAGATAATTTCATCCATGTGCAGTGGAATGACCGTGCCAGTTGAAGGCAGATGTGTTAACTGAAGGTGGGCGGACATTTTGGGTATGTTCGTCCATAAACTTCCTTAAAGTTTCAGATGTTCCTGGTCGGAGCCATGGGTCAGTAGCCACTGTATCAATTGAGGTCGGCCTTTCTTTGTTTTGTGATAAGAACTGCTTCAGAATGTCGTCAGCATCTTCCAGTGTAACAATATCTTTAAAGAATGTTTAAAGAAACTGAACTGTCAAATCATTCCACACTGACATTTCCAAGAATGTAATTTATAAAGAGCACCGGGGAAAGGAATTCAGAAATGCATACCATTGACTTTTTCTGAACCTCTTTCACTTTGCAACACTGTCAAATAATAATATTGACTTAATGAAATACTTTTTGTTTTTTTTTGAAAGAATGTGTAGCTTACCTGGCTGCTGCAAATTATCCAGATTCTTTATACGTTGCTCATTCCTGGCTCTTACTTGATCCAAATGCATAGTGGAGCCAGAGTGCAGAGAGGTGCTGTCTGCTCGATGAGTAGGGTGCATGGCAATTGGACTATCCTGTAATTGAAAACAACAAACAGAAATTGAGTCAATTTTAACCATCATTTACATTGGGCAACGTTGCAGAACTCTTCAGAAAACAATTTAAAAAATGCACATTAAACAAAAGAACCCACAATTACCAGCGGTTATTTTGGTTATAAGATATATTATTGCCCCTACTCTCTGCTTTTAGTTGTTCTAGGCTAAGACAACAGTACACTGCACTTTAACAACTCTAAGGTAGAGAAGAGGCCAGTTATGGCCTCTCCTGTTTGCAATCCACTGGATTTGGCTGAGTACCCCCTCCCCCCAGTTCACACATGAAAATGGCCACTTGCACAAGGTCCTGCAGGATACCCATAAAACAGTGTCTCAGTCAGTGAGATTAGCATGTATTATTCACGTGGAATAAAGGGAGAGAGAGAGAGAACATGTATATGCATTTCACTTTTCAGCTGTGCCAAACAATAAACATTAAATTTTTAGAAACTTTGGTAAGAACAACAATGTGAAATGGACATAGCCTTACATTTTCTTTATGAAAAAGGGAGCAAAATAACACATACAATAGCAAGGAACATCCAATAAAGTACGTACAGAGTTGAAATCTAGCCTCTCTTTATTGCGGCGTCTTCGGTCTCGTGCACGAGTTTCAGGCCATGTTGGCTCAGTGTATGCCTGAAGAGGGAAGGTTTCTCCATGGCTTCCTGGTTAATAGAGGTTAAATCTGATTAAAAAAAAGCTGAAAAAATACACTCTTTCAGAGAGTAATAAAGAATACAGAGCGCTTACCTAAAAAGGCGCTATCTGATTCAAGCAATGAGTTTTTCAACCAGTCTTCACTTGGTTCCCTCATTGGCTCCCTTGTCTGTAGAGTGATAGAAAGATGCAAATAAAGCAATCATTATAAAATATATAACCAACATAATATTACGGGTACAAGTAGAATAGGTAGATAGAAAAACAGAAATTCACAAGTTTATTACATCTAGGCAGATGATTTAATCCCTGCCCTTTTGCCATATTCACTAATACCTTTACTATCCACGTATCTGTCTCTGTTAAACATCCCATGATAATACACTGCCTCAATACCTTTCTCGGGCAGAGCTTCCCACATCATCACAACCCTCTGGGTGCAGAAATGCTTCCTGACCTCAGTTCTAACAAGTTTGATTCTGATTTTAAGACTCTGCTTCCTTGATAACTGACTTTGTATCTATTTTTCTATTTAAAATCCTTTAAGAATGGAAAGATCCAAAAAATAAGAAAGGATTTAGAAAAGTTTCAAAATAACTCAGGATTTTAAAAATTGTACTCAATACGTGTGGTTTGTACTTTTGAAATGGTGATATTAAAATATCATCTTGGAAGTTTAAGTACAGAATTATGAGCAACATTGTACTTACCAGCCCCATATTGTGTAGATTTGCAGCAGGTACAAAGCTCTCAGCTGCAAAGGGCAAGATCAGAAAAATGTCTAAACATAAAGATGGGTAATAGACTATATTCTCATTGATAAATAAGTATCATTAATTGAAATAGGAATAATGCCATTGCTTATGTCTCTTGGCCAGAACAGCAATAGAGTGACCAGAACATAAGTCTAACTTAGGAAACAAAGTGAAACTACTACAAGAACTGTATGGTAGAAGTTACTAGATTTTACAGAAGAGAAATGTTACCAATGGTCTGTCTGCTTAAATGACTGCTATTGAAACAAGAAAAAGTACAAAAAGTAATTTCTCAATAGAATCTTATGTTCACAGTTGAGGATTGCTACACTAAATGGCATACAACAGTGTGAATTTCTTAGTAAAGCTTCTCTGAGATTCACATTGTATTTACCACTAGAAATTCACAGGAAATTGTTTTCATGGACATGCAATTTAATGGCAATAATATTGTGCAGTTGACAAAGTAGATCAACTGATCAAAATTCAATTCTAACTAATAATAGATGTGTCAAACCATAAAAGGAACACAATCACAATTAGAAAAATTATTTAGAAAGCAGACCTGTTATGAAATAATTCAGGCCTCCTGGGGGTAGTCATACTCATTCATTAAAAGTTTTAATATAATTCTAACCTGTTTCTTTCCTCCTCATCCTGTCCAGATTCTTTCGTTGCTCTCTCAGTAGTGCCTCCTGTTGAATCTCCAGGGTATTATTATCATTCGGAGGGTCTGGGTACCTTTGTCTTACTTCAGCACGTGTTGCTGAATCTGTTCAAAGTGGAAGAACAGTTCCATAAAGAATTTAAGCAATCAAATTTTTTTTAAAAAAGTTATGTGCAAATCAAACACCATTGTCCTTATCTGAAAAAAAGTTTTTTGGCAGAGCATTGAATGATAATAGACATTTCTTGATAGAATCCTGGACCATTACTGTCACAAGCAATAGTCAAACCACTTTGTCTCTCCCACTGTTGAAAGGTCAATTCAAAGATACGTCATCACTTGTTTTCATTGTAACTAAAGTAATGTGAATGCAAAAGGAAGGAGTAAGGCAATGTCAAAATATTGCTCTTTAACTTTTGGAATATTGGTTAGAATCTAGGGGATAGAAACCTTCTCTAGAGCACTTAACAAAAGTCCAAACAATTAACCTACAGTAACAAACACAAGCTAAACTGCCCCCAGGAATGTTACTCAGTCAGAGGCCGAGTATAGGTCAGTTGGAAATAGAAATTCAACTTAGTTAGGAACTCCATTGTAGCTGAGGTTAAAGCAAATTCATGTAGAACAATCAGTAGAACTGTTCAACCAGTTTAACTAACTGTTCAGTTCTTTATCAAGCAATAAAGTGAATGTAGCAAATTAACTGTTTGCTTTACTCTGAGCTCATGCTGGCTGGGAGAAACGAATACATCCTCATTGCTTTCTTGGTTATTCAATGCACTATGTATTTTATTTTTGCATATTCATTTCCGTCCTGTAATTTCAGTAACCTGGAACAATTAACATTTCTGTATTCAGAGAATGGATGAGAATTACATCTGAACTTGCCTCTGTATTTCAGGTCATTAAAATCTCTGATGTTTTGCAAATTCAAAGAATCTTTGGATGAAGGCCGTCGCACTGGGGCCTGTATCCGCTGCCTGGCTAAATCAAAGATATCGGGATATTTCTCTCGCCTCCTGTTGAAACGTGTTACAAAGTATAGGCTGTTAGTCATGAAAACATACAAGATTAGCTGTGTACTTAAGCCTAATAATGCAAATCAGATGCAATTCTTATTGCTACAAATTACTTGGAAAAATTCATAGCCACACTATTTAGCTGTTGAACAGTACAATGTTATACCAAACGTACATGACATTACTTTACAAGGGTTTGAACAGTTCCAAACCCGTTGTTCACTTATTCACCTGGAACATTACTGGCTTTGGTGTTTTATTTATTATCGTGTTAGCCACATTTTTGCACTGTTTTACGAGATTGACGGACAGTTCCTCAAACAAACTAAATACAAGGACGGTCAAAGACACAGAGTGACAACGAGTTTCATCTACGAAACATTCTCATTGACTGCCTTTCTCTTGTTTTACCAAAAATATTAAATTGACTTTTTACTTGGACACAGAAAATAAATCTTCTTCCTTGTCAACATTTTGAAGTTGTCCCTCAAGACGTCGTTCCTCACTTCGTAGCTGCCTTCTCAGTGTGGATAGTTCGCTGATTATGTCTTTCTTGTCCTCTGTCGAAACACAAACAATCTCAATTATAATTTAATTATTAATTCGGATTTTACTCTATTTTGGATTAGAAAACAGTGATAGATATCAGGTCATTCTGTAAAATACATGTGAATATTAACCAAAAATCTTGACCAACAGCAGTTATTTGATCAATATAGTACCACACCTTGTCAACCATCTGACATTCTACGCTACTATAAACCAAGTTTTAAAATAACCATTACGTAACATTCCCTTTTTTGCTCATTTTCAATATTTTCTGTTGGGAACAGAAGATATCTTCTGTTCTTCTATATTAGTTAGTGTGTTTTCTCTACACGGACAACTATCTTATTCTTAAGCTGGGCATTCACTAGGAGTAAGAACAATTAAAAGATTTTTAAAGAAGCATGAAATCTAAGCACAGATTTGCCAACATTACAGCTGATGTACTTGCGAGAGCACCTGGTTATCCAGAATGAGGAGGTAGGGAACTCAACTGTATATTAGCCTCAATGCTTTTTTAAATTATATTCATAAAAACATAAAGGCATTCAACCCACTAGTATTCATCTCTTCCAGCCCATTAATTCTCCCACATTAACAATGAATTGTAATCTTGATTATATCACAATAAGTGCTCTCCCAAGTAATTTATGAACAATGTGAATAGGGATCAAGAATAGAATTGTGCAGGATTGTGTTCACCATGGTGCTTTTCTGTTATCCATTCATCACCACCTAAGCTTTCTTTTTCAAAGGCAGTATTCAATCCAAATATTAACCTTTAAAAGTCTCAAAATTGAATTTATTCAATGCCTTCTGCAAATCCAAGTAAATCATATCTACTGGATAATTCTCATCTCCTTTTCCCATTCATTCCTTAAAATAATTTCAGTAGTTTAATAAGGCTAACTGGTCTATCACTTTCAAGCTCAGTCTCATCTTTTTTATACTGTGGAATCTCGTTTACCAGCCTCTAGGTCTCAGGAATAACTGGTGCTTTTGAAGTCTCAACTGCAGTAACCCTGAATACTCAAACGCATTACAGCTATTCTAACTAGGAAGGGGAAAACGGAAGGAAGATAAAACGTGACTCTGCTGACTGACCAGTCGGTCAGTATCCTAGTAGCCAGCTTTCAGCTTTATAGGCTATATCAATAAATCTTTGGAGGCTGCCCTGTGCTCCTCAGCACTGTTCAATAATGTTCAAAAATCTAGCATTGGTTCGCTAATGAGGGATTTCCTCATAACTAATGCTGGGAAACAATGAGATCCACTAATTCTACAGGGTATTTTGGCTCATTCTACTGGAGGGAGGAGGAAAGAGAAGCATGTGGAGAAGCGTAAACATTATGATCAGTGTGTCTTGCACATTTCTTCTTGTCACAAAACAATGACAGAATTGACATGAAATCATACAGATACCAACTGCACCATCACTCATCAAGAAAGGTTTCTTTTACAACTATAGTAAAAAAAAAGTTTATAGCTAAAAATTCTCTTAAAGCAATTAAAACAACAGATGTCTGACACGTTTCTTTTAGCATGGGAACCAGGTGGCAAGCGGAGCCAGCTGGCCATGTCCTTGCTTGGTGCTTTTCGCCTACAAAACATACCGTCAATTCACTTTGCAGTATATTCTGTGAAGACCTTTGAGACGTCCAGAAGATGTGATAAGGCGCTATATCAAGTGCAAGGATTATTACTTATACCACTATACTGTAGTTTACCCCAGTTAGATTCCTAAATAATTAAGCTAGAGTACCACAACACAAATCATAAAGGAAACATTTGCTTCAATATTCTTTACCATACGCTCGAAGCTGGTTTCGTCTAGCAGGGACTGGTGGTGAATGAGGGATTGTTTGTGGACGATCCTGTGAAGCAAAAATAACCATTAAAGCCATAGAAAAAATGTAAACTGTTCAACGTTCAACACCAAAGTAATCATTTCATTTACTACCAGTTCTCATGTAAAACAGTTTAACTCAGAGCCAAAATTCACTTAATCACCATTAAAGGCAAAAGGTTTTTTCCTTATATAGGAAACTGATTGATTGCAGTTGAATCTCACCTTTTGAGCACCTCAGCAATGAATGCAATTCACTATTCACCTAAAAATACATTACACTTTATAGTAAATCCCGCAAAGTGCTTGGAGATGATACAATCATGTGATAAGATGCAAATACAAGGATTATTACTATTATTGAGGATATTTTTTCAGTCCTTTTTTTAAGTAACTAATAAAGGCATTTCATAAAGGGAATTTAGGCTAGTCCACTGACTAGTTTCAATTGTACTCATTTACATTGAAGAGCAACGAGGTATCGAAATATCTCACCAATACTGATTCACGACTATCCACAGATGGAGATCGTTGATTTTCCTGTTTCTTTTTCACAGTTGGAATAGGTGGAGAGGGTCTTCGCTGTGAAACATGCACATTTTCTTTTAATATTTTAATTTATCTGTTTTAGTCTTAGACATCACCTACGACCTCACAAGAAAGGGGTTCGGCCCAAAAGGTTTATCATTTCAATAATTTCTAGCATTAATATCAAATTCTAAAATCTAACAACAATAACTTGCATTTATATAGTGCCCTTCATGTCAAAGTCAAATTTTCAAGTCAAAGTAGTAATTGCACATTGTACAGCAGACATTTTAACATTTAAATATATACCTCTTTCTCTATCCATGCTGTTTCTTCCCTCTCAAGCTGTTGTCGAATAACCTCATCCTGTTTTTTCTCTTCCTCCTTTCGCTTTCGTTCTGCTTCTTGACGACGTTCTTCAGCCAAACGAATAATTTCTTCATTTTTCACTCTTTGCTGGAACAATGAATGTTACATTTGAAATGATTATTTACTACATAAATGCTATCTGTGCCGCCCATTAACATCCCATAAAAAGAGATTAACAGATAAAAGAATTTATCTAAAAGAAGATCAGTTCCAAAACGGTATAGCAAAAAGGCAGGTAAATAGGTCCAAATCCCCTAGTGTCTAGTGCCTAGGGACGTTCTCCCGATGTGAAAGGCACTATACAAATGTAATTTTATTGTTGCTGTTGAATGGATTGCTCAGCACAAACAAGTTAAGCTGAATGGTCCCTTTCTGTAGATTTATATAGTTCTATGACTCTAATGACATTGGTCAGATTCAGGTGATTTATACACAAAGTGCAAGTACAACATGTTAATATTGATTACAGATTAAACATTACTGACTAGGCTACCACCTCATTAAAAACTATCTTTTCAAAATTCCTGGACAGTCCAGTCGATTATCAATTGATCTGCACCCATTGTCTTTTAATTGTCACGAGCTCCAGCTGACTCACCTTTACATTTTCCTTCTCAACCAGTTTGCTGTTTTTTCCACAGTGATAATGTCACCAACAGGATAGTTAAAGAGTTCTATTTACATTTCCCACAAAATTGTTGCAGTCTGAATGAGCAAAGCAAATTTTAGCATTTTTGTGCTATAAACAGTGTAACACCCAGTTAGTTCCCTTCTTGGGTTAATTGTGCAAACAATTATTTACACACAAGCTGAAGGGTTAAACAAGTCCTGTTTATACTCCAAGCTACCTAATAGCTCTTCTTTTATAAAACTTTAACATAAATTCTCAATGTGATTTACTCAATACATTTTTTTTTCCTGTGCATCTGCCTGGCACAGTTGATAGTAGTACACAGAGATTGTGGTTTCAAGCTGCAAATTGGAAATTTGGGCTCATATTCTAGGCCAACTAGTCTTAAGCAGTGCAATGCTGCAGGAGTGCTGCATGGTCAAAGTGTTGTCCTCCAGATAAGATGTTAAAACCAAGAAACCGTTTGCCAGATGGATGTTGAAGATCCCATGGCTCTAATGGAAAACGAGAAGGGAATTTCTCCAGGTTTCCTGGCCAACAATCCCCCAAATAAAATTGACGATTCCCTTCAAGGCTGTTTGTGGAACACTGCGGTGCACAAATTGGCTCCTGTATTTCACCCAGAAATACACAACAAAATTACATTTGTATAGCGCCTTTCAAGTCGGGAGGACATCCGAATAGTCACTACTCTCTACAGTAAAATCTGGTGAAGCTCTTTAAGATTGTCATAATGTGACAATGCACTACTGTATATAATAATAATATATCAAAAGCAAGAATGATTATTACTATTATAAACTGCTAATGGCAAGTGCATAAATTCTAAAATAAGTAATACAATATTTGAGGAAAATAAATTAGGAGAATGCCCTCGATTTAACAAACCATTGAAACAAAGAAGATTCAGGGACTAGTGAGTCATTTCAAACAAAGTGATGAGAAACATTCTCGTGCCAACTAAACAAATGTGCCAGAGTCAAATCATATCCTGATGTAAAAGGAGAACATTACCTCTTCTTCTTTACGTCTTTTCTTTTCTTGCTCTTCTTCAAGTTCTTTTGCAATACACGCTCTCTGTTCAGCTAGGCGTTTCTCTTCTTGCAGCTCTTCCAGCTTCCTTTTTTCACGCTCTTCTTCTACTTTACGTCGTTTTTCTTCAATCTAAAATCAACATCAACAACTAGATCAAAGATTTTTTACTTAAAACATATTACTCCTTGGAAATACCATTATCTTTTAACAACAGGTATCGAGTGATTGAATGGAAATTCCTCAATTGTCAATGTGTTGAAAATGCACTGCAATTATTATTTGCATAATACCAGTCCCAGCAATACTGGATTACAATGTTGTCTTTCCAAAAGGAAATGTCTTTAATATATAATGACATGCAGCAGTTATGTACACTAAAAAGGAAAGTGTTTGCACATAGCCAAGTATATTACCAGATATGTTGAACAAGAAGGAAAAAAAATCTCCATCATGCTAATTGTTTCCAATATGAAACAAACACTCAGCTTTTTTGTGAAAAATTCCAAGGGTTTGAAATTCTAAACACTTGTACCTTCAATACCATTAAGGTATAAAAGTTGTATCAAAATTCAAAATCATAGAGAATTTTGGAAAATTCTTCAATTCCGTGTCAATTTGAGGCTGACTTTTTTTTGAGAACTGCAAAACAGCTTTCAAATAAGGAAGATTTATGAAGATTCCAAAATTTAGAACTTTGTTAAAATTTAAGACACTGATTTTAAGGCTATGCCACTTGAAAATTCAGGCCTTTGATACTTATAACCCGCCCATATCCTATGTACCAAATATTGAATATCCAACAGCCCATGTAATAAAGAACAATAAAGTAACTAAAATTTGAAAGTATGAAAAGAAATGTAACAAAATGGTTAAACTACATAAATTTTTCAGATCTGAATTTACTTGTAAACGTAGAAAATCTTTGTATTTTTCTTGTTCACGAAATTGCTTTTCTGATTGTCCATCATTTAACATATTCCCTTGGGGAAAATGTGATACGTTTCCCAGAGCACAGCCTAGGAAGAAAACAGTGAAAAGGGCTTAATTCAGTTCAACTTCATAAGGTTTAAAAATAAGACGTTATAATCAGGTGCAGGAAGTAGTGTCAGATCTATTATAATGGGCTAAGTCCATAAAATCAGAGGCCATATTATAACTGATCAGATGACAAAAATGGCCACCCATCAGCGCTTCCACGTCATCAGGTCACCACTGAGGTCACTTCCAGTTTTTGGTGCTGACTGCAACAGCGTGCAAAGAGCCAGCTAGTCCAGTCAGTAGCAACCACTCTGGAAAGAGTTTCCAGTGGTTTCCATGGTTCCACGTGCAAAATGCCGGCCAACACAGAAGCCAAATGTGTATTACACCTTCAATATACTGGGGGGTGGGGGGGGCTCACAGTACAAACTCACTGTAAACAGACGTGGGGTATAACAGGGTATGACTGTACCTGGCAACCATGGAATTGTATTCCAGCATGAATCAACAGCTTCAGCAAAGGGAAATGAATTGAAAGGAGCAAAAACGATATTGCCATTGAGGGCAATGACAGACATCTGCAGACTTTTGACTGCCAGTGGGCGGAGAAGCTTAACCCACTTATTTCTCATGGGTTTAGCTACAAAATCAGTCTCCTTAAACGTTAAGATTATTCAGTATTTTGGTAAATTCTTAAATTCGGCCCTAATTTGGAAGCCAGTTTTCCACAATAACCAAAAAGGAACTGCAGAAAAACTGTTTCCAAATTAAGACTGAATGTAAGACGATTCCAGAATGAATGCACCCAATTAAAACCATGTGATATCTCAAGCTTTTGAATTGCAAACAATTCTAGAAATTGATAGGTAGTGAATGAAAACATGTTATATGAATGCACTAAATTAGCTTTGTCTTTACATACTTTATGTACCTTGATTTTTGTTTTGCGAGGCCTCAAGGTTTTCATCACGTTTGGCTAAAGCTCTGGCATCTTGTTGAGGATAGTCCCTGTAAGCACCTTCATTTTGTTGATGCATTTTCTTCAAATCAGCTAATGGACAAAATATTATTCATATTAAAATTACTTGCACTTGGTGTAGTGTCTGTAATGTCAAAATATCTCAAAGTGCTTCACAAGAAATTAGTGTAAAGTGTAATGACCTTATTGGTAGGTAATCCAATTTACATAATTCACAATCTTTCTACCTTTTTCGGGGTTAAGCAAGCGGTGTCAGAAAAATTACCACTGGGATAACTGGCTTATGGGGGCCAAGCATTCATAGGAATGTGCTTTTTTTATCCTTCGATGTTTGCTCTTTCTATCATTGTGAAGCAGAATTCACCCACTCATAGGGAATATGAGCTGCATTTAGACATTTTAAGAACAGAAAACTGGCTTCCGAACCAAAAATCAATAAGAATTTTCCAAATTTCCACACAATATAAAATTTTAAGAAGGGGTCTCAGGAATTAGTCTAGAAGGCATTTCAAACCTCTGGTAAGGACAAGGCTTGGCTCTGATGCCCATCAGGATCGAATAGCTTACAACAATCACTATCTACTCTCACATTTTAAGAACAGCTCACATATAAGTTAGGTGAGGTACCCAAAGGTTGCCAGTACCCATGGAACTGCACTCCAGCAAGAGCCAATGTCTGCTAGAGAAGCCGAGCAGAAAAAACACAGGCAAGATCGGCCAAAAGCTGAAAAGACAATGTTGTGTTAGTGCCAAATCTGGAATAGATTAGGAAACAAAAAAATATATACATTAGTGCAGAAGAAGGTGCTTTTCTAAGTTTGGGACAAAATACAGGTAGTTTTACCAAGCATGTAATACATGCTATAACTCACCTCGAACTATTTAATGTTGAGAATGGATGCACAACCTTAAATTGACGAGCACAAAACCCACCAATGAATATAATAATAATAATAATAATCCTTGCATTTGATATAGCGCTTTTCACGTCGAGAGGACGTCCCAAAGCGCTTCACAGAATAGACTGTAAAGTGAATTGACTGTATATTTGTGGGCGAACGCGGCAGCCAATTGCGCACAGCAATGTCCCACAAACAGTCGTAGATTGAAAAGTGATGGGAGCAGATTGGATTTCTGCCTGCTTTTTGTATTTTGGCAAGTGCTGTAAATGTCAGAGCCTACACTCGACGTCACACTATTAGCAAACCAACATTATAATGGGGTTCCACTATGCTTTAATGTACCTTGCTACAGTAGAGAAATAAAATCTACAAATATACCCATCACCTATAAGCAGCGTTTCTCAAATTAGGCCATCATGACATGACCAATCAAGTGACTGGCAACATTAATGTGCATGTATCCAAAAAGCCAATTGGCTTATCAGCATGCATCACACTTTAAAATCACAATTTTATAATTTTATAAAAAGTTTGAACCTACTCAGCAGATTTCCTTCAGTGTCTCGGAGAGGGGCACCTCCCCCTCCTCTTCCCCAAGGATTGTAAATCCTCATCTCTTGCTCGAGTCTTGCATCACATTTCTCCGTTTCTTCCTTTTCTCTTCTCTTCCGATCCTCCCTATCTTGCATCTGTACAACAATCAATCATTAGCAACAATTAGTTTTTGTATGAGTAAGCAAACTAAACAGAAAAAAACAAAACGTTAATTTACTCTTTAAAGCAAAGGAAGTAAAATTTTACATCAATTATAGATTTTATACATATTTAAAAAACACACACATGCGCTTGATATAATGCAATACATTTTCTATACACAAAAGGGACTGGAGTTTAAATTTATTGCGGAAAGCTTAATTTACAACTGGCGCAAAACTGCTTAATTTTATTTGTGTAGAATACAATTGTTGATGACTAAAACAGCAATTCCAAGCAATAACGGAGTACTGAAGGACTTCTACTTGAAGACAATTCTTAATTTAGGTTCACCTGCTGTTTCAGATAGTTCTGATAACTTTGTACATTTTCTTTTGAGCGAGTTGATGTTTGTTCCGGCAGAAATCCAACTGCTCGATTTGCCACAGTGGAATTTGGTACACTTGTCATGCTGGAAAACAAATGCAGACAAGTAATGCTTGATCTGCTACCAGGAATTGCTGGATGACAAGACACAGAAGCATTTTTCATAACATGAAATCAAATAACTGTGTTGGCTCAACAAAACAATTTGTAGTACAGAATCAAACTAATTAAAATTTCAAAAACACTGCAAGAAGTCTCTTTTTTTGCTATATTTGCTATTTTACTGTATATCCTGTTTCCCTCCCATTCTCTTATTCTTCTCAAGTTACTGCATCAATCCCAATCAAGAAAATGGAAAGCTAAATTGGTCCCAGATATCTATCAAAGCCTTTCTGAAACCAGGTGCTTGCAAATGTGCAAAAAACACCTCAGGGAAATCAAGTGCTTGCTTAACTATGCTAATACCCTGCTTGCTGGAGTTCCCGACTCTTCCATGCACAAGCTGTAGATTATTCAGGACTCTGTAGCTCGTGCCCTCTCCCGTACCAAACTCCATGAGGCGATCACCCCCATCCTCGCCCGGTTTCACTGGCCTTTCCTTCCCCCAGAGGGGGTCATATTTAAGATCATCGACCTCATTTTTAAAGCTCTCCACGGTATTGCTCCTCCCTACCTCTGCAACTTACTAAAACATTACCAACCTGTTCACTTTCTCCGCTCGGCGGGCAATGATCCATCAACAGTCAAGCCTTCAGCTTTTCTGTCCCCACCCTCTGGAACTCCAACCCAGAGCCCCTCTGCCCCACCCACTCCCTTGCCTCCTTCAAGGCCCATCTCAAGACCTTCCTCTATGACCATGCCTTCGGTCATCCTCCCATCTCCATCCCCCTTGCCGTCCACCCCTCTTGACTCCAACTCCCAGCTCTGATGCAAACTCTTCACTGTTCAGCACCTTGGGACATCCTCCCAATGGAAAAGGCGCTATATAAATGCAACCTGCTGTTGTTGAAATGGCTTCCATCTATATGACGGGTATAAATTTAAATCCCATCATTCTGTGGTACAGCTGAGTGGGTTTCAACAACTGTATCACCTGTTAATATAACATTTTAACTGATCACAGATATAACAAATGATTAAAAAAATCTTACAAAGGATTGTCCCTGGAGGATGTTTGTTGATAAGGCTGTGCTGGCATTTGCTGATAGGGCTGTACCGGCAGTCCATTGGGTGGGCTGACGAAGGACAAAGGCTGAACTCCCATGACTCCAGGAGCATCTAACCAGGACAGGAAAACAATCTGTTCAGTTCAACATTGGAGGTGAAAAAATATAACACCTGAACATCAAATATTCTAACTTTCCTCTCACATTCTACGATGGTCTTTCCATTTTTTGCCTCTAACTGCTCCAACCAACCTCAACTCCGATTTCGGGAGCACTGTCATCTTCTTCTGGTGCTCGCCTCAGTCATTCTGAGATTTTCTTTTATTTATGTGAAAATTTATGTGCAAATGCAAAATTTTTTAAAAGACTTTAGCCTTTAGCTATCGGGAACAATGTCAGGATAAATATTGGATTAAGAACCAGACTGAAGGTTCTGAGGTTAGGTACAGATAGAGAAATTCACTGCTGAGCCAAAGTATTCAATACTTACAGTATGCCAAATTCGGATCCAAAGGATTTCTAGCACCATAATAGTAATAAGCATTATCATAAGGTGTTTGGTAATGTTGTGCCAGCATAGGCGGTGGAGGGGGAGGCATAGCTGCAAGCCTAAGATAAAAATATGAACATTTTACAAGTTGAGATGATACTTGAAGTTATTTGAATGATTCTGCAAGTTTTTCAAAACAAATCCCGTAATTCTAGATTCATAATTCATTTTACTGAACCCGTCATAGATGAGTAAGCAAGAAGATACAACAGCAATGCAATTCAATTGCCCTTCTAAAAACACACTTTTTTTGTTCATGCTACAGTACCACCTACATGGAATCTCTATTAATTTTGTTAAACAAATAAGTGCTGTCCTTTATTGCAGGTGTTTGACCTTCCTAAGAAAATGTACACCAATTTTACATTTCTGGAACGAGATATGAAACAGTTCATCCCAGTTCAGCTTGACTTTAATTCACAAAGTGCAAAGTCCAATAAAATGTTCTGTATACTTTGCAGCAAGGTTTAAGAATGGCATAAAAATAGTATTTTTTTAAATTTCTAATCTAGTATAAAACACTTCAGGAAATCCTAGTTTAAAAAAAGTTTGAACAATGTGTTCGCTTTTCTCAAAAAACAATAGAATATGTGAACGGCAAGTAATTTTTTATTATCTTACAAAAATCAGTTTCTGAGGTAGCACTGAATTCCAGATTATTCATAAGCACTCCTTTTCTAGATTGGAAAAGTTAACCATCCAATGAAAAGCATCTCACTTAGGGGTGGAACCTTTATGACTACAATTTGACAATTTTATTTTCTGATATGAACATTAGCTTTGGAGAATATTCACTCTGAGGCACTGGGGCTTTGGCAGAAATAATAAATAGGTTCTGTAAAATGTTGATCAAAAGCACTAAATTACTTTGCAACAATCTAACAATCAACCATAAAATTAAACCTATGTTGTTTGCATTTCATGGGAAAATAAGATGTCATAATCTTTCCATGCACTCATAACATAATTTGATTCAATTCATGTGCAAGAAATATATAAAATACATTTGTTGAGAAAAACACATTTTGTGATTTTGTTTCTTCCAATTTTCCAAGTCATTTATTTGAAATTTAAAATAATTTGCTTATCTATTCATTAAACATACTTAACCAATTGTAAAATGATCTCTTTTGTTAAATGTACCCATATTGGATCACAGTTTAAATAGAAAGCTGAAATTGAAATACCGCCAACAACAAAATTATATCTGTATAGCACCTTTTACGACGAGAGAACATCCCACACAGTTTAATTACCTAGGAGTCATTATAGTCCCAAGAGAATTCCACATTCCATTGTGGAGACCACTCGGGCCTCCATTATCAATTGCAGGATTATGGAAAGCCACTCTGGGATGTTCTGGTGGTTCTCTCTCTTCACCAAAAGACCTTGCACCACTTGAAGGTAGACCAGCGGGTGGACCTTCACCTGGATCATATAAGACATCTCGTCTGCGAATATCGTGATGTCTAGTTACAGCACCAAACTGTCTTATACGATCTGGCTGTAAGGCAGAACCACAAATTAGAATTTGTTCCATTTTGAATTATTTCTGAAATAAGTAATAACAAAGTTTCTATTTGTACAGCTGAAAGTTACTGGCACCCACACTGGAGTCTCAAGTCAGCACTAACAATTAGTATTTTCAGTGAGGTGTGCAATAAATGCGTAAACCCATCACCATGCGTAAGTGTATCCAAATCAGAGATCCACACACGCATGCTACTTTCACATGGAAATTTTTACTGTGTCTGGAAAGGAGTGTAATTCAGCAAGAATTAAGCAGTCAAGAGCCAAGGCTAGGAGACCCCAGATTGTCTGTTAGGGTATTGCTGTATTTTAACCAGCTAAAACCACAAAGCTTGGCTTCGAGAGCACTGTCTGGCAGGCTTCATGTTGCTTGTCTAGCTAAGAAAACCCTACCCATTAGTGTTTTGGTTTGTAGGATTAACAGGAACTGAATGGGAATAATCTCTTCCCCCAGTGAATGCTCTGCCCATGCACATCCTGCTGATGAGCCAGGCTGACTGGTCTGTCATCAAAAGTGGTGTGCTGTGGATCCACCTGGTTCAGGTCTAACAAGACTGCCAGGCATGTCACCTCGGAGAAAATGTTAAAGAACCATTGCAGTAATACCACAGGACTTATATTTTATTCTCATTGTCTCAGCTTCCCTGATCTGAAAGGCAATGAGCATAATGGTATTAGCAATAAAAATGTTAAGATACATGTAAGAGGAAAACTGACTTTGAAGTGCCATAGCAAATGCCAAGTAGATTGTTATATTTCTAGTACAGCTAGATTTCAGATACTAGAAAACTATTCATGATATATAAATGATAAAGCTGCAAAGGTGAAGCTTTGTTTAAAAATGCACACAAAAAGTTACATATTGCTTACTTCCTTCTCTGGATCTACAGCCCCCGATGCAGCAACGTTGAGCTCTAAATCCTTTTCTCTATGGAAGAAAAACAAGAAATTGCTAACCAATCAAAGCTTGTTTTTCTTTATTTCCCACCTCATATTTAGTCTCCCAATTACTCTCAGAAAATACTTAAACGTGTCGGTCCTAAAATTCCTCTTAATCTCTCAAGTCCTACTGCCTTAACATATCTGAAATTATTGCTCTGAATTTCCTTGCTTATATAGATGTTTGTTATCCTTACAGCTCATCTGTCCAACACAATGGATTAGCCATGTTGCTCTCCTCTATACTGCCTCTAAGGTCTAGACAGCCCTTCATGTCACAGTGACAAGAACTCTATTCAGCATTCCAAGTGTGAAATTTTAATACATTCCAGTTTTAATACAAGCACAGTTCAGATGGAGCAGCTTACAGGAAAAATCAAAATCATGTGGAAAATCTTAAGATAAATTAAAACAGCACATACTTTTAATAATTAAAATGTATTTTAATGACATCAATAGCAATATATTCATTGGTATTTGTGTTGTGTTTTAAACATGAACTCTATCAAATACTTTACATCCAAATATAATTACCGTTTCCTGTTTTTCTGTTGTTCGGATATTTGTTCTAATAATTCCTGTCTGTATTTCTCTCTTCTTCTTCTATGGGCACTTTCTCTTTCGCCATTCCCTAAGAAATTGACAGAAATAACTAGTCATTGTGCTTTTCCTGACTCCATTTCTACCAAAATATACATTTCTTCAAATATCTGTATAAATTAAACATATAGATGCTTTGACCTATGAACCAAATGACAAATTATTAGCAGGCTCACACAAGACACGAAAACCTACAGGAAAGGAATGGAAGAAAAAACTAAGGTTTAAACATATTAAAGTTAATATTCAGGCTGGAAATATTCGTAAGGAAACATTTGTGAGAGAGAGAGAGCGAGAGAGAGAGAGAGAAATTAGTAGCAATACTGAACTTTAGAGTTTGGGATTGAAGAAGTGTTTATTAGGAAAACAGCAAAGTAAAACAGTACCTCATCCAAGAAAATGCAAATCAGAATATGAAATGTCTTATCTGAAGGGAAACCATGTACATAACCCTCACCCACACCCAAACTATTGATGCACAAGGATTTCTTGTGAGAGGCAACACGTATGCTCTCATTTTATCAATTAGTCTTTTTCAACCATTTCAATGAGAAGAAGTTTAGAGATATATCACTTCGTAACATTTTTGACAATAGGCCATTTACTGAATTCACTATCCCTTTAATTATCTTTGCTTGAATAAAGCAGCCTTGCTTTCATACAGACCCACAATTAAAACAGTGAATGTTCATTGGAGTTACTGAAAAGCTTGCAAAAAGAAGATAAAAATGTTCTACGAGCACTTATTTATTAGCTCTTGTTTATGGAGCAGATGGAAATGGAAATCTAAGATTAACTTTATTAGTGAACATTATTAATGAATCATTTGGTCCTCTGCTTAACCTAGCAGTAAAGTGGGAACCCACTTATTAGTCGATTGGCGGCTTGCTTTCCGGGGTAATAATCTCTCCCCAAAGAACGTGGTCACTCAATCCACAACTGTCTGTGGGACACTGTTTGTGCAATTGGCTACCACATTTCGCCCACAAACACACAGTCACTATACTACACAGGCTGCCGAGAACCTCATCCATGCATTCATTACAACCAGGCTCAACTACGCAAACTCCCTGCTTGTCGGCCTCCCCAACTCGCCCCTTCACAGGCTGCAGATCATCCAGAACTCTGCAGCCCGGGTCCTCTTCCGCACTAGGCTCCGTGACCCTATCACACCCATCCTTGCCTGGCTCCACTGGCTTCCCATCACACAGAGGATATAGTTCAAGATCCTGGTCCTCACTTTCAAAGCCCTCCACAGCCTCATTCCTTCCCCTCGCCTTGCTCACCCTACCATTGGCTGGCGGGCCTTCAGCCTCTCTGCTCCCAACCTCTGGAAATCCTACCCACGTCCCTCTGCCTCGCCCCCTCCCTTGCCTCCTTCAAGACCTGTTTCAAGACCCTCCTCTTCAGTCACCCTCCTACCCCTACCCTCCCCGCCCTCGACCTCTCCTGATCCCAACCACCAGCTTTGGTGTGGATACCTGATGGTCCAGCACCTTGGGACGTTCTCCTGACGTGAAAGACGCTATACAAATGTAATTTGCTGCTATATTCTGTGAAGCGTTTTGAGACGTCTCACGACAAGATAAGGTGATCTATCAAATGCAAGGATTATCATTATTATTATAAATGGATTTACACATGTTTTCAACCTTTGCACAATTTACACAGAAAGGCTTGTTGCTTACAATTAAAAATGTCCAGTTTCCATGTGGAATAACATTAAGGATCATAATAGTAAATAATAACTGCATTAGTCTGTATCATTCTTTCTGAATAAGTCATACAGTAAGGTGATCCTTCAAATATTTACTGGTCGTCCAACATCAGTGAACTATACTGAATATATAGTTGGAAGATATTCTATATCATAGACAGTTAATCACTACAAAATGAGTATATTATATGAAATATATATTATTTTAAAATCTTGTTATAATTTACCACTTTGAAAACATTTTCATTTAAAAAAATAATTAATGTATATCATTTGCATTTCAACTCAATGTAAATATATTTTGGAAAGAGTAACTCCCTCTTTAGGTTTCAAATTGAACCTAAATGTAAAATGTCTTTTTTGCACCAATATCATCAAAAGATCCTGCGGAACCTGAAAAAAAAATCATCCTGGTATAGCATGCGACAGAAGTTCAGTTTTGCTTACCCAACAATAATCCAGTACCAAATATGCCATCGTCTCTGACAGTAGCAGATTTGGATCGCTCTCTTTTGGAGTCATAGATCTCATTTATCGAAGGTCTTTTGAAGCAATAAAATAATAATAGATTACAATCAGCTGTAAACACATTATTGCCATATATCAGATGTAATAAGAACCATGGAAAAAAGGCACAGCGGATGATCATCCTGGTTATCATCCAGGCTCAGTAGGTAGCACTATTGCCTCTACCCCTGAAGGGAGGGTTCACAATACGACTTTGAGCTCATAAGCTAGGCTGACATTCCAATTTGGCACTGCAGGAGCACTGCATTGTCCAAAGAGCTGTCCTTCAGTTAAAACTTTGAACCAACGTCCTCTGCCTGCCTGTTCAGATAGACATTGAAGATCGCGAGGCACTATCGGAAAAGAGAAGGGATCCTGGTATCCTTGGCCGCAATCCTCCAGGTAAAATTGACTTTAATGTAACGTTTAATGTAACTGGTGCTGCATCCAATACAAGGATATTATTATTATAGGTGAGCGGATGGGTTCACAAAATTGGGTCAGTTTCCACTGAAAAGGAGGTTGAGAGCTCTAAACCCTGAACAGTTTTGAGGGGGTAGTGAATTATTCCCACTGCTTGGAAAATCAAAATCAATAACAGGGAGTGTAAGCAAAAGATTGTAACTGCAGGAACAAAGGGGAGGTTAGAACAAACATTTTCACACAAAGGGTTAATAAAATATGGAATCCTTGTCACAAGTGGATAGTGAGACTGAGACCATAACAATTTAAAAGGATCTCACTAAGCATTTGAAGAGGAAGAATATAAAAAGAGTTTGAGGAAAGAACAATAAATTGGGGTTAAATATAATAATGCTTCCATTTGATAATTAGGATTAAATATAATAATAATCCTTACATTTGATTACTTTTCATGACAGGAGGTCGTCTCAAAGCGCTTCACAGGAAATACTGTGTATCTTTGGGGTTGAACGCATCAACCAGACATGCAGTGAACAATTTTATTTATAGTCATCTCCCTTGGATGAGCCAAATTACCTCTTCTTAAGCCGCAATCTGTTACGTGTCTAGTGTGGACTTTGTTCCATATCACACTGAAAAGTCAATATTATTGGAAATTACCTGGGTTTTGCTGAGACAGGTCTTCTGCTTTGATCTTCTCTATCCTCTTCGATGAATAATGGTTCTTGCTCTCTCCTCTCTCTATACAGTCTGTGAGTAGGAGTAGCCAATTTAATTCAAACAAAATGTAAACTGATAATGATTAACATAAGTAATTTATCCATTTTCAATGACCCTGTTTGAATAGGTTCAATAAGACAGATAAATGATTAAGAATCAATATTTACTTAATGTAATGCACACAGCATTTTGCAAGCGGTTTCATTATTTCAATAATGTAAGTATCCAAATCTTAGAACTTCCAACAAAAGATAAATTAATCTGCCTACATCTACATTTTCAGATCACTTCAATCACAGCTCAAACCATTAACCCACAACCATGATGATATTTCTACAATAAAAGGGTGGGAAATTAGCTAAGTGTAAATTGTAAAACATAATAATAATAATAATCCTTGCATTTGATATAGCGCTTTTCACATCGGGAGGACGTCCCAAAGCGCTTCACAGAACATATTGTAAAGTAAATTGACTGTATATTTGTAGGCGAACAAGGCAGCCAATTGCACACAGCAATGTCCCATAAACATTCGTAGATTGAAAATGACCAATTTATTATTGTTTTTGGTTTTGGAGGGATTATTATTAGGCGTGTGGAGTAAGGAAACTTGCCCAAGGTTTCACCCTGCCTGGAATTGAACTCAGGTCTCTCACTTGCAAAGCGAGTGCTCTAACCACTGAGCTACAGGACTCCACAATTAATAATAATAATAATAATAATAATAATCCTTGCATTTGATATAGCGCTTTTCACGTCGGGAGGACGTCCCAAAGCGCTTCACAGAACACACTGTAAAGTGAATTGACTGTATATTTGTGGGCGAACGCGGCAGCCAATTGCGCACAGCAATGTCCCACAAACAGTCGTAGATTGAAAATGACCAATTTATTATTGTTTTTTTTTGTTTTTTGGAGGGATTATTATTAGGCGTGTGGAGTAAGGAAACTTGCCCAAGGTTTCGCCCTGCCTGGAATTGAACTCAGGTCTCTCGCTTGCAAAGCGAGTGCTCTAACCACTGAGCTACAGGACTCCACAATTAAATAGCAGGTGCGTTCACAAAAACACAATGTTCAATATCACAACTGGTTGGAGGGCTAAGCAATTACCATTGAAGCTTCATACTTCTAGTGGAGTCACCTTTCAATGTTAGATGGGTCAGGATAGTGGCAATGCATTTACACAAACTATGTGCAATTGTATTGCTCATCAAACGACTCGGAAGGAATAGCTAGATAGTACCAACTATCTAGCTAGGACTATCTAGCTAGGAAGACCGTCATACACGGTTTCAGCTGTTTGAATTGCAGCAATACTCCAATGGCACCTCGGGGTCCGAACCGCCTGACGAAAACGCATGTGTGTTTGGGAATGGAGGTCGGGAGGAGTATTAGCTCAGAGGAAAGACTGCACACTCAAGACCTGACAAACAGAAGGAACTTAAGACATGAACTTGGAAAATGGTTTTGCACATGTCAGATTCCTGGCTGATCAAGATTTTCCAAACCAATACAAGTGTTTTTGCTGAATACTTATTAAATATAATATTACCTTAATTACAAAAATCAACAGATTTTCAGCCCAATTAATTACTTACCAAAGAGAGCCCTTTCTTTTGTTTGAAATCTGAATTTTGAATGTTTTATGTCAAAAAACCTCACAGGTAATTACAATCAAGTACATTAGTGATTAGAGTACTCGCCTCGCAAGCGAGAGGACCTATGTTCGATTTCCGGCAGGGCGAAACGTTAGGCAAGTTTCCTTGCTCCAGACGCCTCTGTTTACCTCGCAATAAGTAGGAACCCAGCTGTTAGTCGATTGGCGGATCGCTTTTCGGGGGTATTAATCCCTTCAAAAATAATAATTTGGTCACTCAATCCACGACTGTCTGCGGGACACTGCTGTCGGCAATTGGCTGCTGTGTTTCGCCCAAAAATGTACAGTAAATTCACTTTACAGTGTATTCTGTGAAGTGCTTTGAGACGTCTCGAAGACTTGATAAGGCGCTATATCAAATGCAAGGATTATTATTAATCACAAATCACAATGAAGCACTTCAAAAAATGTCTGCTGGTCATTAGCTCCTGATCAGCAGGTCAGCACAGATGTCACTTCTGTGGTGTTGCACGTGTGCTACCTGTAGGGAGCGTGTGCAGCATTGCATAGGCAAAGCACCACACACACCATTGGAATCAACAGCAGAGGTGTACTTTACTTCGAGTATACAAATAGTGTGTCAGATATCACGCTTATATTTATACTATTTCTCTTTCAACACTTTAAAACCTAGATCATGGTAATAGGAGAAATAGGTTTAGGTTTACACTATTTTCACAGCTTTTCAAATCACGCAGAATTTGGCAATTTCTTAAACTCAGTCTTAAATCTGCCAAATTTTATCAACTTTTAAATGCTAACAAATAATTTAAGACTAGAGCCAGGTGAAATTTCTCTCCACAGCAGTCTCTCTTAGACTTGATGAAGACAAATGGCCTTCTCGTAGTAATTTCAGGGATTCTATGAATACTGTGTGGCCAGCTGAAATATCTCCCTGGTTCAGGTATGGTATCCTTGCTTATTCCCCACCAGAGGCTGCTTTTCAGCAGCGATACAATGAATTTTGAATCAACATTTTGCTCCATCCATTCCTGAAATGCTAACCTCTTTATTGCTAATAATGTTGTCATCCTCCTCCTCTGAAAGGTCTCATTTCCTTTCAACAAAAAAGTAATTTGCCCCGAGCAACTCTGTAATTTCTAACACACTTTGAACCAGGAAATGCTGAAATCCTGTTGACCCATAGCTACATGGGTACTGGTGTTGAGTCTATAAGATGGTCTGAACATCCATATTCCTAATTATTTTCACCCAGCTGCTGGCCATATGTGGGCCAAGCTTTCAGTGTGAAAGCCTGACAAAGTATGAAGCTATTACTTAGCACAGCAGGGAGGATTATCTCATTATTCAAATAGGGGTTATGCTGATATGCAAGAGGACCCACTTCCCCACCTCCGATGCTGATGTCCATCCTGAAGCCCGGTCCTGCTTTCAATTCCTGGTTAGAACGATCATGAATTTTACTCAAGAGATTTCATTAAGCCACTAAACCACAGCCAAAGCCACAACACAGAAAACAATTACCCTGCCTGAGAACTTTGTTAGGAGGAGAGTGGAGGAATCAGCCTTCTGCACATAAGGGTAATTTATCATGGCAATGTATTTATTATAGTTAAGAATTTCTAAAGTTTAACTGCTAGCTGGGCTCCAGGGCTTCAAGAGATCCCTTTCCCCCAACATGACAGCTTTATTCTTTAAATAATAACCCTTGTATTATTAATGTTGATCAGAGATGAACAAATTTGCATTATGATTTAATAGCACACTAATGGAATACATTTCAATTACATTAGAGGATGGTAAATTGCTTAATTAACTGAAATATTTACTTATGCTTGGGATGGTGTTGTACCACCGCTAAATTACAACATCAAATTAATAAACTATCCAGCTGTTCTTTAAACAAGTCCATGATCCTTAACCACTATTCCTGGTTACTCATTCCAGCTGTTAATTACATGTTCTTGTCATGCTTCCTTGGCATACCTAAAATATTGTTTTGTGTTTTAATTTCTCTAACAGTTTTCAGTACCTTATATTCCTTATGTGCCTCTTTATCAGGCTATCTTATCCAATCACTCCTTAAAGCTCATCATGCAAAACAGGTCAATCTCATTAATTTCTTATCCATTACATTCACTCCTCTGCACTCCCCTACCTCTCTGACCTCCTCTCTCCTCAAAACAGTACCCGTTGCCTTCGTTCCTCCAGGTCTGGCCTCCTCCTCGTCCCCCGAGTCCTCCGCTCGCTCCACCCTTGGCGGCTGTGCCTTCAGCCACTATGCCCCGAGGTTCTGGAACTCCCTTCCTCACTCCCTTCGCCTCGCTCCCTCCCTTCCTGTTTTCAGGTCTCAGCTAAAGACCTTTCTTTTCGACCGCGCCTTTGGTCACCTTCCTCCCCCTCCCGTGGCTCGGCCCCGGGATCCGTTACTGTGAAGCGCTCTGAGATGCCGTCCAGCGTGGAGGGCGCTATATAAATCCAAGTTGTTGTTGTTGTTGAGTGACTGGATATCCGCTTTTTGCTACAGTAAGCAGCACTGAACAGATACTATTGCCACAACTTGAGCCTGGCTTCTGGGTGTTTGAACTCAACTGATTTGTCAACATAACCCAGTACCAGGTTGCCTTGCTTATTGCTGTTGCTAAAAGTTTCGATATGATCAAACACCATTAGATCTCTCAGGATTGGTTGCAGATCAAGATGGGTTTCAATATTTTTCAAGCTAAAGCAAATTAAACAAACTAAAAGAGGAGGATTTAATACAGTATTATCAATTAGGTAATAGAATTCAATAAAATGGCAATGACATTCTTTTTTCCAGTGTGACAATAGATATGCTTCCAGCAATTTTTTTGGTCAGCCAAGTGTCTGACACATACAGAAACCCATCACCATCCTTAAGCGTATCCAAATCAAACTGAGAATTTCATGCATCCCAGCTACACATGAAAATTCCAGAGATAGATTGGTTGGAGTGGAATGGGCACTGTCTCCCTGGGGGTATGCATTCTGCTTACCCAAGTCTGGAAAGTATTAGGTGAAGGTTGGCAAGAGCCAAGGCTTGGGGACCCCATGCTTTTGATAATGAAAACAAAGAACGGACAGGCCATCTCACGACGAGGAGTGGTGAGGACCAGTTAGTTCATCTGAATGCCTGAGACACAAATTCCTTTCTGCCAACCCTCTTTCCCCCTCTTGACGGTAGTCAAATTCTATATCAAGGTTGAAAGCTTGTTAAGAATCCAAACATGAGGAACCTCAATTATTAAAGAACCACTACAGGAGTATGGCCCAGAACCTCACAGAATGATACATTTTCATTCGATTATGAAAGGAGTTTAATTAAGACATTTGTGTTAAAAACATGCATGCCTGTGAGATTCTTTATAGGGTAAGAAAATAATAGTTTGATTCTCAAGAAGGAACAATAGCTGAAAACAGCTATTCACCTGTATTCATTCTTCGGTTTCTGGACGAAGTTGCCAATATCTGGTAAGTAACTTTGATAATCATCTGATCTTCTGTCTGTTTGTGTCTGAATATTTCTGGAAAGGAAAAAACCTTAGTCCAAATACTTGTCACAACTTAAGACAACTTAGTCACAGAGGCCAATGCAGATGTTACACTAACAAGAAGATTGTAATGTTAGTCACTTGGATGACAGAATTGCTCAATATTTGAACAACTTCCTGTCATTTCAGTGGAGTGATTTCATGTGATTTCATCACCAAGGGTGACAGTCATCCTCCTGCACATTGTCCCAGTTTTCACTGTTCTTATGAGATCAAGAGTGGAGTCTATTCCAATACAGGGGCTATCAAAGACAAGCCTCATCCCATCCTCACCAATTGTCCATGTATTGCAGTTTCTAGTATAGGTTATTGGACAATGATCCCTGGCTGATTTTTTTTTCTCCTCCTAGGTCCGAGTCATTGAGACAAACTGTAAAAAACAGGTAGTGGCACTTTAGTTGAGTTCAGGTGATTCAATTTAGAACAGGGATTAAATCTGAGTTCTTGCTAAATCCTTGTTTAAAAACTGAATTTCATGACACTGTTTTTATATCACCTGAGTAAGATCTCCAAGAGAATGTTGTGAATTATACTAATACTTAAATACCTAATACTTTAAATACAATTGGTTAAGTGACTTTCTATAACATAATTGAAATCTGACTTAGAAGTATGATACTAAGTTTACCGTCTATTCAATATGAGTGAAGAGTGAATCTCACCATCAGCAAACTAAAGCTGTCTCTTGGATACAACTTAAACTGGAACACATTTGTTAGGGAAACAAGAGCAGTCTTTTGGGCTTATTTACATAGATTCTGTTATTTACAGGTTTATGAGCTCCTGCGCTTTTGTAAAGAGACTTAAAACTCCTTGAAATCCACCATATGAATAATCTAACAAAGCAATTGCCTTAGACAGCACCCTTCAGAGATAGAAATATTCCTAAAGCAAAGGTGAATTTTTATTTGGAATAGCTTTCTATTGCTAAATTCATCTCACAATTATCAAAACTGAATAGCAAAACTGTTTTTTGTTCAATTAATATAATTCTCTCTTTAACTGTACTAACAGAAATTTGCCATACACACAATTTAATGAAAATAAAATGATTTATTAAGAAAATAAGCACATCCATCAAGTCACAATTTAGATGTCCTATGATTTTTTTTAATACTAAGAGTTCAAATACAACCATCTAAATAACTGACAATTCCAGACACGTAACATGTTATACAGGTGTATACATACAACAGTTAGCCAACCTTTGCAAACTTTTGATGTTAACTCTCTTGAACTATAATTTTTAAAAAGGATACTTGCAAATCAGTTCATTAACACACCCCATTCAAAAGCTGCAACTAATAAGAATGATCATTTTCATTTTAAAAGGATCTGATGCTTATTTCTTTTTTCCACCAGCTGCGATGATCAAAATTCTTAATTGAATATAATGCAAAGTAGCATCAACAGTCCCTACGTATTTTGTTGATATAAACCATTTGCGACAGTGTCATGTACATAGCAAAGTTTGAACCCATGATTTAGCATACTGGTGGAATCTCCCTCCTTTCAGCATAACTCACCTGTTATAAATCAAATAGAAAAGCGAGTTTATGGACAAAATTAAACCTTAATTTGCTTGAATTTCCATCATTTTATCCATATTAGAGGACAAATTTAATCTATTGTAGACAAATCCCAAGTCTTCCACATTTGAAACGATAAATGAATTATCTGCTCTATAGAAAAAATAAATTTTCTCAAACATAAATTTCTGACTGGTTCAATCCTGAGTTAACTTTTCTCAATCACCTTTCAGTGGGAATGACACAATTGCCTCAATGTTTCAATGTTAATGGGGGGGTGGGGGGGGGGGGGGGGAAAAAAAAATCAGCAGAATCCCTGCATGTTTGTGGACACTGAGCAGATACATGATCAGACTTGACTTTCAACAATCCCCCCACCACTACCACTGGCAAATAGCCTGCTGACACTCTGACACTCATTCTCAGAGGCAAGGCTGGCACACGAGTAACAGACACTTGGGTGAGGCACAAAAGTATGCTTGGCACCTTAGGAATCATACTTCAGTAGAAGTAAATTGAGTCAAATGCCTTCAGGAGATGAGAAAAAAATAACAAGGCACGAAATTCGAAACATAAAAATACAAAAATCACTACAAGGATAAGCCATCATCAACTCTTGCATTCATCTGCGGGCATCAGTACAGGTATTCTCTCCCAATACACCAAAAGATAATCTTTAAACAATATGCTTGTACAAAAGTCATGCTTATGATAAACATGGTATGAAATGAAATGGTACACATAAAAACAAGATCATTAGGAAACAAGAGGGTCAAATAGATGAGATGATCACAGAAGCTCTTTAATACCACTTCAATTTTTACTAAATGTCAATATTAAGTTCATGTTCAAGTTTATGTTGAACACATGACTGAAATCTATCATGATCAAAAAGACAAGCAAGCAAAGCATTCACCATCAAGATTTTTATTGCTCAAAAAAGGAATAAAGTGAAAACAAATACACCTAACAATACAGATTTAACAAGCTCTGTTCACAACATCACTATTTACAAATGTAGCAGTGAAAACTTATAGCCCTTGCATGCGGTAAGTGGGTAAAGTTTGCCTACAAATACACAGGTGTTAACTAGTAATATACAGTTTACATTTTCTAGTTTCTTTCACATTGAGAAGACATCTCAAAGTGCTTAACGTGGCTGGCTGGACAATGGAGCTGCAGGTAGGAACTTAAAGGGGATCTGAAGCAGAGGGGAGTAATGACCGAAAGTGTGGTCAAAGAGATACATCTTGAAATGGACCTTAAACGAGGTGAGCAAGTCAGAAGCACTCTGGGATGGAGTCCCAGAGAGCAGGGGCAGAATGGATGGAAGCCTGCTTGCCGACAATGGGGGACATGAAGCAGGCCAGTGTTTGCTGAGGAAAGGGAATGGTGAGTCAGCAGGCCTGAAGGAGGTCACAGAGGTAAGGTGGGGTGTAACTATGGATGGTTTTGAAGGCAAGAACAAGGATACTGAATTCAAACTTTTGGGGTACAGAAAGCCAACACAACCGGGTGGGGATGGGGGTGTTAGCTCACAGAACATGGCCCGGCAGAGGACACGGGATGCAGAGTTCTAAATAGTCTGCAGCCAATGTAGGGCAGAGCTAGGGAGCCCAGCAAGCAAGGAATTTGCATTGTCAAGCCTGGATGTGAAAGTATGGATGAGGGTCTTGGTGGTCCTATAGGAGAGGTAGTGGCAAAGGCAGGCAGTGTTATGGAGGTGAGGGAAAGCTCAGCGAGTAAACACAAGGATGTGGTGTTTGCAGATAACAACAACAACTTGGATTGATTAGTTGTGCACTCAGAGCGCTTCACAGTAACGGATCCCGGGGCCGAGCCAGGGGGAGGGGGAGGAAGGCGACCAAAGGCGCGGTCAAAAAGAAAGGTCTTCAGCCGAGACCTGAAAATAGGAAGGGAAGGGGCGAGGTGAAGGGAGTGAGGAAGGGAATTCCAGAGCCTCAGGCCGTAATGGCTGACGGCACAGCCGCCGATGGTGGAGCGGAGGATTCAGGAGACAAGGAGGAGGCCAGACCCGGTGGAGCGAAGGCAACAGGCACTGTAGGTGAGGAGAGAGGAGGTCAGAGAAGTAGTGGGGTGCAGAGGAGTGGAGGGATTTGAAGACAAGAGTGAGGATCTTGAAGTCGATCCTCTCTGGGACAGGCAGCTAGAGCAGTCTGGCAACGACTGGGGTAATCGGGGAGCAGAGTTTGGTGCGGGTGAGAATGCAGGCGGCAGAGTTTTGAATGATCTGGATTTTATGGATGGTAATGGAGGGGAGACTGACGAGAAGGGCATTTGAATATTCCAGCTGAGAGGTGACAAAGGCATGGACCAGGGTTTCAGCGGCTTTCAGAGAGAAATATTGGCAGAGATGGGCGATGCATCGGAGGTGGAAGAAAATGGTGCTGGTGAGGAACCGGATGTGGGGGAGGAAGGATAATTGGGGGTCGAACCCGATGCCTAGATAAGCGCTCTAGGAAACTACCCTGCATAAGGGGGAGTATATGAATGCAAGTTGTTGTTGTTGTTGTTTGCAGTGCAGTTTGGAGGCAACAGAACACCAAGATTCCACACCAGCTCCACAAGGTGGAGTGCACACACCATGCTGTTTGATGGTGTCACCACTGACTGGAGCCAAGCAGGAGAGCATCAGTCTTTCCTCCGTTTTACTGAAGTAAGAACTCCTACAGGACTTGATGTCTGACAGATATTTAATCTCTATCATACAGCCTGGAATTATGCTTTGAAACTATGATAGAGAAATTAATGGACTTCCCTTGATCCTCTAAATACTTGGGTTTCTAAGCATTTTTGTCCCATACCATGTTCCATACAATGAGCAGAACCTCCTCCTCTGAGATTGCTTCCTCTGAGGCCATGATAAATCGCCAGTGTTCGAAGCCCATGAGAAAGATAATAAATTCATCTGTGGAGAAACAGAAACAATATGTTGCTTAATTATGGAAATAATTTTCTAACATAGTATGAAAAAAATACACAAGAGCAAAAATGGTATCAAATTTTGCAAAGATTACTGAAAAGCAGTCAGACTGAGTCAGAACAACTGCATAGATTATACAAAAATTATATTATACATCATTTCTATGCATTCCATGTATACACAATTACAATACAATATAGCTAATAATTATTATGTAATATGAACCATTAGAGATGAAGTTACAAAAAGAAAACTTACCAAACTGATGAATGGGTCATGTCCTTGTTCAATAAGATGCAATATTTTGAGACGAACTTCATCTGTGTAGATTTTTTATTCCCATGCTTAGGATTTCTTTTTTGCCTGGGTAACTAATGCAGAATTTTGCTCTTCCAACAAAATGAGTAGAGTAAACTGATGTTTACTTGAAGTCTGAGGCATTCTAAGTGTTAAAATGTTGGTGGTGACTGGTGTCTACCAAATATTAACTGTCAATTAGGTATTTGGCAGAAGTGGTTTCGCCAGTATTTTGTTTTATCAAGAGACACCAGAAGCAGAATTCATGACCATCTACCATCATTAAAATCCAAATGGACTTTGAATGATGCTTAAATCTGGTTTTAGAAATGGAAGATATTGATGCAGATGGCATAATAAAAATAATTTTTTTAAAAAATTGGTCACTTCAATCCACCAAAGGACACCGTTTATGGGACACCACTGTGCGCAATTAATTGGCTGCCGCTTTCGCCCATAAAACATACAGTCAATTCACTTTACAGTATATTCTGTGAAGTGCATTGAGACGCCTTACAGATGTGATAAGGCGCTATATCAAATTATTATTATTAAATTTGCAAACTGATTATTGCCAAAATAGCAACAATAAATATTGAACAATGGCCAATGACTACGCACACTGGAGAAAATAGGAAAACTGCAGCGGCAAAAATGGATGATTAAAAGGCTAACCCTCAAATTTACGAAAAGCAACATGAGTTTTTCGAGAAAAAACGTGAGATGACAAATGAATTCTGTGCCTTGGAGAGAATTCCGTGCCGTACCAATCTTCAACGGTCATTACTCCCATAATTCTCTTTCCCACCCTTCCCTGTGCAAAACGTGCACCCAGCTACAGCTATAAGTGCAGTATGAAAGGAGAACAGTTTTGTCTTTTACAACCAAACCCCTTTCAATTAAAGTTCTTCGTAAAAGAAAGAGGTGTGCAAGATGTCTTCTCCTTTACAGTCACCAATAATTGCAGTATTTGCTGAAACAATGAATGCAAAGAACCTGTGATAAAAGCGGTAAGTGTACAGAGATAAAAAAACTATTTCATTCACTGTGCTGCGGCACAGAAGGTTGGCAGACTATCCTTTAATGACTGGAATGTATTCAAGCACAACCAAATCCAATAAGATGAATCATCTCTTTGCAAGCACTAAGATAAATTAGTTTGGCAGGACACAACCCTGTTCAAAGAAGCCAAAGTTTCACAGTACAAAGAAAGTCCATCATAAAAGCTTGATCAGCACTCCATACAACTGCAACGGACAGCAAAAAAAAAAACACTCTTACTCTCTAACAAATCAAACTACATCTGACATTGACCAGTTGCACCAAATGTACCAAAGGTGGAAAAAACTCCCAACACTTCCACTTGTGTATAGATTTACTCTTTTTACACAGCATTTTAGATCATCTAGAATTTGGCAAATTCTAACTTTATTTGCCTTCATTTTGAAGATGCTTTTCAGTACAACAACAACAATAAGATTCCATTTATAGAGCGCCTTTCACGTCGGGAGGACGTCCCAAGGCGCTGGACAGTTGGGTCAGGACCCGAGCAGGAGGGAAATGGTCAGGGTGAGGGGAGGGAAGGAGCGAGGAGGGGGTAGAGAGTCGAGAGGGGAGCTGAAGGCACAGTCAAAGAGAAAGGTCTTGAGACCGGCCTTGAAGGAGGAGAGGGAGGAAGCAAGGCGAAGGCACTGGGGGATGGAGTTCCAGAGCCTAGGGGCTGAGAGGCTGAAGGCCCGACCACTGATGGTAGGGCGGTTGGGGCGGGGGATGTGGAGCAGACCGGAGCCAGAGGAACGGAGGGCAGGTAAGTAGGGGGATAGTAGGTCGGAGCGAGCAAGGCCGTGAATGGCCTTGTAGGTGAGGATGAGTATCTTGAATTCAATCCTCTGGGGGATGGGGAGCCAGTGGAGGAGAGCGAGGGTGGGAGTGATGTGGTCCCGAAGCCTGGTGCGGGACAGTACACGAGCTGCAGAGTTCTGAATGACCTGCAGCTTGTGGAGGGAGGTGCCGGGAAGGCCGACGAGGAGAGAGTTCCCATAGTCCAGCCTTGAGGTGATAAAGGCGTGGACCAGTGTTTCAGCAGCGTGAGGGGTGAGGTAGTGCCGTAGTCTGGCGATGTTCCGGAGGTGATGGAAGGCGGTGCCAGTTGTGGCGCGGATATGAGGAAGAAAGGACAGCTCAGGGTTGAACAGAACACCGAGGTTCCTGATGGCTTTGAGAGGTGGAGAGTGCAGCCTTGGATGCTGATGCTGTCAGCGCCTGAGGTGCGGAGGCGCTGACGTGAGCCAATCAGGAGGGCCTCAGTTTTTCGCACATTGAGCTGAAGAAAGTTGTCTCTCGTCCAGGACTCGATGTCGGACAGGCAGCTGTCAGGACATCGGTGGGCGTGGAGTTGAGGGTAGAGGAGGAAAGGTAGAGTTGGGTGTCATCCGCATACATGTGGAAGTTTATTTTAAGAACTACCAAAGACAGACTTAAGACTAAATTAACCAATTTGTCAAATTTTAAATCATCTAAAATGGTACATAATAGAGTTCTACAACCAAATGCAATTTCTCCCCAAACATTCTTAAAAATCAAGTTCAAAAATGACGTTAGTTTCAAGCACCTCATATTATGGCAAGTATAAATTATTTCTCTTGCTTGCCTCTGCACCAGTTTCATTTAATTGGTAAGATTGATGCTAGGAACGTAATTTGAGGGAAAACATCTGGAAGATTTTATTGAACTCTGTGATGCAAAGAGCCAAATTAAATTCAGTAAACACTCAATTACTTAAACGTGCTTCAACAATCGTTGGGCAAGTTTCCTTACTCCACACGCCTCTGTTTACCTAACAGTAAGTAGAAACCCGGTTGTTAGTCGATTGGCAGATTTCTCTTCCGGGGTAAAAAACCCTTAAATAATAATAATTTGGTCACTCAATCCACGATTGTTTGTGGGGCACTGCTGTCCGCGATTGGCTGCCGTGTTTCAAGCACAAAATATACAGTCAATTCACTTTACAGTATATTCTGTAAAGTGCTTTAAGACATCTCGAAGACGTGATAAGGATTCAAGGATTATTATTATTTCAATTGTGTATGTCCATTCAGCTCTATCGCAACATTTGACATATGCAAGCAGGTTCCATTGAGATTGACACAACTCATCTTTCATCAAACAAAAATGTGTATGCAAAGGATAAATGATTACACTTTGCAGCCCTGTGATACTGGAAAGGAGTATGTATGAAACTGATGGCAGCAGTTTTCTGTCACTCTGTCAAGATCTGGGCAAGCTGACAATCATATTATGTGTAATAGTACTCATGTAATCAAACCTAGTAAGCAGATAAACAAATACCTCAAATTCTAATGGCAAGTCAGATTGGATAAATGGATGAAAATGGAAATATACACAAATCACGAAAATCAATTGGGAAAATTCTTGTGCAGTTGACTAGTGATGTTTCTAAGAGAAAGCTAGCTCTCAAATGAATGCAAGGCATTTTACATTTTTTAAATGTATATTTTTCCACTGGCCTAAAATATATTTCTACAAACTATACAGACAAATTGAATTAATGAATAGTTTATTCTGATTAGCAATACATTTCTTTCTTTAGGCTGGTCTGTAATAATGCTTCATCCATCGAATTACCTTCTCTGCCCAAATTTCGGATGATCGAGTCCACGATATCTACCCTCTTCTTCTCGCTTTCTATTCAGGAGTTCCTCATAAGCCTCCATGGAGGTATACGCATCTTTTCTGGAAGGGACTGGTTCACGTGGTGGACGGGAAACTAGATAAGATTCATCCTGAACTCTGAAGTCATCTAATGGTTCTTCATTATTTTCTTTACCATACTGGTTACAAATTAAAGGGAAACTGCATTAGTAAACAAATAAATACTTTTAACTTGTCAAATTTACAGTAGTGAACTTTAAAATAATTATTACACTATGGAATTAATTTTTATGCGCTAGAATGTGATAAATAATTTTATGAAATATTACAAACATTACAAACATTCAAGTAATTGTAAAAAAAAATCAAACTGCCCATAATACAACTTTTTGCAAACTGCCAATATATATTTTTAATCCAGTATTGTATATTCTAATTTTTTTTGAAGAAAATCTACAAGTTATTTTTTGTATTAATAGATAAATTTATATTAAAGAGGTTATTTGCTGGCAGTTTTTCAAACTTATTTTCCAATGGAGCAAAAGAGAATCTCACCTTAGGTACTCCCCTTGCATTTCTTCTTACTTTTTCATATTCATCAAGCTCCTTGAGAAATTGATTATACTCTTTGTTCCTTTCAGTTCTTAGTCTGTCCTAGAATTGCAACCAAATCATACATGTTGCAAAATTAGACATTTCAAAGAGACAGAAACAATAATACACTACAAAAATGAGGACATCTCATTTTCATGGTAGACATTATAGGTTTCTATGTCAATCAAATTAATTTAGAATGCAACAAAGCGAATACAAAGTTCTTCCTTCACAGGAAATCCTTATTTTTAAAAAGTCCTTGCCATTTAAATTGTATTCTGTGCAAAAACACACAATACATTTTAATTAGAACATTAATGTGGCTTTGATTCTAAAATAGAAAGGTTAAACTGGAATTTTTNAATTTAAAAACGTAGGAAATAACAAAGGTAGAAAAGGAAATGGGTGTTAATTATTAAATATGAGTCATTGAAAACAAGAAGTCAATGCTAGGAAACAGTTATTTCAATGCTTTTTCCAGGCATTAGAGAAAAGTCCATCAGACCCAGTTGGAAAATAACTAATTAAGAATAAGATCAACTTTGACATCATTTTGTTTTACCTATGTCAAGGTTGGGTCAAATTTATGATAGAACAAATTTTAAGTAGCTTGTAAAACAATCTGATGGGTCTAATGACCTTTTCTTGCTCTATCTTGATGATTTTTTATAACTTTTATGATATGCGTAGGACTAGTATAATGCTCTATTCCATTTAGTGTACTTACTTTTGTCAAGTCCACCCCCTTGACAAAAGCAGGTAGTCCTAGCTAGACAAGGAATAGGAAAGTTTGCCAGACAGCGATATCAATGGCAAGCTACAAGTTTTAGCTGGTTAGACTCCAGTAGCACCCAAACCACATCCTAGTGTCACCAAGCCTTGGCTCTTGCCAACCTGCCGTAATACTTTCTGGAATTAAGTAAGCAGGATGTGTCCCTCCAGGGAGAGAGCCCATTCCATTCCAACATATATCTCTGGAATACATGTGGGCTGCATTGAACTCTCAGTTTGGTTTGAATACTCTTAAGCATAGTGATGGGTTTCCGCATGTGACAGACACCCGGCTGAACCCCCAAAATTGACTTACTTTTGCAGATTTTCTATCAGAGATGGGAAGCGAGAGGTTCTCAGTGCTTGGATCTAGTTCACCTGTAGCCCTCATATTTTTCTGCACGACAAGAGTCCGAAATTATATTTTCAGGTACAATTTTGTTTAATTTACTAGCTAAGAAAGAAGCATAGAAAGGCCACTAGCAAGGTCAAAACTAGAATTGAAAAGGTATAGATTTCATATTTAGCATGGGAAAGGGTTAAGACTTAATTTAGCATTTAATCATTGAAACTTAAATTTGTACAAATACTTTTATCTAAAGCAAATAAATCAGGATTTTGGAAAGCATCTTTGTTTTGTACTCAGTTCCCTAATGCGTTTTTAGCAAGTAAACATAGATATATGATGCATAGGAAATATGCATACTAAAAGGAGCGAAACTTTGGCAGGCTGCAAAGGACACTTAAACCTTTGCAAGTGTCCTACCTTTCTTTTAACTTTTGTAGCATCCTACAGTAGAAACAAAAATGCAGACACAAAATAACATTAAAGTGATGTAGGAACCAAGCTTTAGTATTAATAGTACAATGTGTACTCAATACTGTGATTAGACATCAGGATCGGACAATTGTAATGTATTACATATTTTGGGAATTATCTACTAATTTTTCAAAAACTAAAGGCAGAGATCAGAAAGCCTGACCAACACTGTCAATAGCTTTTTGAATTTTAATGTCAATCTAATATGAACATTTTTATTGTTTATAAAGGTAATTGTCTAGAAGAGAAGAAGACAACAATATCTGGTACAAACCCTTTCAAAAGTCCGTAATATTCGGCATCAGGGGATCAAAAGCACAGTTGAAAAGGAGGGTCTTTGGATGGGTCTTGAAAGGGAGGGGGCAAGCAGAGGCACTGCGGATGGAGTTCCAGAGGGTAGGGGTAGTGGCAGACTGCCAATGGTGGGGCGTGCGAGGCAGGGACAGGCTGCAGCCCGCTGAGCAGAGGGAACGGGCAGGATCGTAGGGCAGGACAGTCGGGATCTGCATCCGAACTGGTGGTTGGGATCAGTGAGGTTCTACAGTTGAAGATACAGTGCTATATACTTTTGAATTATTAATTAACTGCCATGATATAATATGAGGACCAATACCATTCAAAAGGGCTATAGAATGTAGGAGAGTATTCTTTCAAATATTAGATTAGATAAGTTTTCTTTTAGGAAATAACATAATGGGATATATAGGTAGTTCGGGACATATGACCCCCAGGAAGGTGAAAGGCGAACTAGATGGACCTTGGTCTTTTTTCGTCTAGCATTTCTTATGTTCTTATAAGGAGCTCAGTCATAAGGCCATTTTAACAGTTTAGTCAAACAACTCAATGCGTGGTTACTAGGAGAGCTTTTGTCAAATTACTCCAAGGCAGAAGTTTAATTAACTTTCAATTTTTTTGCCACAGGGAGAAAGAAATAATAAAGTACAGACCCAAAAGAAAAAAATAAGTTGCTCTGTAAGTTACACTTACAACCAAATCTCATTAGCTCAAGTTTGAAATTCTGCAATGAGTTAAGGAGAGTAAAGAACTGGTATTGAATGTTATTTATATTGAAGCGCTGTTATAATGTACTGCCTACTTTGAAACCTACCTCAGCCATATATCGCCTGTAGTCTTGTCGAAGCTCTTCTTTCAATTTCTCTTTTTTCTTATCATATTCTAACCCAAGTGGTAGACTTAACCCATAGTTCTCCTCTATGAAATTAAAGAGATAGTTTTGTAGCTTCACACTTTTCTGCACAGTGACTTGAAACAACAAGTATATAAACATCTGCTGGCATTTAAGTATCTAAGATTATTTCTCAGGACTTGATTTTGAAGTACAAAAAAGAAATGCACATTGATATTGAACATGAATATCCATTCTCAAATTAATTCATTTAAAGTGAACAAAAATCACTTTTAAATGTGGAGTAGTTTTTTTCATACTCAAAATGCGACAAATGAAAAATGCACACAACTTAGCTATCATCACAAAAATTGACCGCATATTATTGGGTTAATTGCCTGAGCATATTGAATTTACAGTAACAGGAATATGAAGCTAACAGATTCACAAAACTATGATGAATTCCACAGAAGTCAAAGAGAAAAATATCCCTAATCCAATTTTCCTTCATATGCTTTATATCTTCATTTAAAATCTTAAATAATATTATTAAAACAAACATGAAGAATTCACACAATAATATCTTTCTTACAACCCTCCTCAGCAAAAAGCATTTACATAAAAAGAAATTCAAGATGGGAGAGAAACAACTTCCAAAATATGTAGAAATGATGTTTTAATACTTGTGTATATTGGTGTTTTATCACTATGAGGCAGCATCAGCACAGTCTCCTCTCACTCCCACAAAGGATAAGTGGTTCCAACTAGGTCACCATCTCACCATTTCTCTACTCTATCCTGAATAGAATAGTAGATTTGTTTAAAAAATATATTTGGTACTTCATGTAAGTATACAATTAGTGTATAAAACTGTTTCCTAAAAAAATACCCGATAGTGCTTTCGCAGTTTTGATAAATCCGTGGTCAAATTCTTGGAAAATACTATTTTTACTATTTGGAGCACAAGTGATCATAGGAGCTGAGGTTTAAGTGGTGGAGTCTGTAGGTTAGTGGTTAGAGCAAGCGAGAGAACCTGGGTTCGATTCCCGGGCATGGTGAAACCTTAGGCAAGTTTTCTTACTCCACACACCTTTGTTTACCAAGCAATAAATTGTTAGTCGATTGTGGGATCGCTTATCCGGGAACAATAATCCCTTAAAAAAAATGTATAAAAATTATTTGTTTACTTAATCCATGGCTGTTTGTGGGATACTCATGTTTCGTCCTTAAAATGTAATCAATTCACTTTATGGTATATTCTGTGAAGCACTTTGAGACTTCTCGAACACATGATAAGCTGCTATATCAGATGCAAGGATTATAAATCTACAAACACACTTTCCACGAGAAGTCACTGAGTAATAATGTAAAACAAAAATCTTAATTTATATTTTTCCCGTCCGCGTCTAGTTTTAGTATGCCCAACAATGTCATTATTGAGATAATGAAAACTTTGCACAGACCAGCAATTGAACCCAACCCCCTGCTGAGCTGAAAGCCTGAATATACCAGGAAAATTGAGACACAGAAAAAGTGGAAAAGGTTAGAGAAGCACAAAAAGCTTCACAGAACAAACAGATCACAGATTACAAATTGATCTCTACCTGAACCTCCTCTTGTTTGTAGGTTTCCTTTCATTGGGTTACCCTTTAATAAAATATTTTCTTTGGCAATTGAGTCAGTTGCCCGATAAGTATCAGGGTGTATTTCGGAAGTTCTTGTCTGGAAAACCAAAAAGGCAAAATATAAACCAAAATCTCAACCTTATTTTAACTGTTTAAATTGGGTGCATTCACTACCACATAACACAAAAGGGAATCTCTTTACACTAAACACATACAGGTACCCCCAAAATCCTTTTTAAAAGCTTCAAACTACATTATTTGCTGTAAGGTTTCAAACCTTAAATCAGTAATACTGATTCAATCAGTTCACTGAAAACTAAAATATTAATAAATAAATTGGCATATTTATTATTGAAATTCTAATTTCTGAGTTAGTTTCTACACTATCAAACTAAGCTAATTTTAGTTAAGAAAAATAAAACCCACCATCTATCCCAAGTCTTTAGAAAGACTCTAAGACATTGACAGATAGAAGTTATTACACTGTAATTACAGAACTAGATTCCATAAATACAAAAAGCATGAACTTCAAATGAAAAATTAGTTTCTCTTACCAAATAAATAAAATAGCAAACAAAAATCAATCAACCCCTTTAAAGGCAATCAATCAATTCATTCCTTCAAAAGCAACAAATGTTTGGATAAGACAACTGAAGGTTCTAAACTTAAAACACGAGTAGTCATACATAATCAAATATAGTATTTTAAGAACATTATGCTTAGTGGTGTTGTGACCATGGTTATGTTTTCGATAGAAATCAACAGGTGAACAAATGTTAGATTAATATCTTGGAATCTCACTCAATTACATTAGGTGATCAGAAGTTCTATTGGTGATCAGTCACCAACCCCAGAAATATACAGAATTGCTACAAATTGCATGTACAGTATTCTGTTAGAAGAAACAGTTTTCAGCAGAAAGGACTCATTCTTCTTCCACTTGTACTTAATAATTCTACACCAATGTTCCAGTGCATAATTCATGCCATTTTGTTTCCACTTCAGCCGACCTAAGGTCCTTCCATCTCAAATTTGACTGCAGCTTTGAAATTCTCATCATCCATGCAGGAAATTAACAGAAAAAAGTTTAAGTTATCTTTCTTCAACCCTTCCACCAAACCCTCCAATTTTTAAAAATGTTTTACATGTTACATTTAACTATCAATTAAACATTCAAATTCAAACAGAGTACAAAAGACTTTGAACTACTTACTCTCATCTCCATATATGGTGGATCTCGCTCCAACTCAGCTTTATCTTGCTCTAGTCTGAACTTTTGTTCCTCAAGGAATCTTTCCAATTCATCTGCCATTTTCAGTAAAACACCTTTGAAAATATTTTTTTAAATTATGTTGGCTCTATGATTCTAGACACAATTTTGCAGGATATTAACAAAATTGCTGTTTGTGTGTAGGTGTATGCTTCAACTAAAAAGGATGCACAAATTTATTGATAAACCCGAAGTTTAATCAACTAGCCAAAAATAACTTCAGTGCAGCAATAAATTAATAAATTAGACTGTCTGTGAAATTTACAAAGATTTACAAAGAATGTACAGCATGGAAACGGGCGACTCAACCCATATCGGTGTTTATACTCCACCCATATCTTTCCATTCCCCCCCTTCCTCATGTGAAGGTCCAGCTTCCTCTTAAATGCATCTACACTATCTGAGTGAACCACTGCTTCAGCCAGCAAGTTACACAATCTCACTACGCTCTGCGTGAAGTAATTTCTCTTAACTTTTCTTGTTTTTTTGCCATGAATAGCTGATTCCTTTCAGTCAACTGGGATTCCCAAAGCAATGTGGTAAATAAGAAATGCACAATATACTCATAGTGATGACTTTCCCACTTTCAAAATGTTAAAGCTCACCTTGATTGAGCTTCATATCTATTTACAAAACTGCATTTACCATATTTCTCAAAAATCTGTACAAAATGCACCATATACAGTGAACTACTGATAACTCATTATTCCAAGGGAAAGGGCTCAGTGACGAATTATCTGGAGTGGCGAGTTAGGCATATGTATAAATGCAGCCGGGATACTGACAGCACAATGACTTAAGATCTCAACTTGGGAAGCTACATAATGCCCAGCATCCCCTGTAAAGAAAGACATCAGATTAAAGATTAAAAAAATCAATTAGTTCCACTCGCACTCCTATGCATTGACCAGCAGAAAAGCACATGGATGTGGACAAGCTGTACCTGTGTTGCTTGAGATATCTCTACCACTCGACAATGATCAGCGAGATTGCTTTGTAAATAATAGCTACTTGTTCAAAATACTAGAAGGCTATCGATGTTGACTAAGCAAACACTACTTGCATTTATATAGTAGCCTTCACATGGGGTAGCATCTCAGAGCAATTCAAGGGAGAAGGGCTCAGTGATAAATTATCTGGAGTGGTGAGTTAGGCATATGTCTAAGTAAATAAATAAATGCAGCCAGGATAATTGACAGCATGATAATAATAATACTACTTGCATTTAATATAGCGCTTTTCCCCTACCTCCCATTCCTCTCCAAGGTGGAGTCCTGTAGCTCAGTGGTTAGAGCACTCGCTTTGCAAGCGAGAGACCTGAGTTCAATTCCAGACAGGGCGAAACCTTGGGCAAGTTTCCTTACTCCACACGCCTAATAATAATCCCTCCAAAACAAAACAATAATAAATTGGTCATTTTCAATCCACCACTGTTTGTGGGACATTGCTGTGCGCAATTGGCTGCCGCGTCCACCCACAAATATACAGTCAATTCACTTTACAGTGTGTTCTGTGAAGCGCTTTGGGACATCCTCCCGATGTGAAAAGCGCTATATCAAATGCAAGGATTATTATTATTATTATTAAGGTCCTGGAACGAGTCGTCACATCCCATCTCCGCTCCTTTCTCACTCGTCATTCCCTCTTTGAACCCCTCCAATCCGGCTTCCGCACTGCCCACAGCACGGAAACAGCCCTGGTCAAAGTCACTAATGACGTTATGAACATTTGTGATCAGGGCTCCCTCTGCCTCCTTGTCCTCCTTGACATCTCTGCTGCCTTCGACACTGTCGACCACTCCATCCTCGTACCCCGCCTCTCCGCTTTACTCAATCTTCACGGATCTGCCCTTGCCTGGTTCGATTCCTATCTCTCTCACCGTCTCCACTTTGTTGCCTCTAACGGTTTCTCCTCCAGCCCCCGCACTGTCACACCTGGTGTCCCCCAGAGCTCTGTCCCTGGCCCTCTCCTCTTTAATATCTGCACGCTCCCCATTGGTGACATCATCCGCAGACATGGGGTCAACTTCCACATGTATGCGGATGACACCCAACTCTATCTTTCTGCCTCCACCCTCAACTCCAGGACCACTGTTGTCCTGACAGACTGCCTGTTGGACATCAAGTCCTGGATGAGAGCAAATTTCCTACAGTTGAATGTGAACAAGACTGAGGCCCTCCTGCTTGGCTCACGCCATCGCCTCAGCACCTCAGGCTCTGGCAGCATCAACCTCCATGGTTGCACACTACAACTCACCAGCCAGTCAGGAACCCAGGTGTCTTGTTCGACCCTCAACTGTCTTTTCTCCCCCACATTCAAGCCATGACCTGCTCTGCCTTCCCTCACCTCCGTAACATCACCCGACTCTGCCACTACCTCACCCCTCAGGCCGCTGAAACTCTTGTTCATGCCTTCATCACCTCCAGGCTCAACTATGCAAACACCCTGCTTGTCGGCCTTCCCAACTCCTCCCTCCACAGGCTGCAGATAATCCAGAACTCTGCAGCCCATGTCCTCTCCCGCACCAAACTCCGTGACCCCATCTCCCCTGACTCCACTGGCTCCCTATCCTTCAGAGGATCCAGTTCAAGATCCTGGTCCTCCCATACAAACCCCTCCATGGTCACGCCCCACCCTACCTCTGCAACCTCCTAACCCCCTACCAACCCACCCGTTGCCTCCACTCAGCCGGCTCTGGCCTGCTCCACGTCCCCCAATCCACCCGCCCCACCATTGGCAGGAGAGACTTCATGCCATCGGCCACCCCCTTCCCCTCCCCTTCCCTCCCTTACCCCCCCAACCCCAGCTCGGGTCTGAAATGCTGTACTCTGTCCAGCACCTTGGGATGTCTTCCCGACGTTAAAGGCGCGACACAAATGTAATCTTGTTGCTATTGTTTTCACGTCTTCTAGACTTCTCAAAGCGCTTCACAGAATATACTGTAAAGTTAATTGACTCTATATTGGTGGGCAAAACCCAGCAGCCAATTGCACACAGCAGTATCCCACAAACAGTTCTGGATTGAAGTGACTAATTTTATTATTTTTTTTCTTGAGGGATTATTATATAAACGATTATATTTTAAATTATTATATATTATATAAACGACTGTTTGTGGGACACTGCTATGTGCAATTGGCGGCCGCGTTTTGCCCACAAATATACAGTCAATTCACTTTACAGTATATTCTGTGAAGCGCTTTGAGATGTTTAGAAGACGTGAAAAGCACTATATCAAATGCAAGGATTATTATTATTATTATTATCAGACGTGTAGAGTAAGGAAAGTTGCCCATGGTTTTGCCCTGCCGGGAATCGAACCCAGGTATCTTGCTTGCGAGGCGAGTGCTCTGACCACTGAGCTACAGGACTCCTCCTCCTCCTTATGATGACTTAAGTGTAGTGACACTGGCTTCCCATCACACAGAGGATACAGTTCAAGATCCTGGCCCTCACCTTCAAAGCCCTCCACAGAGGATACAGTTCAAGATCCTGGCCCTCACCTTCAAAGCCCTCCACAGAGGATACAGTTCAAGATCCTAGCCCTCACCTTCAAAGCCCTCCACAGAGGATACAGTTCAAGATCCTGGCCCTCACCTTCAAAGCCCTCCACTGTTTGCTCCCTCCTACCTCTGTGACCTCCTTACCCCCTACCATGCTGCTCGTTCCCTCCGCTCAACAGGCTCCAGCCTTCTTCATGTCTCCCGCCTTGCTCACCCCACTATTGGAGGGCAGTCCTTCTACAATTCTGCCCTTGCAATCTCTGGAGCTCCATCCTGCAGAACCTCCATCTCGCTCCCTCCCTTGCCACCTTCAAGACCCATCTCAAGACCCACTTCTTCGACCGTGCTTTCGATCTCCCTGCTTCCCCCCCTGCCCTCCACCCTCCCTGATCCCGACCACCAGCTCAGATCCGTAACAGTCTGTCCAGCCCCTTGGGACATCCTCCTGACGTTAAAGGCGCTTATTTTGTTATTGTTGTATTTATATAGCACTCTTTACAGAGAGCATCTCAGAGTGCTTAAGAATAGCAGAGCTTGACGCGAAGCCGGGAGGAAAGCCAAGCCATGTATCAGCATGAGTTATCATTCCTGCTTCATGTCCCCATCCTACCATCGGCAGTCAGGCTTTCACTGTATCTGCCCCCACTCTCTGGAACTCCATCCCAGAGTCTCTTCAACTCACCCCTTCTCTCGCTTCCTTCAAAATCCGTCTTAAACATTTCTCTTCAACCACATGTTCATCCATCTTTGCCCCACCCAGCCCCCCTTGTGTGCAAACCTTGGACTGTTCAGCACCTTGGGACCTGATGTGAAAGGCGCTATATAAATGTAGCTTTATATTATATTACTCTCTGGAGAGAAGGAAGCCAAGAAAATTTGAAGGCGGTTAAAGAATATGCAATATAATTTAAACACATTCATCAGCAACATTTTAAAATAAACCCTGGAAGAGATATTCAAATTAAACAAAATTCTTAAGTTACCAAACCTCAATTTCTACAAGTAACAGTGCAGCCGACATCGATTGACAAGTGTCAATATAACTGTATGGATATCCACGATACCTGCTGAAATACACTAACAACGCTCAAGATAAAATGTACCGCAAGTACATAAAATGTACAACAAGTACATAAAAGCACACAATAAAATCTGAAGCACCACCGAACATTTTAATTCAGGTCACTGCTGTGTAGAAAATCCCAATTTATCCCCATTGGCTGCCATTTGACCGATGGCCAAGCCCTGTCGTCTTTCTTGGTCCATTTTTTGTTTTCTCTTTGTGTTCTTAACTCTCTCCATCGAGCCAAACGATATCAGTCGAGGGCACAGAGGCAGCTCTCTCTGTGTGACTTTCACACGAAAATAAAGTTCATCATTGGGGGGGGGGGGGGGGGAGTGGGAAACTTTGCACAAGTCGTGAAATGCATCGTCCCAACCGATACGACTTAGGAAAGGGTCTGCGCGGTCTGGCGAGGTTGCCGAGCCATCGGTAACACACAAACCCCGGCACCACTGAACCCTGCGACCGGGGTGGGTGGGTGCGGGGGGTGGGGGGGGGAGGGGGGGGGGGGGGGGAGGGGAGGGGGGGGAGACACCGGCAACTGAAACCGCTCAACGAGACGCACTTTAAACCGGGGGAAGGAGAGGCGACGATGACGATGATTTATCGAAGCGTTGTCGGGCAACCAGAGCACAACACGAGCCGCGACGCAGTGAAACCCGCCGTCGCACTGGGTCTGATGTCCATCTCGGGGGGGGAGATGGAGGGGGGAAGGGGGAGAACGGGGACACTTGTACATTCATTTCCAGGGTTGAACACACACACACATTCCCACCCCCAGTGTTAACTTGTCCTGTTAACTTCGGGCGAGGAATAAAGAAAGCCACGGCTGAGGTGTGTGTGGGTACACAAAAGGAGGATCGACGACGGCGGTGGCGGTGGGGAGACGGGACGGGGAGACGGGGAGACGGGGGGGGGGGGGGAGAGAATAAAAAAAAGTGGGTTAAAAGGAAGATGAAGAGAAATAAAACAAACGGGGGCGGGCGGGCGGGCGGGCGGAGAGGGGAGAGGAGGAGGAGTCGTTTCCTCTCCCGACTGTACAAAATGTGGAGCCGACAACTTTATTATGTATTACAAAATAAAGTAGAAGTTACCTGAGAACTGGAGGGACTTCGGCGCTGCGCTCACTCGCTCAGTGTGTGACGAACGGCTTCGCGTCCGCTCCCTGCGAGTTTAAACCAAGCAGCTCGAGCGGCCGAACGCACGACCGTTAACAACGACGTTGCCACAGCAGCGGCGACGGCGGCGATACCGAACCTCTCCGCTGCCTGCGTTCAACTGCTCCCGCCGTGCACCGCGCCCCCCCACTCACTCACTCACTCCAAACAAAGAGTCTGCTCTGCGCCGAGCGCGCTACTCGCTGGCGCCGTTATTGCTGCCACCCACAGGCTGGAGGACTGAAGTGCTGCGTGGAGCTCCTCCATGAATTAAAGATTGTGCTAATATTATTAATAATAATAATCCTCGCATTTGGCAGAGCGCCTTATCACGTCTTCCAGGCGTCTCAAAGCACTTCGTGTACTGGAATGGAATGTACTGCAATGTGAATTGACTGTATATTTTGAGGGCAGAACGCGGCAACCAATTGCGCACAGCAGTGACCCACAAACTATCATGGATTGAGTGACCACATTTTTTAAAAAAGGATTAGTAGCCCCAGAAAAGCGATCCACCAATCGACTAACAACCGAGTTCCTACTTGCTGCTCGGTAAACCAAGGAGTGTAGGAGTAAGGAAACTTGTCTAACGTTTCGCCCTGTAATGTTTGGTAAAGTGCCTTTCACGTTCTGAGAACGACTCAAAGCGCCTCACAGAATTCACTGTGAAGTGTAGCGACTGCGTGTTTTGTGGGCCAAGTAGAAGGAGGAGGAAGGACGAGCTGGGGGGATCCGGACTGGGGAGGGTGGAGAGCAGGGGGGAAGCAGGGTTGTCGAAAGCATGGTTGAAGAGGAGGGTCTTGAGATGGTGAAATGACAAACAATTTTGCTCAGAACTACAGTAGGTAGGCTCCATCCAACCTATTTAAAGATCTACACAATCAATCCACTTTACAGCATATTCTGTGAAGCGCTTTGAGAGGTCTCAACGACGTGATAAGGCGCTAAATCAAATGCAAGGATTATTATTATTATTACTGTATTATCTTCTCCCATCTCTGGTTATGTGGAGTCCTGTAGCTCAGTGGTTAGAGCACTCGCCTCGCAAGGGAGAGACTTGGGTTGAATTCCCAGCAGGTCAAAGCCTTGGGCAAGTTTCCTTACTCCACACGCCTGATAATATTCCCTCAAGAAAAAAGAACTATAATAAATTGGTCACTTCGATCCACGACTGTTTGTGGGACACCGCCGTGCGCAATCGGCTGCCGCGTTTCGCCCACAAAATACACAGTCGATTCACTTTACAGGATATTGCGTGAAGTGCCTTTGAGACGTCTCGAAGACGTGATAAGGCGCTGTGTCAAATGCGAGGATGATGATACATTTTTTAAAATATTATTATTATTATGATTGTTGTTATTCCACCGTTCTCCACCGGGAGTCGCTGCGACGCTGACAGCGGCCAACGCATGCGCACAAACCAACCTCGGACACCAGACGATCCCATTGGGTTCCCACCACCCAAAAAAAAAGGTGCGGGTGCGTTTTATTTGGGGGGGGGGGGGGTTCGGGAAAAAAAAAACGCGCGAACCGGAGAGAGAGGGAAAAAAACGGGACGCCGCCGAGCAGCGTTTTTTTTGGATTATGTTTTTTAAAAAAATAGGTAGAAACGTCAGGGTCGCGTTGTTTTGTTCCGCGTTATGGATTGCGATGGTTTGTGCTCCCCCCCCCCCCCCCTCGAGGTGAAGTGGTCGGTGCCGAGGGTGGGGGGGAGGGATTGTTCCGGCGGTGATGGCGCCGCTCAGATGAACCGCTCTCTTGTCGTCCTCTCCGCCGCCGTCTCCCTCTCTCCCTCCGTGTGGGTACCGCCAGACCCGTCTTGCCGTTAGCTGGCGGGGCCGGGCTCGGCGGCGAACGTTTCCGTAGGCCTCGTCTCGCTCGCTCGCCGTGTGAGGGGGTGGGTGGGTGGTTGGTTGGTGGTGGTGGTGGAGGAGGAGGGGGTGAGTGGCGGCCGCCAACATGGCCGGCGCCAGCGGTAACATCGCCCAGAAGACCTGGGAGTTGGCCAACAACATGCAGGAGGTCCAGAGCATCGACGAGATCTACAAGTACGACAAGAAGCAGCAGCAGGAGATCCTGGCGGCCAAACCGTGGACTAAAGAGTGAGTCCGTCCCCCTCCCCCCCCCGGGGCTCTGGCCCGTCCCTCGCGGGGCAATGGGGGTTTAAACGTTCAAACGAGATTGTGGGTGATTTTCCCCCTTCAAAAGAGACCCCTCTCTTTCTTCCTCCCATTTTTTTTTAAAAAAAAGAACGACAAAACCCTCGACGATTTGTGGATAATTTGTTGAGTTACAGTGACGTTACGTACAAACGACCGACCGAAACGGGGCCTTCCCTTCCTCAGCCCAAACCGGGCCCTGGCGAGTTTGTCTGGACCTCAGGACAAGAATCCTCATCCTTTATTTTATTTATTTTATTTTACTTTATTTTCGTACGGCGATGCCTGTCCGCAGGTCCATAGTTGGGAGACGTTTGGCTCTGCAATTCGGTCACCTCTCAGTAAATTGTTCACAGTCTTCAGTTCGGCCAGAACTTTTGCTGAGGGAGTGGGGTGGGGGGTGTTTTTTTTAAAAAAAGTTTACTGCACTTGTGACTTGTGTTTCATAATGGTGGAAAAAGGTTGGGATCTTAATTTTGTGTCAACGCAGGGGGTTATTTTAACTGTTTGAAGAATCAATTGCTTTCAGTGGAGTCATTTTTTTTAAAAAAATATATAATTTATGTCTTCCAGTCATCATTACTTCAAGTATTGTAAGATCTCAGCTCTTGCGCTTTTGAAGATGGTGATGCATGCCAGATCGGGTGGAAACCTGGAAGTGATGGGTTTAATGCTGGGTAAAGTAGATGGAGAAACTATGATCATAATGGACAGCTTTGCTCTGCCAGTAGAGGGAACGGAGACCCGAGTCAATGCCCAGGCTGCTGCATATGAATACATGGCTGCTTACATAGAGAATGCTAAGCAGGTATTGTGTGTTTAGTTTTCTACCTCTTTCGGTCTTATTGTAATGCAGGTTCAAGGTTTTGAACAGTGTGTGTGACTTATGTGTAAAACATACAATTAAGAAGAATAGGTAATGTTTTTACGGCAATATTATTTGGGATGATAAAGTCTATTCTTTTATATCATCGTTGTGTTGAATGATTCTTGCGTAATGTACACTATTTTATATATTATGTATAAATTGTATCTCAGTGCACCCTCTTCTTGTAAATGTAATAATTTGAAGAGCAATTATATGTATTTATGATATTAATTCTGTTTGGGAAACAATGTGTCTCTTTGTTTGCGATTCTTGTAGGACCACCACCTTGTTTTGATTTAGAACCAGTTATCCTACGAGTCTGACAGAAAAGGCAGTCTTCCTGATGAGGCTTAATAGTTGTTCAGCTGCTTGAAAAACCTGGCACTAAATGCAGTATTTCAGAGTACAATTATCCTTTAAGGTTGAGTGGAGGTTATGGAAATCAATTTGAGGTACAATTGTTTCCTCCGAGAAAGATTACTTAAGTATAAGAACTAAGACCAGGAAGATATAGCATATAGAACAGTCGAGGCCAATACATTTCATGTAGCCTTCATGTTGTTGGGTTTCATGACTAAGATATTAGTATTATTTGCAGCAAATTAGGATTAATGTGAATCGTTTTTCATTTGTCCTTTTTTAATTTTTAAATGCGGTAATATGATTCTTTATTTAGACATTATGGCTTAAAAGAGATAACTAAAATTAATGCTTGTTATATTTCTTTGTAACCACAATTTAAATTTTCAGAACTAACGTGATTGACAGTAATTTTGACACGAGTTCTCATTTCACCTTTTGTTGTGAGACAAACCTATTTCAACGGTGATTTTTGTTTTAATCTTCACGTTTATTCATTTCTGATTACTTAGGTTGGACGTCTTGAAAATGCTATTGGCTGGTATCATAGTCATCCTGGTTATGGATGCTGGCTGTCAGGAATAGATGTTAGTACTCAGATGTTGAATCAACAATTCCAGGAGCCATTTGTGGCAGTTGTGGTATGTGCCCTATTATATTTGTATCTTGTATTTAATATGCCTTTAGTCTTCACAAAATGCTGCATAAAATTAGTATCGAATTAGCTTTAATAGAATCATGTTCATTGTTCATGCATTCGTCACATCTAGACTTGAGTATGTATACTCCCTGCTTTTTCGGCCTTCCCACCTCTTCCCTCCACAAGCTGCAAGTCACCTAGAACTCTGCAGCTTGTGTCCTCTCCCACACCAGGCTCCATGACCCTATCACCCTCGCTTCCAACCCACATTTCCTTCACTTCGTTCCCTCCCTTGCCTCCTTCAGGTCACGTCTCAAGACCCTCCTCTTCGACCATGCCTTTGGCCACCCTCCTACCCTACACCCTCCCCGATCCCAACCCCCAGCTCAAGTCCAAATCTCTGACTGTTCAGCGCCTTGGGAAGTCGTCCCAACATGAAAATCACTATACACATGTAATTTTGTATTGTATGTTCCCCAAAGTTATGCGTTCATCACTTATTACAAAACGATACTAGATTTTTGAGCGTTAGACTCCTTTACTGTTTATTATAGCTTCATTAGAAATGTTGATTTGACCTGTTTAATAATTACAATGGCTGCAGATGAAGCCATTTTAATGTGAAACTGTCCCACAAAGTCCTAGCTTTATAGATAGATAGATTTCTTATTGCAAAGGGGATTAAGGGATATGGGGATAAGGTAGGTTCAGGTTATTAGCCGGAGTTAGATTAGAAGATCTGCCATGATTGAATGGCGGGGCAGGCTCGAAGGGCCGAATGGCCTACTCCTGCTCCTACGTGTTATGTTAGATTTGAACAGTGTTATAATTAACCAATGAACTGGGTTCTGGAGACAAAAAGCAGCTGTTTCTATTTCTGGTCTCGATCTAGTAATTCTGATAGAAAGTGCATGTGTAATGATGTCAGGTGAGAATGCATTTGTTCAAATAGAGCAATGATGCTCCCTGTCTAGGCTCAGAAATGAAGAATAAGCAGCCACGTAAGGGACGTACCTGTAAGTGCCCACTACTTAAGGAAATGTGTCCAAGAATTAACATTCCTCTTCAGGAGATAACTGGAAAATGTGTACAATTTAAATTGAAAGTATAAGTATTGAATGCATTTAAACTCAACTGTGTTCTCATTTTTATGAGAAATTTCACAAATTTGTACCAATAGTATTTGACTTTTCAGATAACGGATTAAAAATTATATATAGCCTGTCACAACGTCTTCAAAGGAAGTTGGCTTATCATGTACCACAATTTGTCATGTGATTAAAATATATGTAAATAATATTCGCTAAATGGCTTGTGGGGAGAGTTTGACATGAATTCTAACATTTTAATAGTGATATAATTGCGTAGAAATTTCTTCCTTCGGTTGTTAAAGTAAACACATTGGAGTATTGTGGAAAAATAGTTTGAAGTTATACGTTCCAGTGGTATGAAGTGTAAATAACCTGGTTAAGCGCTCTGAGACGCCCCCCAGCGTGGAGGCCGCTATATAAGTGCAAGTTGTTATTTTTAAAAGTAAAGCTTAGATCTGTATGCGCACTATATAATTGAAATGCAAATATGATTATGAATGGCAAATTAATTGTTCTTGCCATGTTTTGTTAATCAAAATTTTGCATTTTTTTCAGATTGACCCTACCAGAACAATATCAGCTGGAAAAGTAAACTTAGGGGCTTTCAGGACATATCCAAAGGTATGTTTAACATGGAAACTGAAACAACAAAAACAAATTACACTTGTATAGGACCGTTCGCGTCGGAAAGATGTCCCAGTCCGCTGGACGATAGGGGTTTTGGTCCTGAGCTGGGAGTTGTGGTCAGAAGGGGAGGAGGGCAGGTGGGGAGGGTGGCCAAAAGCACGATTGAAGAGGAAGATCTTCAGACAGGACTCGAAGGAGGCAAGAGAGTGGGTGAGGTGGAAGGATTGAGGGTCGAAAAGGACACCAAGGTTTCAGATTGGCTCAGTAAGGTGAAAAGTGCAGCTATGAATGTCAACGGCTGAGGTGAGGAAGTGCTGCCGGGAGCCAAGCAGGAGGGCCTCTGCCTTACCAACATTGAGCTGGAGGAAATTGGCTCTCGACCAGGTCTTGATGTCAAACATAATTTGCCAGGACATTATTGGTCCTGGAGTTGAGGGCAGAGGCGGCGAGATAAGAGTTGGGTGTCATCTGTATAAATGTGGAAATTGACCCCATGCCTTCGGATGACATCCCTGAGCGGGAGCACGTATAGATTGAAGAGGAGGGGACCGAGGATAGAGCTCTGAGGGACCACTCCTCTAGCCCTCTGCATGGGACAGTGCAGGGGCTAGAGGAGAAGCCATTGGTGGCCACAAAGTGCTGACTCAGAAAGGTAGGATTGGAACCAGGCAAGAACAGAACCATTGAGGTGAGAGGAGAGGCGGTGGAAAAGAACAGAACAGTCAACAGTATCGAAAGCGGTCGAGAAAGACAAGGAGACAGACAGAGCCCTAGTCGTAGGTGGACAGCATGTCATTTGTTACTTTGGCCGGGGCTGTCTCTGTGCTATGAACAGCGTGAAACCCAGATTGGAAGGGTTCATGGAGGGAATACTGGGAGAGGAAAAAGCGAAGCTGGGAAACGACGACTCGTTCCATCACCTTTGATAGAAAAGGAAGGTTTGAAATGGGGCTGTAGTTGGAGAGCAGAGATGGGTCAAGGGAAGGTTTTTTGAGGGTAGGGGTGATGATGGCTGTCTTTAGTGGGATGGGTACGGTGCCATTCAACAGGGAGGTTAACGAGGTCGCTTAGTAGGGGGGCAAGGAGGTGGAACTGGGAGGTGAAGAGTAGTAGGGATGGGGTTAAGTGAGCAGGTGCTGGGTTTCATATGGGAAATGATGGAGGTGAGCAAAGAGGGGGAGATAGAGTCAAAAGTGTGGAGGGAAGGATGGGTGGGCCTGAAGGGGAGTGGGAGGTGGGAATGGGATGCCGGTAGAGGGGCTAGAGGCGGCAGGGGAGATCCCCTCAACTTTGGACTCGAGGAAATCCATTATCTCCTAACAATCGGTGTTGGAGAGAATGGGAGGCTGGACGTAGGAGTTTGTTGATAACCCCAGACTCTTTTTTAAAAACCACAAACAAACTCTTGTCAATAAACCCAAACAAACTACAACAACAATTTGCATTTATATAGTGCTCTTTGTGTAAGATAACATCTTGGAGTACTTCAACAATCTGCTTGTGTCAGATTTTTAAAAACAATAATTCTATGTGTAATCTTTTATCAATTTATAATTTTTATGTTTATTTACAGCGCCTTGGGACGTCCTCCCGATGGAAAGGCGCTCTATAAATGGAATCTTGTTGTTGTTGTTACTTAAAAAACTTTTTTAAAAGAATATCAGAATATAGATTAAATTAGAACTGTGACAAAGTGTTAATTTCTATTTTAGAAATGTTCAAAGTATTCTGTAGCACGCTTTATTTTCTAGGGTTATAAACCACCCGATGAAGGTCCTTCAGAATACCAGACTATTCCACTCAATAAAATAGAGGATTTTGGTGTACACTGCAAACAGTAAGTAACTACCTCTTTTTTTATTTCAGTTTTCATGTGTTTATGTAGGGTATGTTACATATCCTCATTTGTTATACAGCGCAAGATTCCCTGCAGATCTCTCACACAACTACAAGAGCATGTAATAAGTAGCTTGTGTTATTTGTTTGTGTTCACTCCATTCAGTGTCGCCTTGATGTGAATCCTAAATCAGAAGTTTGTAATGTGAAGAAATGTAGGCCAAACCTGAGTCCCTCAGTGGGAGTAAATACAGAACAGGCACTCAACTGGTTTGCTATCCAACTAGATATAGATTCAGTATTGGCTGATTTCCTTGATCACCTGAGATGATTCAAAGTACCAATTTGCCCTTTCTGCCTAGAATTTGGTCTGCATCCAAGAACGCTTTCATTAGAATCTTGAAAGGATTGTGCTTTATAACCCAGGTAATTGGAATAGCCTTGAATACACAGTTAGCAGATAATATCTAATGTGGCTGAATACCACTTCTTATTCCCCATTGTTTCATTGTCCCAGTTTAATGAAAGTTATGCAACACCATTAACAAAAAAACAGACATCGATTGGGTGGGGAAGTATATATAAGGATCTTCCGTCAGTTTTTACCAAATTTCTCCCTGGCCCAAACCAAAAATGCTGTACCTGGATTTTTTTTCGGTGACAGTTGGTTGCTGAAAACTGTTTATCTGAAAAAAATCTGAATCCTTCATATTTTGTGCCAATGCCCTGCTTATTGGCCTCCCCAACTCCTCCCTCCATAGGCTGCAGATCATCCAGAACTCCGCAGCCTGTGTCCTCTCCTGCAACAGGCTCCGCGACCCTATAACTCTGATCCTCATTCAACTCCACTGGCTTCCCATCACATGGAGGATATAGTTCAAGATCCTGGTCCTCACTTTCAAAGCCCTCCATGGCCTTGCTCTCCTCTATCCTAACCCCCTATCAGCCTACCTGCTTCCTCCACTCAGCGGGCTCTGGTCTACTCCACGTGCCCTGCCTGGCCCGCCTCTTCAACCTCTCTGCCCCCACCCTCTGGAACTCCATCCTTCAGTCCCTCCACCTTCTTCGAGACCCGTCTCAAGACGCTCCTCTTCGACCGTGCAATCAGCCACCCTCCCCAATCCCGACCTCCAGCTCAGGTCCAAAACACTGATTGTCCAGCGCATTCAGACGTCCTCCTGACACAAAGGCTCTTTGCAAATGTAATTTTATTTGTCGTAGTTTTGCCTTCTGGGACACTTGTGCGTTTCAGTCCAGCTGACTGACTCTGAATTTGGGGAATTACAGTTGACCTATGAACCCTACAGTAGTGTACAGATGTCTTTATGGGATACTGTTTGTAAGTAACATGCTTTCCTGGTTCCTAAGCATATTACTTGGTACAGGAATCACTCACATTGGTAAGGAATTGTGTGAAAGAAACACTGTAGAATCATAATAAATAAACCTTCAAATTTCACAGCATTTACTGTAAAGTGTAGTGACTGTATTTTGCAGATGAACGGGGCAGTTAATTTATGCACAGCAATGTTCCACAACAGCTATGATGTGAATGACCAATTTTATCTAGGGGATTGATGCTAGAACACTAGGACACCTTTCTCTCTTTGAATAGTGGCCACAGGATATTTAATGTCCACCTTAACAGATAAACAGGAACTTGGTTTAATGTCTCATCCAAAGGATGGCACCTCCGACAATGCAGAGCATCTCCAGCCCTGCAATAAAGTGCCACCCAAGACTCTGAGCTCAAAGTCCTGATGTGGACCATGAACCCACAACTTTCTAACTCGGGAAGCGTGTATGCTACCAACTGAGGCACTTATTCACTTTTTAATCAGTATACTTATCAGCATTGTGGTGTGTTCTCTGCCTACCATTAAGATGGGAAGAAAATGTAAAGCTGAAGCAGATTTTTACTTATTTTCACAAAATATACCTTTATTTCCTTTCTTTGCATTCTTCCTCTTGATTTTGTCTCATTTTTAATCCAAAAAATAGATCTAAAAAATACTCAAATGTTTGTTTTTCATGCAAAACCTGTGATTAAATTTCTGTCGATAATGTTCTTTTCATATTCATGGGTGTTATTAAACGTACGCTGCACAGCTTGCTTATTGCCAGGAGGGCAGGACATCACAGAAATGTGGATAGTTGCTAAAGTTAGGAGAATGAGAGGTTTTCATTGTTTTGTACTTCGCTCCCCTCTGGACCTGTTTCTGGCAGTCCAAAATCATAGAAATGTTTTACTTCGTTGCCAGAGGTCATACTCACAATAGTATCTCCACTAGATTGTAACTTGCTGCCTATTGAACCCTTTCCCAAATAATGTCCGGCTTCTTCTTGAATTCACTAGTTTTAATGAAGCGTTAAACATCATTTGCAGAGTTAGGATTTTGGAACTTGTATTAGTTTGCCAATTGTCTAAAAAGCATTTAGTTGTGTAGGATGTTTTCTTTTTAAAAATTATCAAACAACTTGCATTTTTACATATTTTATGTGTGTATACATACACATAGGGTGATCTAAAAGTTGTTATAACTAACTGATTATCTAAAAAAATCATAATTTCTTTAAGGCTTATTAAACATTATAATGGTATCACGACTTGGTCACCCTGTATCATCATCATACAGTAAATGCTGCAGATATCTCGAATGTAGATATAATTTGCCTATCACCATAGTTGATGATAATCCAGATGACAAGAAAATGTATTATTTGATATTGCTGTGCTCTGTAAAATATCTTTTCTTTCAGGTATTATGCCCTGGAAGTTACTTATTTTAAATCATCGCTGGATCGTAAACTCCTTGAACTTCTTTGGAACAAGTATTGGGTGAACACTCTTAGCTCTTCAAGCTTGCTCACGGTTAGTGAGCAATACTGCAATTTTTATTTTGAAGAGGTAGTGAAATAGCGATGAAATATTTATGATTTCTGAAAATTGTTTTTCTAAAAAAATTAGAAAAACAAAAATCCTTTTTTGACTATTACTCCAGCAGCCCCCATTACCTTGTCCAACAGGCCATCCTTCATTCTTCTTGCTTATGGGATGTCAGATACTCCGGTGACTATCCTTTTCCGGGGAGTGGGGTGGTAAGTGGGGTTTCCTTGAAGGTGAACTCACTCCAAGGTAGCATGCTTAGCAACGGAATATCAGAATCGAGTCAACCCTCTGTGGCAGTCTCTGTAGTCCAATTCCTTAGCCAGGTAGGTCCACAATACTCCAAGGCATTGATGATGATGGCCCAGCCAGCCTGTGTTATTGGTAAACTTGGCATGGGCAGACTAGTCGTCAAAGGAAGGGATTCTTCACACTCAGCTCCTGGTAATCTAATCCCGTAAGCCAAAACCCTAACAGAGTGGTCCTAGCTGAACAAGCAGCAGAAAAGCTTACCAAATTGTGCTTACAATAGCAGCTGTGAAGCTGTGTAGTCTCCAGTAGTACCCCAATATACACTCTGGGCTCCCCAACCCATGGCACTTGCCAACCTGCACCTAATACTCTGGAATTAAATAAGCAGGATGCATCCCTTCAAGGAGAGAGTGCACATTCCATTCCACACGGGAATTTCCACCTGTAGATGGTACGCATGGAACTCTACTGGTTTGGATGTTCTGGTGATGGCTTTCCGTATGTGTCAGACACCTGGTTTACCAAAAAAAAAGCCTAGATTGTGTATCAGCTGGATGTTCAGCCATAAAGGGCATCACAGTCAAAGCTAACCTTGTCCTTGCTTGGCATTCATACAAATTGTTTTTCAAGTTACTGAATGGCGATCAGGAGCAAGAATATTCCCTTCCCAGTACAAGGATTCTGAAGCCATCATCTTTCATTTATAGTGCATGTGTTCTGACAGAAAAAGTGACACAATTTAACATTATCAGGAAAAAAAAGAGCATCTTGCCTTAACAAATTGTTCAAGTTTCAATCTTGGCTTGTCATGGATCAATGACATTGTAGCTCACCTATAGAAAGACTTGAAAGCTTAAGTAAACTTCTATTGTTTGAATGCGCCTGGCAGTCTCCACTTTTGCAGAGGCTTATTTAATACCTAAAGGCAAGCCAAATAATGTCACTGCTCATTTAATGAAGACAAATTGTCTGTCACTATTGTCTTGAGCGGGTAATGGTATTTAACTGTGGCCATTATTAGTAGATGTGGTGATGACTATGCCAGTCTAAGTGTAGAACAATACTTTGTAGGATAATTGTATTTAATTCATGTTGTGGTTCTTTTCTGAAATTGGACTGATTATCTACCTGACAGTTTGCTAAATAGCAATAATTTACTTTAATGTAGTAACAGAATTTAAGGTATTTCAACTACTGTACTTTATCTTCAACCTGCTGTCATAAGGGCTGCAACTGTTGATATGAATAGAATCATAGAGATGTGAGCAAGCTCCACATGAATGATCTTCTATTTTGCTTTTCCTCCATATCCTTTTACATTTTGTTCTTTGCATTTAATCAACTCTTTTAATGATCTAAGTAACTTGGCTTCAATAGCCACCTTTTAACAATTCATATCCAATGTACAGAAACATTGTGAATACTGTGACTATGGCTCTAGTTTATGCCTTCCATCATAATTTTGTCCTCCCATTCTTGGTAATCTTGTGAAGCTATTCTACACTCTGTTCAACAATGAAAATTGCAAACACAATTCCAGGTGCAGTCTAACTGATAGCTCTGTATATGTTTGTCATATTTTTCTATTTGATGCCACAGTATATAAAACTCAGTATTTCATTTGCCCCTTCTTATTTGTTCTGAGCTCAGTATTTTCCTTAAATAGGCTCAAATTCCCGAGGAATAATAATATATGTTCTGAGCTATACAGATATATAGGTTTGATCCCTGATATGTGCTGAAATAGATAATTGACCTTAAACTGTGACCCTGGTGATTTTGGGGGGAGTATGGTCTCAAATTGGTAGGTTTTGTAAAGTGAGGTGAAAAAATCTGTTGTGTGTTCAAACTGTTCATAACTTATCAGCAATTTCCATAATTCAAGAATTTTCTTGACTTCTGGAAGACCATTAGTTCTGAAATTCCACAAAATTTTAGATATGATTTTATCTTAAACTCTAATTGAGCCCAGTCCAGGAATCAAACCTATGCACTGCCTTATGCTTTGGTTCTCCACCAGATGGTGCTTTTTCCCACTAAGACTATTAAGGGTCTGAAATTCCACCATGTCTTAAACGCAATTTTATCTTAATTTCAGATCGCACAAATTTATGGAACATTCTTAAATTCCTTAATTTGGAAGTCAGTTTTTCAAATTTCTTAATAGTCTTTCAAATTAAGAATGAATTTAAGAATTATAGATAAATCATACTAATATATAATAATATAAATAATATTTATAAGAACTACAGCCCCAGCTCGTGTCTGAAATGCTGTACTCTGTCCAGCGCCTTGGGACGTCCTCCCGACGTGAAAGGCGCTATACAAATGTAATCTTGTTGCAGTGCCTTTATCGCGTCTTCAAGACGTCTCAAAACACTTCACAGAATATACTGTAAGTGAAAGTGAGGTGTGATCTGATGGCGGATCTCTTTTCTGGGGCTAATAATCCCTTCCAATTTTTTTTAAAGTAATAGTAATTTGGTCACTCAATTCACTACTGTTTGTGGGACACTGCTGTTCACAATTGGCTGCCTCGTTTTGCCCACAAAATATACAGTCAGTTCACTTTACAGTATATTCTGTGAAGTAGTTTGAGACATCTTGAAGACATGATAAGGCACTATATCAAATGCAAGGATTATTATTAAATTGTAAGATAAACATCAACTAAGACTAGGTTACATTTGGGCCTTAGGGGAGCTAATGCATTTTAATTGAAAATACTCTCAAGTTCAACATTTAAACAATGTGTCAAGTTGATAAATTATACAGTGATTGGGACTAAATCCGCTCATATTTTTGAACTTTTTAACTTTAAACCTTACTCTAAGGGGTTTTCAAGAAGGCAAAGTCTTCTGAAGAAGTTAAAAGGCCTTCCATGTTTATAGTAATGAAGACTAAAATATAATCAATTGTTGTACTTTTATGTTGCACTGATATTTTATTGCCCATAAAATTTATACCAAAAGAACTAACTGGCCATGTGCTTGACAGATAGTGAGTCTTCCTGGCTTGTAACAAATTCTATATCCAGTAACCAATTCAAATGACCTCTGTTATTTCTACCCTTTCCTTCTCAACAACAAAATTGTAATGTACTATGAGATTAACTTATCTATATGTAAAGCAATTCTTGCACAGAATAGTTAAGTTTAGAATATTTTATATATTAAATACAGCTATACATTATAGACACATTTAACACAATATTTTACTGCAGAATGCTGATTACACCACAGGGCAAGTCTTTGATTTGTCTGAGAAATTGGAACAGTCAGAAGCCCAGCTTGGTCGAGGAAGCTTCATGCTTGGATTGGATACCCATGACAGAAAATCTGAGGACAAATTAGCCAAAGCCACACGGGACAGGTGAGGGTATCTTGAAATCTCACATTTAAACAGAACTTTAAAACATAATAATCTAGTCACTCAATCCACGACTATCTATGGGACATTACTGTGCACAATTAGCTGCTGCAATTTGCCCACAAAAAAAATACAATAAATTCACTTCACATTATATTCTGTGAAGTTCTTTGAGACGTCTTGAAGACATGATAAGGCGCTATATAAAATGCACGGATTGTCTATTATAACATTTTTAAATTATAGATTAATGAGAATAACTACTTATAATAGTTACTGTGCTTTAAAATTTTAAGTCTGCATTATCATGCAGCTCAGATTTTTATCTGTTTAAAAATATTTCCCATTGGTTATTGTGCTGCAAATTATGTTATATTGAGACTCCTGTGTCACAAAGCAGAACGAAGGATGCATGTAATTTTCAGAAATTGATTTCCTGATTTGGTAGGAGAGTTGTTTAGGCACTAGTGGAGGACAGATACAAGGTCCAGAGGGAGGGAAAATTTGGAGGTGAATTGTCTAAATCAAACAGGAATGTAAATGTGACGCCTTGGGATGTCCTCCCGGCGTAAAAGGCACTTTAGCAATGTAATTTGTTGTTCTAGTTATTTTCTTCTCCTCTAGTTCCCGCCCCAAAATGTGCCTGGTTCCAATCAGTACCTCCCAAATTAGAAATCAAGATTGATCTTAATCTTTACATTTATTTCTTAATCTTTACATTTGTTTCTTAATCTTTACATTTGTTTCTTAATCTTTACATTTGTTTCTTTCCCAGCTGTAAGACTACTATAGAGGCAATACATGGATTGATGTCGCAAGTTATTAAAGACAAGCTCTTCAATCAGATCAATATACCTTCTGTTTAATGTATTAGTCTTCCAAAAAGAATCTTGGATTGTGCCTGCAACATGTGAAGAGATTCATTTCCAGTTCAACTTCTTTGAATGGACTGCAGTTGTAGTTATTTATCCAGAATGCTGGTGATCCTGTAATGCACAATTATTTGACAAACCTATTGGCTGTTTTCTTAGTTTAATTTGATGACTAACAGAAATCCTTGTTGTCTGTAAGTATTGCCATATGTCATAAAATAGCACTTGTCAAAATTTAGTTTAGACTACTTAGCTTCAGGATGGTAAATCTATTTCTTAGGATATCAGGAATCCAGAAGCAGTACAGTTCTACCTTTGAGCTTTTTAGAATGGACAAGCATAACCAGTGTAAGCTTCAGTGTGCTATTAAAAATAAGTTAAGATATGATAAGTTGTATTTTCATTACTTCCTCGGTATAAATGTTGAACTGCACCAAAGATTACATCTTCCAAACATAGTTGTAAGGTATCTTAAAAATGACTGTTTTCCAGTTAATACAGTGAGACATTCACATTTATTCTAAACCAAGAAGGGCATTAGTATTAAATGTATTTTCCTTTTCACTGTTTTTATGTCTGTGTTCTGTTATCAGTCACTTGTCCACCTGCCCTGTGTGGTTCTGTCATGCACAATAGATAACACAAGTATCAAAGGTGTGTTTTTGATAATTGTTCTAAATAATTGACTTATTTCTCTATATTAAATTCTAGATATAGTCACCACTATGCAACTGTGTCATACAGAATGCTCAGCATTCAGCCTTTCTTGTGTATTTTTATCAAGAATATTAGAAATTTAAAAACGAGAGAGAGAGAGAGAGAGAATTAATGAATTGTTATAAATTTGCAGTTACGAAAGAGGCTTTGGTTTCTGATTAGTTCAGGAGATTTTAGTGTGACTTTGTTGATGCTATGCTAGAATGAATGAACCGTCGGACCAAAATTATACCACGGCTGAGACAAATCAAATCAATGAGAAGATATGTCCCTGAGGTGGTCTTACACAACTCTTAATTATCATGTTATACTAGTTATAAATTAAAATTGGTAAATTAGAATTATGATTATCGTTGCTAATATTTACAAATTATTCACTTCTGAATCTGGACAGTGGGTATCTAAGTGGAAGGAAAAAGTCGTCAAATGGCTTTATATGATGTATAGGGAGAAAGCTGGAGGGAAAAAATCAGATTAAAAGTAACCATCAGCATCTTTCTATTAGGTTTAAGAACTCCTAGTTTGTACAATAATACCTACCAATCTCACAATGTGGGAACCACAACGGCTTTCCATGAAGGATACGAGTGTGGATCCAGGACGAAGATAACTTTATCCTGGAAAATGCGGAATATGTTCAACCGTAATGGAGTAACGTAGATAGTTGCTGAAAGTTTTTTAAGCAGTAATTTCTATAATTTGATGATTTTACAGTAAAGTTGTTCTATTCCTAACGAGCCCCCTTTTGAGGACCTCCTGAATATAACTGCAAAAATATTCTGTTTCAGTTTTCCGTTGTGTCTGGAATCTCATTTGCTTCCAACTGTCATCCTGTTGATACAATTAGCCAAGATCTGTCTCCCAGGTTATCTTTAGGGAACCAGTGTTGATTTTTTTCCAGATCTTGAAATAAAGAACATGCTGCTGACTTGTCTTGAGATTTAATGTTTAAGCATGAATTAGTGCAAGACCACCACTAGTTAAGTGAGATTTTTGAATAGTTGACAGGGAACTTGAAAACAAAGTGGCTTGGGCACTCTTGGGGAAAAATTGAGAGAGTGGAGGTTCCTGGAAATTAAAAAGTATTTTAACTCTATTTCTCCATATTTAGGAATTTTTTAAAAAAAGTATTCAGGAACTTAATGTTTTAAGGGTATTAAGTGTTTTGAAATCCGGTAATTGCTCTTCAATTTGGTTGTCGTTTAAAATCTGGAAGTGTTTTTTTAAAAAGTTAGATTTACATCTTATGCTAATCCAATGCTTAACTTAAACTATGATTGTAGAAGTGTTTTCTAAGTTTTTTATACATAAAAAACAACAAAGAAATGAGAATAAATTAAAATCCTGAACTTCAAGAAAGGTAGTTTTTGCAACTTGAAAACAAAATGGAAACCACAATTGCAATGTGTGATTTGATGCATTTTCAACCCAATTAAGGAATCAGTCGGGTGAGCAGCTGTGAATAAGTTTGCAGGGCTATGGGGAGAGCGGGGGAATGGGATTCAAAGATCCAGCACAGATACGATGGGCCAGATCGCCTCCTTCTGAGCTGTACAATTCTATGATTCTATGTTAACATTTTTTAAAATGCTGTCATTTTTGCACAACTGCCAACAACAATTTGCATTTATATCACGTCCTTTATGCAGGTCGCGTACCAGAGCGCTTATTTATAAGATTAGCAAGCATTTTGTATGTTTTTAAAAAACAATCTCATCTATATGTTTGATCATGTCAGTGTCATAATACAAGATCAAATAAACACTGCTGTAATAGTGATTTGTTCCCTTCAATGTGTTGGAAGATGGTAGACAACCATTGTAACAGTGTAAGGGCATAAATCATATGAGCAGTAAGTCAGGTTAGCACTGTAATTGAGAGGAAAATTATAAAACTCATTTGTTGTAAAACATGGAGAATAAACAAATCTCTTGTGAAATTAATGTCATTAATAGCTAGTGTCTATTAAGGCACACTATGTCTCATTCTGCTTCAAGAAATTGTCTAGGGATTATCCAGTATGTTTTCAATTAGTAAATAATCCCAGATCAGTGCAATTTCACTTCATTTCCTTCAGAAAAAAAATCAACCGGGGTTATAGAACATGAAACATCATGAGTTCTAAATATTTTTACAAAGCTGAATGCTGATAAGCGGAAGTGGCCAAATTACCATGGTGATAACGGAAATTAATGATAAATGGCTTTTTTCACTGTTAGGCATAAAGGTGCCTAGGGTACTCAGAGGGAATATATTAATACACAGTAGTTTAAGGTGCTTGGGTAGATTTTCTGTTTGCTTTGGATTTTAAAACCATTGAACATGCACGTTAAATGATTGGCAGAGTCCCTCTGTGCTGAAGAGGTAACATTTGATTAATTACAGTTGGACATTTCCTTTTTACCCAAATAAATTGCACTCACTATGCAGGAGAAATATGCTTTATGGGAAGGACATTCCTTAAACGTTCAATTAGAGCTCACTGATTATTTGCAAGGTTTTTAAAACTTTGTACAAGATTACTTTGAGGGTAAGTTTACAGATACCTTAATGTATGCTTTTGTAATGCTATGATTCATTCTTTGAAAGTAGTGCTACTTTAAGTTAATACCTACAGTTAATGTACCTCCTTGTCAAATGCTCATAAATCATATTCGAATTTATCTTAAGCCACACACATTCATTCCACTCTGAAAAATCGGACATTATTATACTAAATATAAGCAGAAATAATCTTCAAAGCAGTAAAATTATACTGACTGAACTGCATGAATTACTAACTGGAATTACCCTTTGTTATGTCTTATTGAAAATATATCGGCAGCACATTTTGGTATGATATGACAAATAACGTGGGTGATAATTATCACATCTTCCTCCTCTCCTCCCCGCACCCCATCTCCCCTCATTGTGCTTGTTTCATATAGATGTGCCATTCTGATTATGCCATGGTATCAATGTGTTTGAATGCAAGATTGATAAATCTGATGTAATAAATACAGACAACTCTTAAGAACCTATTCAATTGATTGCAAAGAACTATTAGCATAAAGAACAACAAATACCTGGAAGTAATTACAAAACGGTAATCTTGTCAGGTGGTTCAGAGAATGAAGTTTATGTGTTCTACAACCATCATCTGAACCCTGAGATGAGGTTACATTAGTCTTTTAATCACTTCCACATTACCATCAATTTTTATATATGCTGTACTATTGAGTTTCTGGAAGTGTTTTTATTCTACCTCTATTATATCTTTTCTCCAAGATTATCGCATTGTAATTATCTTGTTTACTGGGAAATGACATTAATAGTTATGGTAGAACAGATACAATTAGTCATTCAATTCATGGCTATCTGTGGGACACTGTTGCGCACAAATTGGCTGCTGTATTCGCCTTCAAAATACAGTTTATAAAAACTTTGAAGTGCTTTAGAGATGTTCTCCACATTATATCAAATGCCCAGATTATCATTTTATATGAAGAAACTTGATCTAATGTCATGTAGAAGATTTTTCAAAACTTATCAGTGTAAAAAGGACAAATATAGGTGTTTTCTGGCGTTTAAAAAAAAGTTCAAACGTAAGTTTTGGGGGATTAGCAGTCATAAATGAAACTGGATATAATGTAATTTATATAAATTATATTATGTGCATATTTCTTTTGTACAAAGGGCTACGTATACACTTTTCAAAAACTAATCAGACAATTCTCAAGGCTTGGCCACGTACAGCAACATGGCAAGATAATAATTTTTCACTTAACAAAATATTTCATTGATTAGAGTTCACTTGTCCAACTTCCAACTTACTCCTTGCTTAGCATATGGTAGACGAAAGAGTTTTCCAATTTTCACAAGAACGTCTGGGGTAAATAAATATTGTATCATTTCCTCTGATGGCTTCTTTATTTGTCTAGTACCTTGATTACCTTGTACAATCTCAATGGCACTACCTTTCTTAAGAAAGGAAATTAATTTGTATTTATACATGTGAAAGCACATATGCTATATAATCACAACCACCTGAACTCTATTCCCATTCACTTTTATTGCACTCACAATTTGAAATATTTCCAGGTTTTGGTTAATGAGGCATTTAAACAGGAAACAATGATAACTGGGAATTCAACAAAGTTGTACTCATTTCTGATGCAATGGTTGTTGCATGCAGACGTCTCTCGAGATGCAAAGATGGAAAAAAAANGCGATGGATAATGTTTCGTTTTACTCAATAAGTTTAAAATTAAGGGTTGAAACGGTGGTTGGAATATTTTTTTCAACAATGCGTTTACATTTGAGTAGCCTGTTTCCTTATAGTGAAATGACCCTTAAGGTTGCTTTACAAACATTGTTTAACTATTAGAAAGCTGAACGTGTAAATGGCAGTCTACCAATTATCCACATTGCATAACATACAACCTACAAAATACTGTACTTGTGTCAAAGAATGCCAAGTGTGGAAAGCACAGAAAGGTCTGAGCAGGTTTTAAAATCAAATGCTGATAATTCAGCTGAGTTAAAGCAATGGTCTCCACAGTCTTGCATTTAATCTTGAACGCCTAAATTCTTCTTATGATCAATAAAATCTATTATTATTAATGTGGGAAAAAGAGTGTTTTGTTTCTTTTGTTGACACACTTAGCTCGAGGGAAACGTGCTTGGGAAGGGAATATCAGCATTGAGTCAGCCTCTGGTTTCCTGAACCGAATGGGTCCACAGTTCTCTAAAGCACCGCTAGTGACAGGCCAGCCAGCCTGGCGCATCGGCAGGATCTGGGGGCAAATGTTATGTCTTAAAGACCCCCCAAAATGGAGCTTGAACCTACAACCTTCTGACTCAGGTGAGAGTGCTGCCAACTGACACAGACTGATACTGGAATATTCCCAGATTTCTCTAATAAAATAACTCGTATTTATTCTCCCACCACCCCCCGCCATACACCCACCCAGGAAATCCTCCCCATTTGGTGGTATTACTGAATATATATGTATTATATATGTAGTATTCTTGAATTAATATGAGCTTATTTTCAAATGAGTACGTGTTTTTGATATTACTATATATAATAATAATAATAATAATCCTTGCATTTGATATAGCGCTTTTCACGTCGGGAGGACGTCCCAAAGCGCTTCACAGAACACACTGTAAAGTGAATTGACTGTATATTTGTGGGCGAACGCGGCAGCCAATTGCGCACAGCAATGTCCCACAAACAGTCGTAGATTGAAAATGACCAATTTAATTATTGTTTTTGGTTTTTTGGAGGGATTATTATTAGGCTCTGTGTGGAGTAAGGAAACTTGCCCAAGGTTTCACCCTGCCTGGAATTGAACTCAGGTCTCTCACTTGCAAAGCGAGTGCTCTAACCACTGAGCTACAGGACTCCACTACAGTAATATCAAAAACACTCATTTGAAAATAAGCACATATTAATTCAAGAATACTGCATATGTTTTACCATTAGAATACAACTATTCTAAAGGTAAAAAAATCCCTTGAAAAAACATTTTCAAAAAAATAATAATTTGGTCACTCAATCCACGACTGTTTGTGGGACACCGCTGTGCGCAATTGTCTGCCGTGATTCGCGTGATTCCCAAAATATCTGGTCACTACACTTTACTGTATATTCTGCGAAGCGCTTTGAGACGTCTCAGAGACATGATAATAATACTAATCCTTGCATTTGATATAGCGCTTTTCACGTCGGGAAGACGTCCCAAAGCGCTTCACAGAACACATTGTAAAGTGAATTGACTGTATATTTGTGGGCGAACGCGGCAGCCAATTGCGCACAGCAATGTCCACAAACAGTCGTGGATTGAAAATGACCAATTTATTATTGTTTTTGGTTTTGGAGGGATTATTATTAGGCTCTGTGTGGAGTAAGGAAACTTGCCCAAGGTTTCGCCCTCTGCCTGGAATTGAACTCAGGTCTCTCACTTGCAAAGCGAGTGCTCTAACCACTGAACTACAGGACTCTGATGCCAAATGCACGGATTATTATTTTATTTTAATACACCTCACACTGACTTGTTTCCAAGCCTTCAAAAACAAATAATAATAATAATAATAATAATCCGCGCGTGTGATAATAGCGCCTCATTCGGGGTCTCTGAGACGTCTCAAATCGCGTCACGGAATATGTGGTATCCTGAAGCTCAGTGGTCAGAGCACTCGCCTCGCAAGAGACCTGGGATCGAATCCCGTCAGGGGGCGAAACCTTGGGCAAGTTTCCTCACTCCCACACGCCTGATAACAATCCCTCAAGAAAAAGAAACGAAACAATAATAAATTGGTCATTTCAATCCACGACTGTTTGTGGGACACTGCTGTGCGGAATTGGCTGCCGCGTTCGCCCACAAATACGCAGTCAATTCACTTTACAGTATATTCTGCGAAGCGCTTTGAGGCGCATAGAAGATGTGAAAAGAGTCCTGTAGCTCAGTGGTTAGAGCACTCGCTTTGCAAGTGAGAGACCTGAGTTCAATCCCAGGCAGAGGGCGAAACCTTGGGCAAGTTTCCTTACTCCACACAGAGCCTAATAATAATCCTCCAAAACCAAAAACAATAATAAATTGGTCATTTTCAATCCACGACTGTTTGTGGGACATTGCTGTGTGCAATTGGCTGCCGCGTTCGCCCACAAATATACAGTCAATTCACTTTACAGTGTGTTCTGTGAAGCGCTTTGGGACATCCTCCCGACGTGAAAAGCGCTATATCAAAGGCAAGGATTATTATTATTAAAAGCTGCCGTATCAAACGCAAGGATTATTTTTTATCGTGATTACACTGCAAAGTGAATTTCAATAGTAAGGTGAAACAGTTTGGGGGCACAGCGCTCTCCGGCACCACCTCCCCAGTGTGTTTCCAGTGGTGCCATGTGAACCACCTCTGGTCTCTTGGCTGCAGTCCCACTGGGGGGCTTCAGTGCGAAGGGCGGAACCAGAAATGTGCGGACCAGAGTGTCCGGGCGCTGGCGCCGACCCGGACCACAAAGCCGGTGGCACTGACAAGCCGGTTGCCCCTGGCAACCCCGACGGCGGCATTTAAAGAGCCAACCGCGACACCCACCAGCAGGTAACATACACCCACCAGCAGGGAACATGCACCCACCAGCAGGTAACATACACCCACCAGCAGGGAACATACACCCACCAGCAGGGAACATACACCCACCAGCAGGTAACATGCACCCACCAGCAGGTAACATACACCCACCAGCAGGGAACATGCACCCACCCACCAGCAGGGAACATGCACCCACCAGCAGGTAACATACACCCACCAGCAGGTAACATACACCCACCAGCAGGGAACATACACCCACCAGCAGGTAACATACACCCACCAGCAGGGAACATACACCCACCAGCAGGGAACATGCACCCACCCACCAGCAGGTAACATACACCCACCAGCAGGGAACATACACCCACCAGCAGGTAACATACACCCACCAGCGGGTAACATACACCCACCAGCAGGTAACATACACCCACCAGCAGGTAACATGCACCCACCAGCAGGGAACATACACCCACCAGCAGGGAACATACACCCACCAGCAGGGAACATGCACCCACCAGCAGGGAACATGCACCCACCAGCAGGTAACATACACCCACCAGCAGGTAACATACACCCACCAGCAGGTAACATACACCCACCAGCAGGGAACATGCACCCACCAGCAGGGAACATACACCCACCAGCAGGGAACATACACCCACCAGCAGGTAACATGCACCCACCCACCAGCAGGGAACATGCACCCACCAGCAGGTAACATACACCCACCAGCAGGTAACATGCACCCACCAGCAGGTAACATGCACCCACCAGCAGGTAACATACACCCACCAGCAGGTAACATACACCCACCAGCAGGTAACATGCACCCACCAGCAGGTAACATGCACCCACCAGCAGGGAACATACACCCACCAGAAGGGAACATACACCCACCAGCAGGTAACATACACCCACCAGCAGGTAACATACACCCACCAGCAGGTAACATACACCCACCAGCAGGGAACATTCACCCACCAGCAGGGAACATACACCCACCAGCAGGGAACATGCACCCACCAGCAGGGAACATGCACCCACCAGCAGGGAACATACACCCACCAGCAGGGAACATACACCCACCAGCGGGTAACATGCACCCACCAGCAGGTAACATACACCCACCAGCAGGTAACATGCACCCACCAGCAGGGAACATACACCCACCAGCAGGGAACATACACCCACCAGCAGGTAACATACACCCACCAGCAGGTAACATACACCCACCAGCAGGTAACATGCACCCACCAGCAGGGAACATGCACCCACCAGCAGGGAACATGCACCCACCAGCAGGTAACATGCACCCACCAGTAGGGAACATGCACCCACCAGCAGGTAACATACACCCACCAGCAGGGAACATACACCCACCAGCAGGGAACATACACCCACCAGCAGGTAACATACACCCACCAGCAGGTAACATACACCCACCAGCAGGGAATATTCACCCACCAGCAGGTAACATACACCCACCAGCAGGGAACATGCACCCACCAGCAGGTAACATGCACCCACCAGCAGGTAACATGCACCCACCAGCAGGTAACATGCACCCACCCACCAGCAGGTAACATACACCCACCAGCAGGTAACATACACCCACCAGCGGGTAACATACACCCACCAGCAGGTAACATACACCCACCAGCAGGTAACATGCACCCACCAGCAGGGAACATACACCCACCAGCAGGGAACATACACCCACCAGCAGGGAACATGCACCCACCAGCAGGGAACATGCACCCACCAGCAGGTAACATACACCCACCAGCAGGTAACATACACCCACCAGCAGGTAACATACACCCACCAGCAGGGAACATGCACCCACCAGCAGGGAACATACACCCACCAGCAGGGAACATACACCCACCAGCAGGTAACATGCACCCACCAGCAGGGAACATGCACCCACCAGCGGGTAACATGCACCCACCCACCAGCAGGGAACATGCACCCACCAGCAGGTAACATACACCCACCAGCAGGTAACATGCACCCACCAGCAGGTAACATGCACCCACCAGCAGGTAACATACACCCACCAGCAGGTAACATACACCCACCAGCAGGTAACATGCACCCACCAGCAGGTAACATGCACCCACCAGCAGGGAACATACACCCACCAGAAGGGAACATACACCCACCAGCAGGTAACATACACCCACCAGCAGGTAACATACACCCACCAGCAGGGAACATTCACCCACCAGCAGGGAACATACACCCACCAGCAGGGAACATGCACCCACCAGCAGGGAACATGCACCCACCAGCAGGGAACATACACCCACCAGCAGGGAACATACACCCACCAGCGGGTAACATGCACCCACCAGCAGGTAACATACACCCACCAGCAGGTAACATGCACCCACCAGCAGGGAACATACACCCACCAGCAGGGAACATACACCCACCAGCAGGTAACATACACCCACCAGCAGGTAACATACACCCACCAGCAGGTAACATGCACCCACCAGCAGGGAACATGCACCCACCAGCAGGGAACATGCACCCACCAGCAGGTAACATGCACCCACCAGTAGGGAACATGCACCCACCAGCAGGTAACATACACCCACCAGCAGGGAACATACACCCACCAGCAGGGAACATACACCCACCAGCAGGTAACATACACCCACCAGCAGGTAACATACACCCACCAGCAGGGAATATTCACCCACCAGCAGGTAACATACACCCACCAGCAGGGAACATGCACCCACCAGCAGGTAACATGCACCCACCAGCAGGTAACATGCACCCACCAGCAGGTAACATGCACCCACCAGCAGGGAACATGCACCCACCAGCAGGTAACATGCACCCACCAGCAGGTAACATGCACCCACCAGCAGGTAACATACACCCACCAGCAGGGAACATACACCCACCAGCAGGGAACATACACCCACCAGCAGGGAACATACACCCACCAGCAGGTAACATACACCCACCAGCAGGTAACATACACCCACCATCAGGGAACATACACCCACCAGCAGGGAACATACAACCACCAACAAGTAACATACACCCACCAACAGGTAACACACAACTACCAACAGGAAACATACAACCACATCAACCACCAACATGTAACATACAACCAGCAACAGGTAACATACAACCACCAATAACCTCCTCCAGATTGGTTACCAACATTTCCAGAATAATTGACCCGGAAGGAACCCATAAAATTAACAACTATTTACCCTGGATAGGTTTCAAGACATTTATCAATATTAAGATTTAGGCAGCGGTTAGAGCAACTCAGGCTTTACTTTTGTAGTTTAATATTGTGTGGGTAACATACCAATCATAATTGGACTGTTACATTAGTCATGCCTAGTTTCCATTATTCAATTGAATATCAGAATTTGATCCAACATAAAATACCAGTGTCTCTTTTATACCAGTGTCCCGCTTTGTTTCCATGTCCTGCCTTGGGCTCTACACTATCTTACCTGTCAAATGTTATAATCAAAAAACTTATGAATTTCATTTCTCAGTGTGAATGTTAGAACTGTAATTGCAAATTCTTATACTCGTCATAGTATATACCACAATATAGATGTTTTCCTTTCTGTAGTGATATGTCAACGTTTGTCAGTTGAGAACATTCTCAATCTGAGTTAGAAGCTTATAGGTTCAAACCTAATGTTGGGATTTTGAGCTCACAAACACTGCTGGAGGAGCACTGGAGCTGCTATCCTGGAGATGAGACGTTGAATCAAGATGGACGTTAAAGATCCCATGGCACTATTCGAAAAGTGAAGAGTTTTTCCCAGTGTCTTGGCCAACAAATCCCCAAAATAAAATTGTGCATTCAATTCTTGTCTGTTTGTAGGACGTGACTGTCTTCAAATTGGCAGTTCCATTCACTTAGGCAGTCACTACACTTTGCAGTAAAATCCTGAGACGTCCTCCCTAAGTGAAATATCAAATGCAAGGATTATTATTGTTGTCATTTAAAATTATAGCCTAGAATGTGAGAAATGAGCCTGAATCAACCTGAACGCAATGCTTTACTGTGGTTAGAAGTGAAGAACCGATTAAAAGGTAATTATAGCTACTGTTGGTATGACTAAAATGTCAACTGGTTGATGAATTGACTGTGCAATAGGCTTTTGTAAATACTACACTGTACGTCTTTGATACAAAATAATTTGTTAGGTTTGGCAATAAAAACAGAAGAAAAAGATTAAAGTAATTGAAAAATTTAAAAGTGGCTATTACACAGACATTTAATCAATTAGTTACATTGACATTTTAATCACTATTTGCAGTCGCTGTCAGAATCTGCTTCTACAATGATCATAAATAGTCCATACTTTTACTTCCAACCGCGTGAAAGAAAATTATTTTTCCGTTCATGTTTATTTCTGGCACAAATGGATTACATATTTATTTTATGAGCCAAAAGCCTTTTTTTTAAAAAAAGTCTTCAGTAAAAGTATATTTGTTGTCTTGTGTTTAATTTGACATGCATTTTCTTTTATTTCTTAAATTAGGTTTCACAAAATTCAGTTTGGCTCTCTTTTGGAAATATTCAAGATTTTAAAACTCAAATCAACAGTGTGAACTGGAATTGTTGCAACTTTGTTTTGGATTTCATTAACATTTGCTATATAAAAAAATGGTTCGGCTTACAATTGATGTAATTGCCAAAAATAGTCTTCATGTAAAGAACAGAAGAGCTGAACCACTGGGACAGTATCTGAAAAAATTGACTCATCTGAATTTTTCTGACAAGAACATTGATGAAATTGTAAGTTTACTTAATTGATTTAGAGATTCAATGTCAGATCTTTCAGTGCTTGATTATTGCTTGTGTTTCAAATTTATTCCAATTTCTTTACATTAATGTAAGTGCTTATAGCAATCTAAGGTTCTCAGACAGTAAGTCCAGTCACGATTGAGTTCAGGAGTCAAAATAGATAAAAGGTCTGATATGATATTGTTATGGCACAGATACCCTTCAGCAATTTTTGTAAGAATTAAGTAATACAGTACTTAAAATGGAGAGACATGCAGCATCCAATTGCGCGCAGCAGTGTCCCCCAGACAATCGTGGAATGAGTGACTAAATTATTATTATTTTTGAAGGGATTATTACCACCGGAAAAGCAATCCACCTATCGACTAACAACCACGTTCCTACTTACTGCTAGGTGAACAGGGGCATGTGGAGTAAGGAAACTTACCCAATGTTTCACCCTGCCCGGGAATCTAATCCAGATCCTCTTGTTTGCGAGGCGAGGGGTCTAACCTCCAAGCTACAAGTCTCCAATATACAGAACTTAATAATAAAAACAAAGCACACAAATCATTTTCACGAATGAGGCTTCATGTTTATTCAGTGTTCAATGCAGATAGATTCCATTCAAGGACAACATATCTTCCTCACCACTTGATTAAGATGTCAATCCTCGGCAAATCGACCTTTTGACAGGTGCCATTTTTAATGTTGGCATTTTTTTTCGGCATCCTTCTTACATGGGCTCTTACTTGGTAGGTCGCTTGCTGAGGATGCTTCTTCCGATGCTTCTTCCTACTACCTAAGTTGAGGCGCCTCATGTGTCCCCTTCGGCAGGAAAACTTTGGTATGCACGGCTTCATGACTTGAGTTCCTTCAAAACCCTTACTTCACTAGTATTGTTTGATATTCTGCTATGCCTTACAGGCAATTTTATATGTGGCATGTCCATTATGATGCAAGCCATTTTTGTAAGGTCATGCCTTATCAAGTCATTACACTCATGTCTTGAGACCACTGCCATATGAGATAGGCCAAAAATTGTGGGGCATTTGGCAAATCTTGTGGGAAATTGCAGAGGGCTGATTGGTGCTATTGAGAGACGCATTTCTTAAAACAAGCCGGATTAAAACTATAGGCATATATTTCCTGAACCTGTAGTTATGTTTAAAATACTAAAATACTAAGAATTTTAGTTTGAATAGTACAGCCCTTACCAAGAATTGATGGCAGGAGCTCAGTTTAGGCCGGGCACTGGGCAAAGCCAGTTTCCCTCTAACGCCGCTTCCGCAATCCCACGCATGAACGACTGGATCCGCTCCGCCCACAGTAGCAGCCGTCGAGCAAACAGCACAAGAGGCCCAGGGGCTAACACACTGTGTGTACAGATTTGTAGCAGAGGGGGTTGTTTGTAGCAGATTCCCTAGAGTGAGGCTGCACTTTTGTATTTGCCCAGTTGATGACCACAAATGCATTCACAACACCCGAGAAGGCACATTGGTCTTCAGTGAACAGTTGTGTTTCCTGATATGCATTGGAACTACTCTATTGAAGGAAAACAATGGTACGAGGCGGCCACGGAATGCGCTCCTACTTTCAAGGAGAATATCCTTAATGGTTCAGGTCAAGATAGTCTTGATTTCGCAGGTGCAATGCACAAATAAAACTGGCACTTTATATAACTATAAAAGTTTGAGTAGCCTTTCTGTGTGCAGATAAAAAACTCTCAACCACTGAATGAAGCTCATGCATTATTAATGATTGTGTAATCTATGCTTGGATACTGTATGTTTCATAAGTGATGACTGGTTTTTCAGCACAATGCAAGATATTGTTTAGCAATAAAATATTTTACTTTATATGGAATGCACTGCTGTTTGTGCGTTAAGTCAATTATTGCCACTGCAGCTGCCTCTCTTGCATGTTACCTGCATGTGTTCTATTCCATTTGTTTTTCAAAAATAATGTTTGCTTTTTTATTTCAGGATGACCTCTCTGTATGCAAGAACCTATCTGTTTTGTATTTATATGACAACAGCATCAAAGAGATTCGTAATTTAGGCTGCATCTCTAATCTCACTCATCTTTATCTGCAGAATAATAATATAAGCCATATCGAAAATCTTTCTTTATTGGAAAAACTCACCAAATTGTAAGTCAATGCTTATTTCTTTTTTAAATAGAGAGTGAAAGTAGCAAAAATGATATGTGCTCAAAGATAAATACGGTTAACACAAATTAATTTAAATATTTATAATATAGAAAGTATTCCTCTCACAAGGAATGTTGTTTGTGCTGATCCGTGGTTGACCCACCGTATTAGTTCAGTGACGTTCATTTTTCTTGGTACCCGGTTAGTTTTAGAAAGGTAAAATATTGATTTCTTGAGCATAGCAGATGAGAGTATAGGAAACAAAACATTTCTCTGGTTTGTTCCCGATTAGAAGAATTCAAATTCTGATTAGATTTTATATCCAATAAATATGTGAAATTTACAAAATTAGTACTGAGCTGTGTTTCCACATTGTTATGGACTTCAAAGAGAAATATGAGGTTTAAAACCTAAAATTAGATCATTAGAAACTTCAGAAAATGTATTCGTGGGTAGATTTCTCTCTGAGATGGCAGTAATGAGTTAACAATAATAGTCATTGTACTTGTATCTGTGCAGCGTTCCTTTCTAGTGTGGCAACTGAGAATATAAGGCATATATGATCATTTTTGTCATACAGGTATCTAGGTGGTAACCGCATCTCTGTTGTCGAGGAGCTGGATGGTTTAACAGAACTCAGGGAACTTCATCTGGAGAATCAACAACTTCCTCTTGGAGAAAAGCTCCTGTTTGATCCTAGGACTCTCCAGAGTCTGTCGGTAAACAACAGCTACAATTTATTTTGATACATTAACTGTTCGTAGATACCGTAACAATATGATCTATATATCTTAATAAAAATGTCTTTCTACAGATTAGACATTCAGAGCCATGTGACTCCATATTGAAATGTTCTGTCCAAAATTCTTTATAAATGATGTTTTGTTCAGAACTTTGATACGCATAATTTGGAAATGTTTTGTCAGGTGTTTATGGTGATGTGATGCAGATTTCCAAATGATCATCTCTGGCACCTCTGGATAGGTCCATCTCTGGGGACCTATTTGTCCTCTTAGGTTTCTACCACAAGATTTCATTTGTACTAGCTACTCAAACCATTGCCCCAAGGATTATTCTCATGTCACAAAAGAGCAAAAAGAATATTGATATTGGGCTTCAGAGTCTCTGGAGAATAACCACATCTGAGAGATTCTCTCTTTATTTCCTAATGTTTTGTTTTCTTGACTGTAAAGACATGGAATTTCTAATGGAGATTTGGGAAGGTATTTCATGTTTCGTGTAGAAATTCAAATTGTATTATTAGTTTTCTGATCTTGAATAGATAAGGACAATAAAACAAATGTTTAAATCAATTTTCACCAATAAGTACCCCTTTTCTTTGTGTAAAAATCAGCTGATGCAACATTTAATTATTAATATAATAACCTTAATGTTCCTTATGAATATCTCACTGGTGAGTCAGTTTTTGGCATAAAGCAATGTTATTTGCAATTGTGGGTGCCCTACTTTCATAATAATAATGATACATTTAGAAAGTTAAGAGAAAAGCAGTGAGGATAATTCTAGATTTAAGGCATTAACTTGTGGGGAAAGTTTGTTTTCATTAGAGAAAAGGAAATTGAGGTGTGTTTTAAGTCTTTAAAAGGCTAAGAAATATGGATAATATGGATATTATTTGTCTTAGACTGTGAGTTAAAAACTGGAGGAAATAGGGTTCAATAGAACAAACTCAAGTGTCAGATTAATGCACCATTGAGTTATGCCATTGAGGCACCATATAATAAAAGAAAAAGTTTCCCTCACAATCCAAATGTTATTTTCTGAACATCAACTGTAGATTATCATTGATTAATAAACCTGACGTGATTCATTTGTATATTATGAATATACTGTGAAATTGTCATCAGATTTCTACAATCCAATGGCCTGTTGTCATTCACTACCAAGGCCCACAAACGAACAATGGCCACTTGGCAGGGTAGTGGAGGGCAATCAGTGCCTGTGAAACTGCACTCCAGCGAGCGAAGGCCAGAGAGGCAAATGCCACTGTGGAAAAAATTAGAAAAATAATTGGATGTACTAAAAAAACATTAAAAAGAAAATGTTATCACTATCAGTACCTCATCTCATATTCAAGCTCCATCTAAGACCAACCTCTTTGACCGACCAGGCTTTTGGTCATCTTTCCCTCCCAGCCCTCTCCTCATACCCCACCCCTCGCTTGAGTGCCAATCTGGGCTTGTTAAGCACCTTGGGATATCCTCCTGACATGGAAGGCACTATATACTGTAAATTTGTATTTTATTGTTTTGCTAACAATTGAAAGACTTTAAATATAATTGTGTACATTTGTCAAAAAGTATTTTTTGTAAAAAAAAAGGATAATTGATCTTGAGAAGATCTGTGACTGGCAATTGTTCCTAATTATCTACTATCTCTGTTTAATGTGATTAATAAAATTATTAATATTGACATTATGAATTTACATGTGTTGATGGTTACCATTGACAAACATTCTGCTAGAAGCCTAATTGTGTGGTTCATACAGCAAAATATAAAAATATGAGAAACAAATAAATGTTTATTTGTAGAGTAAATGGTGACTTTAAAAAGTAACAAACCATGTTTAATGTAGTGTACAGTAATTATTGATTCTTATCTATGCAGAAATCGTTAAGTCTTTTGAATGTCAAGAAAAATAACATTGATGAGATTAAACAATTATCTTGTCTTAAGAACCTGAATCAGTTAATGGCGGGAGAAAATCAGATTCAAGATCTAAAGGTAAACTTTCTTCTTATAAAACAAGAAAAAGGACATCTTAAAGCAAGTCTTCAAGTTTTTTTTAATACCATTACTTTATCCACCAACATTTTCAAAAAAATCACATTTATACAATCTCTGTACATTATTGATTGAATATATTGGATCAGAAAAGATAAATTCATTCTCCTTACAATTTAGTCAGGAACAAGAGAAACATTATAGATTTTCTTAAATAGATTATGACAGTCAGTCAGCAGGTTGACAAATTGGTGCCTGCAGATGCAGTTAACACAGTTGAGCTCGACAGGGAGGATAAAGATTGGAGCACTGTGGTCAAATACAGGTTCATAACTGGTCATCATTAAATGAAGAAAAGCCTGCCACAGTGTCTACTGAGCCAGTCGATGTTCATGCCTTGAATATAATTTGCTCTTGAGCATTTTGTGGCAGACCTCTGAGTGATGAGTATGACATGATCATTTATCAAAGCAGAAGAGGCCACTAAAGTGAGTCCCTTTAGAACTGATTATCGAATGGTTGGAAAATGGAACCACTTTATTAGAGGCAGGAAGGCAATGAACAATCAGACAAGTCCAAAGGGTAATCATATTTCCACTAGGACTAATGGTCTCTTAGATAAACACTCTATTTGAGACTATCTTGGCCTAAAACTGAGTGACTTGTCAGTTAAATCAGTCAAGCACCTCCAGGTAGGCTTTTCAAAGATGAGTGAGTAAATTACCTTTTTTAAAAATATATATTTTTTCATTATTGAAACCTACAAAGTTAAATAAAAAATGGATTTGTGGTCTGTGAATATACTTGCAAAATGTAAGAATTTATGGTTAAACCTTGTACATAAAGAACATAAGAACATAATAAATGCTAGACAAAAGAAGACCAAGGTCCATCTAGTTCGCCTTCCACCTTCCTGGCAGTCACATGCACAAATGACCTATGTACTATATCCCATAATGTTATTCCCTAAAAGAATACTAATCTGTGAAAGAATCAACACTTTCTGCTTCAACCGTCTCCCTTGGGAGCTGGTTCCACAGGTTCACTATTCGCTCACTGAAATAGTGTTTGCGTAGATTTGTTCTGAATTTACCCCCTTCAATGGCAAGCTGTGTCCTCTGCTTTTCTATTCTGGACAAGTTGAAAGATTGATAATTATTTTAGCTATTAATTAAATATTTTGCATAACGAGCTCATAGAAAACTTTAGAGAACAAATAGAAATAATCCTTATATTTAATATAGCACCTTTCGCGTTGGTAGGACATCTCAAAGAACTTCACATGATAAACTGTAAAGTGGAGTGACTGTGTATCTTATGAATGAATGCAGCAACAAATTTGCGCACAGCCATGAGGTGAATGATCAATTTAATTTGGGAGTTTGTTGGCCAGAACAATGGGAGAAACTCCCTTCTCTTTTTAAATAGTGCTATCGAATCTTTAACATCCACCTGAACAGGCAGATAAGATCTCAGTTGAACGTCTCAACCAAAGGACAGCACCTCCAATAATGCAGCAGGTGCATAATAATATTAATAATAATAATAATCCTTGCAGTTGATATAGAGCTTTTCACGTCTTCTAGACGTCTCAAAGCGCTTCACAGAATATGCTGTAAAGTGAATTGACTGAATATTTGTGGGCGAAATGCAGCAGCCAATTGTGCACAGCAGTGTCCCACAAACTGTCGTGGATTGAAATTTATTATTGTTTTTTTTGAGGGACTATTATCAGGCTTGTGGAGCAATAAAACTTGCCCAAGGTTTCACCCTGCCGGGAATCAAACCCAGGTCTCTCGCTTGCAAAGCCAGCACTCTAACCACAGAGCTACATGTACTGCATTGAAGTGTCGGCATAGACTATATGAGTTCCAAGTCCTCATGTCAGGCTTCAACCTATCTTCCGATTCAGAGGCAAGAGTGCTACCAACCGAGCCCCTGACATGCATTTATAATGTATAGAGGAACAATGAATGGAAATAAATCACATTGTAACTTATTGAGAACTTAATGAGCCAATGAATTTGGATATTTAATCATTCCTTTATTCACACATTCAGGAACTGGAATATACACTGAGCCAGTGGCAAAACCTCTGGTATCTGGATCTGACTGGAAACCCTGTATGCCAGGAACCAAAATACAGAGATAAAGTAATAGTGGTGTCTTCAAACCTTGGTAAGGAAAGATTGCTTGGTTGTTTCAATATCCACAGATAAATAAATGTAGGCTTCCATTTTAGTACAAACATTCAGTATGGAATGAACTATGAAGTGTTGTTCTTATTATATGAAAAAATCATGCTTTTTTCAATTCTTATAGTTTTCATATCCTTATTCTTGGTCCGTAGAAAATTAGATTATTTATAGATCTAAGAAAACTGAATAGAAGTAGCTACTGTTTATTTAGCACAGAGCAAAGAATATGTTAATAAATAGGTTTGGTATAGTCACAAAAATATGCTCTCCCCAGTTATATGTGACATTCGGTGAAATGTTTCCCACTGCATTGAGACTTTCATGCAGATGCTAAATAATATTACGAACAGCAGCTTAATGTAGTATACATTTCCAGCCACCCAGATGGTAGTGTTATGTTTGCATACATTTCTCAACAAACCAGGAATGCAGAATAAACAGAAAATAACAATGCCTGAATTCATAAAGATTTTATACAATATTCAAGAAAAACTCACCAGTGATAATAAAATAAAGTCAAAATAAAGTGACTGTATTTCAAAAAACCATTCAGTTAAAAAATGTGACAGTTAGATTGCCCTAAATCTTACATACTTACCTTTGACATTTCAATTAGGTCAGTCAGAAAATAATTCAGTTAGTCAGTTAATATAATTTATGGAATAATCAATCAGTGTTGATGACAGTTCAGAATTCTGGGGTAGTTGATAGTCGACACACACCTTAGTTAAATTCATTCAAAGTTCTATGTATTTTTTTCACCAATTCAATTTTCCAAATTTTGTTCCCCATCGTCTTCTATGGTTTCTGTTACTCTTTTCAATTTTGTCTCCTTCCCTTTTTTGTTCTCCTGATGTTTTATTCACCCCATATCGCTTTTGATTTCATTATTTACAATGTGACCCCAGTCTGTGAGACGCTTTACATGCCGTATTTATACTATATATGTGGCAACAAATTAGGCACATTCTGTTACAGTTTCTTTAATTTTCTTCCATCCTTGGCTAATTAGCTCTTAATAACATTAAAAAAAACACATGTGTTCAGGTGTTCTGAATATTCTGAAGATGCAGAATGCCAATTCAACGCACGTGCAATAGGAAGACTAAAATCTGGCTTAATACTCTACATTTCTGGACTGCTTTCAATTCAAACCGAATAAATACAGTAAGAGAGGCAGTTAAGTGCATAAGGAAGACCCAGGTTTGAATTGTAGTCTAACAGCAAGACAGCTGCAAAAAGAGGACTTCTCAATTTCAGGAGTATTTGTTACTAAGAGTTGTTTTGTCAATCAATAGTTTACCCCAAGGCTCAATGTTAGGATAAGGCCTCAACATGTTTTATGTGCCTGTCCAAATTAATCATGGATTAACACAATTATCTCATTTTAATTCTTTCTTTTTTCTTTCTTCATCCAACAACCTTATCTTTCTATCATTCATTTTATCCCCCTCATGAGGAAGTTGAAGAATCTCAATGAACACTGTAAAAGAAACATATAATGCTAAAAATGGGTAGTCAGTCATTCACCTTATTAACTATGATAGCTTTCTTGAGTTGTTGCTTGTCTCCAGTTAATCCCTCTTTATAATAATTTAGAGGCTTCCTCTTTATCTACAGAGGTTCTTGATGAGAAGGAAGTAAAAGATACAGCCAGACAATTTCTACTGAACTGGAAAGCTTGCCGAGATGCCAAGAAGAAAAGCCTAGATGAAAAAAGTGACAAGGATGAATTCCAACAAATGTTAAGTAAGTACAGTATCTTTTTAATCAAGAAATCTAGATGATGGACCAAGGCTCAGAGTTATGGGCACTGTAAACAGTTTTTTTTAAAAAAAGCTTTAAAAAAAGGTTAGATGATGCCTTCAGTTTTTCTAAAATTGTGGTTACATTTTAAATCCCTCCATGCCCTGGCACCTCCCTACCTCTCTGATCTGCTTACTCAAAGACCACTAACCGACCACCGTCTACCTCGACCCCATCCCTAACCCTCTCCTTACCACCCAGCTCCACCTCCTTGCCCCTCTACTCACAAACATCATAAACTTCTCCCTGTCCACTGGTACTGTTCCCACCCCATTAAAAATGGCCGTGATTACTCCTATCCTTAAAAAACCCTCGCTGGACCCATCTCTACTCTCAAACTACCGCCCATCTCCAACCTCCCTTTCCTCTCCAAGGTCCTGGAACGAGCTGTTGCTTCCCAGCTTTGTTCCTTCCTCTCCCACCACTCCCTTCATGAACCCCTCCAGTCGGGTTTCTGTGCCGCCCACAGCACAGAAACAGCCCTGGTCAAAGTTACAAATGACATTCTGTGCACCTGTGACCAGGGCACCTTCTGCCTCCTCGTTCTCCTTGACTCTCTGCTGCCTTCGACACCGTTGACCACTCTATCCTCATCCACCACCTCTCCTCTCAACTCAACCTTCTCAACTCAACTCTGTCCTTGACTGGTTCGGATCGTACATCTCACACCGCCTCCACTTCATCTCCACAAACGCTTTCTCCTCTAGCCCCCGCACCGTCTTGTGCGGCGTTCCTCAGGGCTCTGTCCTTGGTCCTCTCCTCTTCAACATCTATATGCTCCCTCTTGGTGACATCATCCGCAGACATGGGGTCAACTTCAACATGTATGCGGATGACACCCAACTCTACCTCTCTGCCTCCACCCTTGACTCCAGGACAAAGTGCTGTCCTGGATGAGAGCTAACTTTCTTCAGTTGAACATCAACAAGACCAAGGCCCTCCTGATTGGCTCCAGTCAGCGCCTCCACACCTCAGGCGCTGACAGCATTACCACCCATGGTTGCACACTCCACCTTTCTAAGCTAGTCCAGAACCTTGGCATCTTGCTCGATCCTTATGCTTTCTACCCCACATCCGTGACATGACCTGCTCTGCCTTCCCCCACCTCCGCAACATCGCCCAGCTCTGCCACTGTCGCATACCAATAGACCCCCAAAATCCTCATACACGCATTAATTTCATCGAGGCTGACTATGCAAACTCCTTGCTTGTCGGCCTCCCCAACTCCTCCCTCCACAGGCTGCAGATCATCCAGAACTCTGCAGCCCATGTCCTCTCCCACACTAGGCTCCATGACCCTATCACTCCCATCCTCGCCTGACTTCACTGGCTTCCCATCACACAGAGGATACAGTTCAAGATCCTGGTCCTTACCTTCAAAGCCCTCCATAGGCTTGCTCCCCACTACCTCTGCGATCTCCTAAACCATTACCATCCTGCCCGCTCCCTCTGCTCAGTAAGTTCCGGTCTGCTTCATGTCCAGGTTCGCGTCCGAAACTCTGATTGTCCAGCGCCTTGGGACGTTCTCCCAACATGAAAGGCGTTAATCAAATGTTGCTTTTGTTGTTACTCCCCAACCCACTACCCACTGCCCCTGCTCGACTGGCTCCAGCCTCCTGCATGTCCCTCATGCCCTCTGTTCCACCATCAGTGGCCGCACTTTCAGGCACTGCACCCCAAACTCTGGAATATTTTTCCTCTATCCCTCCGCTTTGCCCCTTTGCCCCTTGGAGCCAAGGAGCTCCAAGGAGAATTCCCGACTTCCCTCCCTCTCCCCCAAGGAGGATAGTCATTATGATATTTTTTACCTTAATTAAGCGCTCTGGATGCTACCCTGCGTGACAGGGACTATATAATGCAAGTTGTTGTTGGCACAATAGTATCATCAGTGTGATACTGTTAACAAGACTATTCGTGAACCGGGATACATCACTAAATCATTTAAATATGTTTAAATTGTCTGTGTGCAGATGATTCCCAAATCTACTTCTCCTCCTCCAACAGTGACTCCCAGTCCGTTGATGTCCTGTCAGCTTGTTTGATGGACATTAAGGCCTGGATGAGCGCAAATTTCCTGTAGCTGAATGTTGGCAAGAAGGAAGCCACCTGCCCAGACTATTCCAATGCCCTGCTCGCTGGTCTCCCCAGCTCTACAATACACAAAATTAAACTAAAAATTCAGAACGCCACCTCCCGGATTCTCACTCAAAACTCCTTACCCACATCACACCAGTCCTTGCCAGGTTCCACTGGCTCCTAATCGATTTCAAGATCATTTTTCAAATCCCTTCATTCCCTCGCACCTCCCTTCCCATTCGACTCGCTTACCGCCCACTCCCCCATCCGCTGTCTCCATTCAGCTGGCTCCAGCCTCCTGTTCTTCCCTCGTCCCCTCCACTCCACCATCAGTGGCTGTGCCTTCAGCCACTATGCCCCAAAACTTCACCACTGTCAAGTGCTCCAGGACACCAAACTGCATGGAGGGCACTATATAAATACAAGTTGTTGTTGTTGTCTCAACATTGTACAGATAATTGGGTTTGCTTTGTTTTAAATATTGTGCACTTTTTTAGTCACATTACTTTCAAAATGACATTGATATATTAGAAAGATTCAGAGAGAAGTACAAGGGTAATGCCAGGACTTCGACCTCTTAGCTATGTAGAGCAACTCAGAAAACTGACCTGCTATCATCAGGAAAAAAACATTGAGAAGAGACATTATCCAAATTTTTAAAATGCTGTGAGCACTATCTAAGTTTTCTTATGATCCTATAATGTGGAGTCCTGTAGCTCAGTGGTTAGAGCACTCGCTTTGCAAGCGAGAGACCTGAGTTCAATTCCAGGCAGAGGGCGAAACCTTGGGCAAGTTTCCTTACTCGACACAGAGCCTAATAATAATCCCTCCAAAACCAAAAAACAATAATAAATTGGTCATTTTCAATCCACGACTGTTTGTGGGACATTGCTGTGTGCAATTGGCTGCCGCGTTCGCCCACAAATATACAGTCAATTCACTTTACAATGTGTTCTGTGAAGCTCTTTGGGACGTCCTCCCAACGTGAAAAGCGCTATATCAAATGCAAGGATTATTATTATTATATAATAGTTCAGGTCCTATTCATATATCAAGAAGTGCGAAGTACTTTATATGTTATTAGAAAAACAAAAGTACAGTATTTAGAATTAGATTTATAGATTATAGTTGTGACTTGGAGGACATGTGCTGAATCCTTTTGAAAGAGTTTTTTTAATATAGGGTTGCTTAGGTAAGGAATGTGTGCTTTTGTAAATGAACACCGTTAATTTAGGATTTTTTTCTGTTTGTTGAAAAAATAACTTTAACGTATTGTTACTTTTGTCTCTAAGACTATCCACAAGCAATCCAGCACCAAATGAGTAGAAATTATTCCTCACCCGGTATTCGTAGAATCAGGAGAGCGATGGATGTACAAGTTAAGAAACCCAGCCTTCCGAATGTGGCAGATAGCAAAAAAGATAATTTATATCCAGAACTGGAGTTAAAGGGCATGGGTGATGGCACTGATGGGATCAGGTAAGGTTCTCAAAATATATTTCTTTTTACCAAATTTACAATAATTTCAACTAATTGACTTATGTTAAGCAGCTTTGTCTTGGAATTAATATAAATTAACATTTCCCATATTTTTCTTTTATACTAATTATTCTCTTCTATTTTTCTTTACCTGAGAAAGTTTTGAATTGGAAAAACATTCTACTTAATTACTGAGCAGATATTGCAATATTCGTTGCGTTGATTTAGCTTTGCTTATTGCTCAACCTCATAAACATTGCTCGCACCATTGCTAGCCTGGCAGTTTAAATTTCAGCAGTTAAGGAAATGCTTTGAATCAATCACTTTTGAATAAAATTAAGACAGTTATGACGTCTGCAACTTAGTGTTTCTATAAATTAATCTTTAAATAATTTTAGAAACGATGTACAATAGGACACAATATTGTATCAGTTGTATTACCAACTTTTAAAAACATAACTCTTATCGATAGAAAGCTATTTTGTTTAGGATCAGAATGATCAAAGATCTCTTGTGTCCCTAAAATGGAAAAAATAGCAAAGATTATTCCATATATAGGACTTTTTTAAAATATGGTCAATACGCTGTCAATATTTAGTGAGTATCACAAGTTATAAAAAAAGTTGAACATTATTACGTATCACAGAGGTATTGAAATAATGAAATAAAACATAGAAGAATATATCATGTTTCCTGTTGTTCTGTGTTGTACAGTATCCTCCTTCGTAAGAACAGTTCTTAGTTTATTTGACATCCTGTAGAAATATATTTCAAACAATAAGTAAACAAAGTGACGACATTTCTTCAGCATCCATCACTAACTGTTTTTCTTTTATACAGTATTTGGATGTTGAAAATTATTTAGCAACTGCTGAGTCAAATTGACTGATATTTTCAGGAATTTCTGAGGCAAATAAATCTATGGTGTCTATCCTTAAATACTCATTAAGACTCCAACCCATGTATGTTTTTGTTAATGAAAAACTGTGATGTGCAAACTTGTGGTACTACATTTTCATTTTGAAACAGTTCAATTTCAAATTATATGATGATATGTTTTTATTCAAAATCTCAAACATTTTAAAGTAAACTATCCTAATTATATGTGTTGAGTGCTCTGTAAGGAATGCAGTATACTCAACTTAGTCCTGTTTTAATCAACATTGCATTGATGTATGTCTTTGACCTTTTGACAGCTAGTCACTTTAGATGGTTCAGTAAGAAAATGTAAACATTAGTTTGCTCCTTACATTCAAGAATGCTTGGTTAGGTGAAGGCGAAATGGAAAAGATTAATATGTACTTAATGAAGTATGGAAAATAGAGAGTACAATTAAATAATTGATTGAATAATAGTAGTTAAAAACAGGTTTTACTTAAATACTTATTTCCTTCCTTTTAGCCCCCCATCAATAAGATTGATGAATGGCCTACTGTTTGTAGGTTACAAACGCAGTCTCAAAGGTTTTTTCTAGCAAATAAACAACATTTTCTTTTCTGTTAATGACCCAAAGGTTGGATCATTAAAGGGGAAAAGTAGACTTTCAGTCTCAGACACAAGGATTTTTTGAGAGTTGGATCTCTGACATTTCACAACAGAGGTCTGCCGTGCTTGATTAATTCTGGTCAAGTCCCCTGAGAGGAAAAAATGAAATGAATTTTCCTTCTAGCTTCTAAGCTCGAGCATTTTTTCCTGAAACATGGATTATTCATGCATTACTTAGAAGTAATCATTCTCCTTCCAGTACTTGTTCAGACTTTTTTGTAAAAAAAATCATGCATTAAAGAACATTTAAATGGATTTAATTCTTATTGTGCTAACATTGCTGATTTTAGCAATGGATTAATTCCACTAAAAAGACATATTGTGGCTGTTTATTACTCATTTTAAAAATCTCCATGGTTTGAGCATTTTTAAAATATGAGTAGTTAATTCCTGTTTAGGGAATAACTTATTTTCCACATTGAACCCTATTATGTGCAATATGTCTGTCACAAAAGAGTCACATATAACCAGACGTGCATATAAGGAGGGTGACTACATTATTTGTAAATTGGGACTTTGGGAAAACCTTTATGCAACAGGGATTTATGTCCCTCACAGACACATCACAAACAAGCTCTATAATAAATTTAAATGGAATTTTTAATGAAGTGTTAGAAAGAATGTCATTTTGCACAGTATACAGTATTTTATACTTTTAACCCGTTTACTGTTGGGCCGCAGAAGCTACTGATGGTACACTCATTCATCAGTCATCCTCTTGCTCTGCCACATACTAAACTCATCAGAGTTTGACCAGGTCACATTTATGATGAACTGCTCCAGTACACTAAGTATAGAATTTTGGTTGGCTGAAAAACAGCCTTTAACGTCAGCTTTGAGCCAATGAAAAAAAGCTTTTTTTATTGAAAGTTGCTTCCACTTCCAAAATAGAGTATGGCAACCAGGAGGAATAAGGAATACAAAAACAGGTAAGTGCAATGTTTTAAGTTTCATTTTAAAGATAGAAAATAGTGACAAATGATGGAACAGTTAGGAAATGAAGGGTAATAATAAAAAAAGAACCAGACACCGAGGTAGATGAAAAGAAGCTAAAGCAGAAAGGAAAAAAAAGGTCAAGTGAAGCAGAATTACATGCATGGCAAGTTGCATTGCCATATTGAAATGCCTCAAAGCTATTTACAGATAAACTGTTAAGTTTAGTGTTTTTTTGTAGGCAAGCCAGGCACCAGCAAGATAATAATAACCTTACGTTTGGTATAGCAACATCACATTGTCAAAACGTCTTAAGGAACCTTGCACAATTTTCTGTAAAATATAGTGACTAAATAAGCAGTTAATTTGTAGAATTATTGCTTGGGATATCCTTCTCTTTTTGAATATTATCATGGCACCGTTATAGGCTTATTGAACAGGCAGACTGGGCCTTAGTTTAAAATCTCATCCAAAAGATGGCTTCTCTGATAATGCAGTGTTTTCCCAGTCCCGCAATGGAATATCAGCCTAGACTATAAACTCAAGTGCCAATGTGGATTTGACCCTACCATCCTTTGACCTAGAGAAGTGAGCACTATCATCTGAGCCAAAATTGTTTTGTATTTATTTAAAATTGTTTTAGGGCTTATTTTTTGTAAATTTGGTGTATTCTACAAAAAAGGTACATCGTGGCATTTGAGAAGCTTTCTTACAGTAATATTTGCTTTGTTTCTCCATCAAAACATGTTACTGTTTTGAAAAGGAGTAGGGAATTCCTCTGGGGCGCTGGACAAATATTCCTCCCGCATTCAAATTTAACATAAAAAGATTAATTCGTCATTAATAGTATTGCAGTAGTATCAGCGTATTGGATTATAATAGTAATCTTCCTGTTAGTACATTGTATTAGTAATATTGCTGTTAGCTCCTGTTTTTGCCTACATAACTGTAAATCATTATATTCCTCATATGAAGCACTTTTAAACATTTTGACTAAAACGTCATATCACATGCATATATTATAATAGCTATTGATACCATTACATATGAACTGAAAACTATCAACTTAGTTATCCCAGAGAAACAGTACTATCCACCGATCTGTTAGAAATCCTTTTTTAAATTTAATGTGTCGGATTATTTTTTTAATTTCCCCCCCACTGATTTATACCTCTCTTCTGGCCTGGCCTCCTCTTTTCGAGGAGCGGTTTCACAATGGTTGATTGCACTCTGATATTCCGCCGAAATGGTGATTGTTCTTGTATAAACCTTGGCAGTGAGTTTCGGCAGGCCACTCAACAGGGCCACTCAACTGTAGAGCGTGTTATAACTGGGCCTGATCTCTCCCCCTCCATCTGCTACACAACCAGTAGAGCATGCTATAGAGGGATGAGGAATATAAATAATAATATATAATGATAATCCTTGCATTTGACATAGCGCTTTTCACATCTTCTAGACCTCTCAAAGCGCTTTACAGAATATAATGTAAAGTAAGTTGACTGTATATTTTGTGGGCGAAACACGGCAGCCAATTGTGTCCCACAAACAGTCGTGGATTAAAGTGACCAACTTATTATTGTTTTTTTTCTTGAGAGATTATTATCAGGCTTGTGGAGTAAGGAAACTTACCCAAGGTTTCGTCCTGCCGGGAATTGAACCCAGTTCTCTTGCTTGCGTGGCGAGTGCTCTAACCACTAAGCTACAGGACTCCATAGGAATAGAAACCTTGGCTGGTTTCCCCCTCTTTAATTTAGCCTCCCCATTCAGCCCTGGTTTCCAACCTGCAAGTTCCTAGTCCATTAGCTGCTGCTCTCTCTATCTGCCACACCATCGGGGTTGGCTTTTCACCCCCTACCAGAAGAAAGAGCTACAAAGAAATCATGTAATATTTCCTATATAACTTAATAGTGTATATTGGTATCCAAGCAAATAAAATATATTTACTGAGGAAATTATGGCTGCAGAGATAAAATAGTTTTAAGATTGACAATTAGTGGTATATTGACATTGCTTAATTGCTTGACTTATGCCTCTCTTCTGGCCTGTCCTCTTGCTGGAGAATAGTTCCATAATTATTAGTTGCGCTTTGAAACCCCACCCAAGTGGGGACCATCAATAACGACTCTAAAGTCAGTGTCAAATTATCAATTGAATTGGAGAACACTCATGCTCGGTCTGTAATTCAGTCTGTAACAATAATAGCAGAAGAAATATGGAGTTGAAATTCCAGGAGCTGAGCTAGGTGTAAGGATCTTATTTTTGTGCTGGAGGTATAATGATATAGTCATATTCTATGGACAGCATAGTTTACTGATTGCCAATCAGGCAATGAGAATTGCTCACCAACATATACTTTGACAAGTCAACAACCTATACCTCATGGCTCAGACATGAACAATGGCTGGCCACATGTGTGGGATACCAAGGAACTGCACCCCAACAAGAGGAGGCTTGCAACTAAGCAACACGGAGAGACCATGGCAAGGCCAGCTGGTGAAATGAAAAATTGAGCAGAGCTA